GGCTGGTAAAAGGAGCAGTTCTACTGATACAGGGGACCTTACGATCGCTGCCAATGTTCCACTGCCGAGGGACGCAGACTCACCGCACAAGGTTCGGTCACCTAGCCCACGCCGGGTGCCGGAGACCAGTCCCGCCCCGGAAGGACTGGAGTTTGGCTCGGATAATAATCTAAGCAATTGTAGGCTTTATCTCGGTTTGAACCCTGTCCAGCATGCTGGCGCGGGATACTAACGAGTGGGCCTTTCTCAAGATATCCGGTTCGCTGTGCGCGCAGAAGTTCAGCAGCGCGAACCCTTTGTCGCACTCTTTAGTTACTTGCGATCCAAATTCGATAAGATCACTAGCTCCAAATCCAACACCACCATTTCCATTCTGGTAGCCCTACTATCCATAGTATTCATGCGCGCCTTGTTCTTACCCAGCGTACCGCAAGCAATCCCTGACCTGGTGAAACTGTCGGGCTTTGCGCGGTCTTTTGAGCCTCTGATATACTATTCAGAGAATGGTGTACAACAGATAGGGACGTTGCAGGAGACCGGTGTTGCTGTCTGGGATCTGAGTGAGTCGGTTCGCGGTACCAATATGACCAGTGCGCCGATCATAGTGCGCCAGCTGGATGAGTTGTCCGAGTCCCTGAAGTCGCTGTCGTTAGAGTTGACGCGCTTTTTCGCTAATGTGGACTCGGACGTGGACTCAATCTTGCTCGTCATGGATTGGGCCAAACGGGAGCTGGAGACATTGTCATCCCAACCGCCCAGTACGCTACCGTCTATCATGCTTGACAATATGCACGATCTTCTGGCGCGACTCGGCACGCTAGAGCGTATCACCGTCCCGGATGGGGATGGTGTTAGTGGCGAGCTAAACACTCCGACCACCTTTGGCCACGTTGTAACTGCGTTGTTCGGTCAGACATCGGCCCAGCGTACGCGCTCCACCCTCACACGGACCTTCACAGAGTTCCTGTCGGTACTTGAAGAGTCCATTAACAGCGAGTTGACCCACTCGACTGCGCTTTTCGCGCTATTTGAATCTATAGATCGTCAGTTTCTCAATATTCAACGCACGGTTGTGCGTGAGTCAGATGCCCAAGAGCGTGCTGAAGGTGAAATGCTCAGCTCTCTTTGGACCCGTGTTCTTGGGCCAGACGCAGCCGTTGTGCGGAAGTATGAGAAGAACAAACGGCTACTCGCTAATGTCCGTAGCCGGACGGTCGCCAACAAGCATCTCCTCATGGATCACCGCGGCCGGCTCCTTACTCTTAAGGTCAACCTGGAAACTCTACGACGAAAGCTCGTCAGTCCACTCGTTCGGCGCAACGATTCCGTGAGCTTTGCTGGTGCTATTGATTCAAGTGGTGGTCGGAGTAACGGTCGGATGCTAGGACCGGTTGAGGCTGTAATTGAAGGCCAGATTCGTGGATTAGAGGGCAGCTATGATTACCTTCGATCTGTCCGGGAGAAGCAGAAAGCCAAGTTAATGGAGATGGTATATGGATCAGGACGAAAGCTACCGACTCACTCTATGCTTGCCGACGGATCAGATGACTCAGGTTCCGATACCATCGAAGGCATTTGAGAAGGGGGCTGAGATCCTATATTCGTTGCAGCGTTCGCTCCATCGCTATCCGCATTAACCTGGCTTTCCTTCTCTCACATATCTTACATTGTATTTCATGGCGTTAGTCCGTCTCTACGCTCATTCGGGATTGGCGTCACGGGTTACTACTGATGCTCGGTCTGGTCTGGTCTGATCTGCTTGCGTGTCTCGACTGTTTGGTGGCTGGCGTCTACAACTGCGGTACTAGGTCATCGCTTCTCTCATTTCCTTCTCTGCATTGACCGGCGAAAGCGAGGCAAAAGCGATAGACGCGTTGGTTGACCATTTCTGTGCTTTCTATGACTTCTTCTCGGAACCTTAACTAAGGATGATTGCTTGGGCGTTCATTGATCTAATCCTTGTTTATATTCTGTTTCTCGGGTTGGTGGACGATTGGAAGGCATTTCGTGGTGTATGGGTTTGTCATTAATTTCAATTAAGCCAGCTCTCCTTTTCTGGCTCGTCCCAAGATACGTAGCCTTCTCAAATTTGAGTAGACACATATTGAAGGTATCGATACGTTCGGTCAGTCGTGGAAAAATAGTTATGTATGCACAATCCCGTCGGCCACTAATTTCGCCGGCCCGGAATGTTTTGTATTGATTCCGCATCGGAGTAAGTCCTCCAAGATTACGTGCTTCCACCCTGGTAATTAATTCCACCGCGCCATTCGGGGTGCATTTTATATCGACATGCGCCTCTTGGCTACAGGCAGGGCGCTGCGCGCCACCAGCAGCAGATGGGCAATCAGCAGGAACGTGCGCATTCCGTTCTCGCATGTCTCGCACATCTCGGACCCTCTCCGCAGAACCTGGAGCTCAACAGCGGCTCTCAGAACCCAAGAATCTACGAACCCGGATCAGAAGCCGGATCCTCGGGTCTCCATAAAGAAGCCATCTTTAACAATTGAAGATAAATCTTATCCCACAGACCAATGGACCAACACTCCCGATACGATCCTCTCCCACGTCGGAAGACGACTTTACCTCGACGAGAACCACCCTCTCGCCATCACCCGGAAGCTAATCGAAAGCCAGTTCCCGGGTCCCGTCTACGGAAACTACCACGAGAAGAGTCCCGTTGTTACGACCGCGCAGAACTTCGACGTCCTCGGGTTCCCGCTGGACCATCCCGGTCGTAGCCGCACGGATACCTACTATGTCAATGAGAAGACCGTGCTGAGAACACATACCAGCGCGCACCAGCAAGCATACTTCCAACAGATCAACCGGAATGAGAAATCGCGTCCCGAAGAGGTTGGGTACACTGTTGTTGCGGACGTCTATCGCCGAGATGCTATCGATCGCAGCCATTACCCCGTTTTCCATCAAATGGAGGGCGCCATGTTGTGGAAACGGCCCGACATTGAGCCCTTAAAGGCTGCTGCGGAAACAGCTGCCAGGATCACGGACGATCTCAACCGCATCCCGACTCACGACGTCGCCGTCGAGGACCCCAACCCCACCATTCACGCAGAGCGCAACCCACTGCAGGCAGAGCACCACAGCGCGGAGGAGGTCGAAGCCATCGCGGCGCACCTCAAACGCTCCCTCGAGCGAATGGTGATCAAGATCTTCACCGAAGCCAGCAAAGCCGCCGCGGCCGCCGACGGCAATAACGCTACGGAACAAGAACCGCTGAAGGTCCGCTGGGTAGAGGCTTATTTCCCCTTCACCAGCCCGTCCTGGGAACTCGAAGTCTTCTGGCAAGGCGACTGGCTCGAGATCCTGGGCTGCGGTGTCATCAAGCAAGAGCTGCTGATCAACTCGGACGTGCCAAATCGCATCGGATGGGCCTTCGGGCTCGGCCTCGAGCGCATCGCCATGCTCCTCTTCAACATCCCGGACATCCGACTCTTCTGGTCCCGCGATGAGCGCTTCCTCTCCCAGTTCAAGGCCGGCCATATCTCCCGCTTCGAGCCCTTCTCCAAACACCCTGCCTGCTATAAGGATGTCGCCTTCTGGCTTCCTTCTGCGGCCGTTAGCGGCGGTAGCGCTGCCGGCGGCGCGGTGCCAGTCCACGAGAACGATATCATGGAGATCGTCCGTGGTGTCGCGGGCGATCTGGTCGAAGACGTCAGACTTATTGATGAATTCACGCATCCGAAGACAGGCAAGAAGAGCATGTGCTACCGGATCAATTACCGCAGTCTGGAGCGCACGTTGACCAACGAAGAGACCAATGACCTCCATAACCAGGTCAGGGAGAAGCTTGTTGGCTTGCTGGGCGTTCAGTTGAGGTAATCGATTTAAATCGGCATGTTGTCTCATGTGGTATGGATCCTAGTATAATATCCCACGATTATTTCATGATTGATCCCTGTGTACCTTTTATCTGTACAGTATTTGGAGAATAAAGTTTTCATCTCGACTTCAAGGTTGATCGTAGTCTGTTGTTTACTTGATCTTACTGCCGAACTGTAGGTGTGTTGGATAAATTTTGCTAGACGGCTAGAGTAAATCCAATCGAGCTGCTGAACTGCCCTGGGCTCTTGTGTCTATAACATATTGGTACGTGCCCTTTTGGTAGATTGCATTAATGGTGAGACATACAATACTACCGGTTTAGCTTGATACCCGATTAAAAATGAAATAAATGACCATGTAAAGCTTTATGAGAACCTATTGGATGTAGATGTATTATCGATGCGAAGAGAGTTTTACAAGCACCAATGTATATAAACTATCTCTATAGAAGAACATTAAAGGTCATCCGCAATATGGACCCAGGGCAAAAAGCGTCGAACTGTAGTCAATTAAGACACTACTGTGCTTGTTGTCGCTACCGTTAACGAAGTGGGAAGATACTCAATGCTCTTGCACATAGTTCATATCGAAGTCTACAACGCCGCCTAAGATCGCCCAAGGGCGAAGGAAAAGAATAGACAGAAATATAGTAATGACCGATCCAGTCAATCATCTATTAATGTAGATCATCATGACCCGTTACCGAAACGACTCAGCCCAACGAACAAGCAAAGCAAGGAAAGGAAACGAAACCCAGGATCCAATACTGTTCAAGTAGCTCATATCCAAAAAAAAAGCCAATCAGACCAACTTTTTTTTTGTAGAATGACAAGACCAGATCATTGCATGTATTATACAGATATAATGTGATATAGTGAGAGGTGAGGGGTGAGTTTCAAACGCCTGACATGAACATGAAAAAAAGACAAGAACTACGAAAGGAGGGCAGACCGTAAGCCCTCCGATCGTATGCAAACAAAATAGCCGGTGTATCATACACATGCATTCATAGAGAAAAGACGTGGTATCACGGTTACCATAACTGGTTATTCCTCGTCATGATGAAAGGTATTCGGTATATTATACAGGTAGAATAAGAGATGGTAAGGTTGCGTTTAGAGGAAACTGATGAGGTGTTTGTGTGGGTGATTGATTTAGTCGTTCTTGACAACGCCGACCTTGGCAGCCTGGAAAGGTTTCTCGTTAGTATCGTGAACCCCATTGACGTTAGTATGACAGGGAAGGGGTTGTGCTTACTCTCAGGACACGTCCGTTCAGCCTGAAGCCCTTGCTCTGAGTATACATGATATCGCCGTTCTCCTTGCCCTCAGCCTTGGCCATGAAGGTAGCCTCATGCATGTTGGGGTCGAACTTCTGGGTCGTGCCATCTTCAGCAGGCTCGCTAGGATCAAACCTCTCCAGACCGTGCTTCTTGAGGGCATTCATCAAAATGTTCTGAGTCATGTTCAGGCCGGAGACGAGATCCTTAATGTCCTTATGTTCAGGCTCATTGGAGTTGAGCTTGGCCTCGGGCACAGCCAGGAGGGCACGGTCGAAGTTGTCAATGCTCTCGAGAAGATCAACGGCAAAGCGCTGGATGGCGAAGTTGCGCGCATTGTCCATATCACGCTTGGTGCGTTCCTGGAGGTTGAGGAAGTCTGCGACGGAGCGGACATACTTGTCCTGTTGCGTGGCGGGTTAGCGGAGCTGTGAAGAACAGGCTTTGTATGTATACACATATGTATATGTATGAATGTAGTTGGGAGGATAATCAAATCATCAGGAGCATATTGATTTGCTTTACCTTCAAATCGACAACCTCCTTCTCCTTCTTTTCAAGCTCCTTACGAATGGCATCCTCGGGGTTCTGGGACTCTGATTCAGCGTTCTCATTCTTCTCCTGCTTGCCTTCCTCGGCCTTGTTCTCTGTAGAGTAGTTGCGGAAGCTGGGCAAAGGAGCAAATGGACGGAGGGTTTGCGGCTGGAATTGTGACGTGCGGCTAAGCGCCAATGGTGCTGAAGACGCCGAACGGACGGAAAGGAGAGAGCGGGAGGCTTGGGCCTGTCTGAGGATGGTACGCTGGAACATTGTGGCGGAGGGATTTGAGAAAAAGTGAGCAATTGCAGGAGAAGGAAGTGATATGGAGCTGTCGTGCTGAGAAGATGGGAGAGTCAGCGATATCGCTAGAAAAACAGATATTTCGGCATAAATCACCTGACCGCCTTGGCTGGTTGGGAGGAAAATCCTCGGGCCGATGCGCCATTCTTGCCTCCTGCATGCGGAGTTACTATGTGGTAATCGATAGTGTAATAGAAATGCTGTACATGTATTCTAGGACCCTAGGCTACAATTATAATTGATGCGTTGTCGTTGCCAAGGGAGGCGTATGAATCCTCATGGTGATATATAGTCAAGGAAGCAGACTGTTCGGATAGACGGGACTCTTAACTCCGCCGCTTCTTTGGATGCAGTTGAAGAATGTTTCAGACTACGAAGTGTTCTTTGTAACATCCATGCGAAATATTCCCTCGTCTATCTACTGACCAATGGGTGAATAAGTAGATAAATAAAGTGGAGACGGAAAGAGAAGAGTGATTCATAGACGTTAAAAACAAGGAGGTATATAATAATAAATAGACGAATTATTACCAGAAAATGATAAAGCCAAGACAGCGTGGAAGTTAAGGTATATACACGAACATTACCCCCCTGCTCTCAATCCCCCTTAAAAAGCCAAACCGACCGCGGACCGACGATATGTCGTGTAGTAATCGTGATCGAATTCATCGTATCCGTTCTGTGGATGCTGCTGCTGCTGTTGTTGACCTTCAAAGATGGTTGGATAGATGGCAGGATCATCAGCTTGTTTAGGTATATATGGACGAGAAAAGCACATAGGTACGTCTAATTCCTTTTGCAGACGGGGATCAATGTGAGACGGACGACCTGGGGCTGCTGTAGTATTACTGGATAAAGATGGAGTAGCCTTGAAGCCACCTGTTAGGCTGGTCAGACTTGAGGTGATGGTGGATCCACTAAGGGTACGGGAGCGGATGCGGAAGGGGTTTTTGTCGGTGAAAGTGGACATCCAAGGGGATGTGGAAGAAGAGAAGGGTGAGGCCTTGTTGCTTGACTGGAAGAGCCATTGAGTGACGCGGCCGGATCGGGTGGGTGTTGTTGTTGCTGAGTTAGGGTTACGATTCTCGGAAGGGGTGGTGGGTGGTCGGGTCTCGGTCGGTGTCGTCGGGGGTCGTTGAGTGGTGCCAGATGAAGGAGAATCTTCCACTGGGATAGGGGGTAATGGCCTGTCCTGCAGGTTGGTGCAGGTGGTGTTGGTAGGAGTCCTAGGGGGTAGAGTGATTCTGCTTGCTTGTGACTCTTTGTAAGACTCCGGCTTCGACACTACCAATCCGCAACCATTGGCTGTGTCCAGCCTAGTGTGACCAGAATGATGTTGACTTGCAGTCGGATCATTATCTGCATGTGAACGGGCAGAGAAGTGAGGGACTAAAGGGTTATTGAATGGAACTTGTTTGTCCATGAGCTGTTCCATGGTGGCTAGAGAGGATCGCCGGGATCCAGAGCCGACAGGTTTCCGCACTAATTGAAAGGAAGAAGAAGGTCGGTGGGATTTGGCGCGAGATATACGGGAGACATCAGCGGATGTTCTCAGAGTGCGCGAAGGCCGGGTAAGTATTGGGCATTCTTCTTCTACTTGAAAGGTATCAAACTCGGGAAGATCTGGCAGTCCATTGCCGGAGGCCTCGAAGTTCAGTTCTAGGGGACGAAATTGCCCAGGCGAAAGGATAATAAAACTGTCAGGATGGAATCCCCTGGGAGAAGTTGCGAAACTGGAAACTGTTCTGAATTCCGAGGGCCCGCTGATTCGTAAAGGAGCAGTTGACTTTCTTTTGAAAGTGAGACTCGCTCGTTTGGACCTTTGCGATGACAGCCTACTATCCAGCTTCAGTGATGGTGTAGACGATGTCCAGGCTGGCGCACTTGGCCTGGGGAGAGAACTGTCGACGGCGAGCTTCATCGGGGGAACGAGACGAGGCTGCGTATGACATACTTTCATCTCTCGCTCGACCCCTAAGATAAGAGAATGTTCAGCAACTTCCTATAGTTTTGCCGGGGGCAATATGCTTAGCAGGTATATTAGGCATACATACCCTTTCGCTTCAGAGATTGTTGGTGGTGGAAGCTTTCATCATCGCTCCCCGAGCCCGGGCAGAAGAACAAGCAGGACGAGATCCAGCCAGCGCATACCGACCCTGCTTGTTCAATTGCCCGCTTCATGGCTACCAGTGGTTCCAAGCCGTTGGTCCATCATCCAGTGGGGGTCCCAACCGTACGGAAAGAAGGAGAAGGGGAAGAATCAGATCCAAGAGGGACAGGCAGGGCACACCGGGCAAAAAGCCCCAAGTGAAAAGGGACCCCAAACGGGTGGACAACAATCAGCTCATAGGTGGCTGGCATAAAGCAGTACTGAAACCCTTGTGACCGACCCCGCGGCGGTAAGAATATGGGTCAGAAGCGAATCGGATTCGGTCTGTCCCTTTGTGCTTATGCATTGTGGGTGACGGTCAAAGTATGATGAGTTGGATTGATAAGACCAAAGAGATGAGACAAAGAGGTACCAGACCAAACGGAGAGTCTCCTGACTCGTCACGTTGCCTTGATTGGATCCCCTCCTCGACAACGTGTCTGAAGCGGTCGATCTGCGGCGTGCTGACCTGCATGTGATTTGTTGGTTATCACGGCGCTAAACTATTGGCTTCGCTGAGGCACCCAGAGTGGGCGCCTAAGGACGCATTGCCATTTGCCCCATTGAGCTTTTGCATTTGAAGGTGCATCCGTTGAACACGTTTCGCCAGTCACAGCTATCACCTCCCAAATGACGTGTGATTATTGTGGACATTGGACAGGATGGTGCCATGTTATCACAGAACGTGAGCTGTCTCACCCAGTCTCTTGCCGAAGGAGCAGCGCATTGTCAGTGGTTGACGTCTATACCCTAAATTTACTTTTTATCTGGTTTCGTGCTATTTATATATGACTTCATCAGGCACCAAAAAAGAAAGTACCCTATGCCTCCGAAACAAAACAAAGTGGGATAGAAGTAGAGGAACAAGAAGTAAAGAAAAGAAGAAAGTAACAACCGAAGAATATACACCTATACACCGAAAGTTGGAAGTAAAACATAAACCAACCCAAACCATGCGTATATGCAGTGGGGATAACTCTTGTCATTGACCCCAAACATTCTCCTCCAACCCTTCATACGACCACCCTGGGGTTTTTGATTCATCGTTGGCCGTGTCCTCATCTCTCTCGGTCGGTTGCTTTGCGCGTTCACTGGGGGAACCAGAACCCTCACTATGGGTGATCTTAGACTGCTCGCTCAATGGGTGACCGGATGGCGTCCTGGAAATTAAAGATATATCAGCCCTAGGACTGCAGTTTCAAATAAGAACCACTTACTGGAAATATCGATGTTCTGGCTCTAACAATGCGGAGCCAGTCATTCTCTGCTGCTCAAATCGTTCTTTCTCTTCGGCTTCTCGATCTTCGACTACAAGGTCAACTAATTGGCTGCGGTGTGAGTTTTGAGAAGTAGAAGAGCTCGGGCCTCGCTGAAGAGGAGCCCGGTTTTCAGTACGCTGCATGCGTGATTTGCTCGGTGTGCTGTCACCCTTTGGCTGCGTTTCTTCGCTGCCGGGCGCACGCACTTTTCGGTGCTTGCGGGACTTCTTCACTACTTCTGGTTGTTGCGAATCTTGATAGCTGAATGGAGCAGCCAAACGCTGATCTTGTGGCGCTTGATTTGCCGTTATCACCGGATACTGGGCGACGTTAGCGCGTGGAAGTTCTTTATACAGATCTGGTTCACATACATTCCAGTCACCAAACTCCAGCGCTCGAGCCTTGGTGAACAGCTGTTCATCTCCCTCGTCTAGTGTCGATTCTTCAACATCACTGGGCGAGCGGAACCGTTCCACGAGACTGCCCCGTCTACTTGATTCAGCACCACCAAGTAATGGTGTGCGACTGTTGATTTCACCCGGTGTAGGAATCCAGTACTTGCCCTTCCCTCCGCGCTCGTATCGCATGCCGTGCATCATCCGTCTCACCCGAGACTCGGATTCAGCATGCGCCATAATATGGTCTCCAGAGTCGAATAGCCTGTATGCATAATTCTCGCCTCGCAACGTCATCTTTGTGTCCTCGATTAGGTCTCTGATGCCAAAGGCATCCCGCAGCGCATATATTACTGGAAGCCGCGCGGAGGAGATGGTTGGGTCAGCATAATCATGCCAAGAGAATGCATACCAATGAGTAACCGCAAATATAGGCATTTCAAAGCAGATCAAGGAATCCTGAATTGCAGCGGCGAGGTTGTCAGGAGTGTACCCCGCGACACCGTTGGATAAAGCCCCGAGCCACTGCAAGATGGACAAGAAGAAACCTTGCCAATAGGAAGCAAAAATAATGAGTTTGACGCAAAGGAACTTTGGCACAGGACGGAATGGCGCCAGGTCGTTGTGAAGGCAAACCCAAAACATCGCCAGCGAGTACAAACTTATCGTGACGCTAACATTATACACAATCCCTGTCCAGAGGTAACCAGAGGTTAAGCCCAGGTAACCCTCTTGGTAGCTATCTGTAGCTTTCATAATGATAGATACGATAGCTAGGATTGGCTTTAACCATGTATACTGGAGTATACCGCGCTTCACGGCCAGGAAGGTGTGCGGATCGGAGATATCGAGTTTGGGCAGGAAATGGTTCAGTGGCCAGGCATGTTGTACCGGAGGACGACCGTGGGTCATGATGATCAAGGCCCGCTCACCTCCGAGAAAATTGATGAGTAACTGGAAGAAGGTGTAGATAGTAAAGGCCTTAAGGTGACTCGTCAGCAATGTTCATGGCTGCCTAGGTCGCCAGTTATACCTCATAAACATCGCGAATAGGATCCAGCCAAAGAGACGCCTTCAGTGATACAATGCTCGTCCAGGAAGCAGCCGCATATATAGGAACCCTGATATGTTTAGCTCAACACTGATCCACCACAACCGAGAGAAAACTGACATCAGAAGTATACGAACAACATATCGTTGGAGGAGCGGTTTTCGATAGTTTTTCCTTATCGTTATATATCAGTGCAAGATCGAAATGACCAAAGTAGATTGGTGTTCGTACGTTTGTAGCCATATCGACCTTTTGAGATAAGAAAAATAGACGTTAGCAAAGCTATCTCATATCGGGCGTTGCATAGTGCGGGGAAGGGTGTGCTCTCACAGAAGCGACAAAAGTGAAGCCACCAGGGACGAGACACCGGAAACGATCACCACAGCTTTCGCTAGGCTAGAGCCTGTACCTCCTGAGGATGACATGGTGACTACTGCCAACAAGACTCGCGGTTCTCGACCGCGTGTACTTTTAGGTTTGCGTCCACCGGTAAAGCATTCCGCACCTTAACAAGAGCAGCGAAAGGAACAAAGCCAAATCATACCCCGTCCAATGAACTGAAGATCGTCAAAAGCCGCCTAAAGCTCCTCCATAGACAAGGAAAGCGCTCGCATGACCGGAAGGAAGGCCGTTGTGAAAAAGTTGTGTGGACTAAGAGGATCATCGCTCAAGCTGTTATTACTGGTATCATTGGAGCTACTGGTTTCAGTTACGGCGGGCCCGTGACACCGCCTAAGGACGTAAGCATATGCGCCTCGCCGCATTTAGATTTACTCCGTTATCGCGACCTCCGCTGGCCCCTAAAAAGTTACTTTCCTAGTTGAAATGAATTGACGTTTTGCCTGGTATTTTGCTTCCCGCCTTGATGTCCCACTATGGGGCATAGTATAACCACACCAGTATAACATCACACTGGCATCCCTTTCTGCACTCAACTCGAAAGGAGGTCGATCGTCCCGCGCCGCCATGTTCGCGGGCATCGGAGATCTTGAGATACTGTAAGATGGCTAACACGAGTCTGTTAACCTTCGGCTTGACACCGGATCCAAGCTTTAATGTGTAAGTGTCAGGTAAAACGCATGTATACTGGTAGCTTACAGCCGTATAGTTTCTTCTTCCTTGAACTCGTTGTTTCCTGCATACTGTAAGGTCACCGAACTCCGCGCAGTCCAATGCAGGTCGCTGATTATAGATAGAGTACTGTTTTTCTTGCTTTACTTTAATCGTCTCTTTGCAACCCTCCTCTCGTACGGCATTCGCGCCTACACATGGCATTATTATCGCGCGTATGTCGACATCAATGCTCTTCAGATTTCTTTGCTTGGGGGGCGGATCTTCTTTAAGGGTGTCCGATACCACGGTGTGAATGAGACAATATTTGTTCACGGGGGCTTTATAACATGGCGTTATTGGAGGCGATCAGTGAGGAGGACGTCTCTATACGACCTGAAACCCAATGCATACGAAACGAGGGATGATGTGCGATCAGTCGGGGATGGGGATAATGATGGCGCCGGAGACAGTGGAATGAAGGAACAAGGAGGATTGAAGGGCACGGATTCACTTCCTTGTCGTATTACTGCCAAGTTTTACGGGCTTGAGTGGTTCATATACAATAGGACACCGGCCTATGACGGTATCCTGGCAGGCTTTACCCCCACAGGACAACCAACAGCCTTTACTAAGCCACAGTACCCTGGAAGCAGCTCTTTGGATGCTGAGCTCAAAGATAATTCAACTAGGAATTTATCTGTCAGCGACTCTGCTCCTCCGAGATCTCAAGCGGGTAATACTCCAGGACGTAGTAGAACTGGCGGGGAAACTATTGGCTCTCACATTGTTGAAGGATCCGGTCAAGAAGTGGGTGATGGGCTTTCGAGGCTGCTTCGACTTCTGCCAGTGAGGCTAGTGTGTGACAAAGGGGCTATCGTCATTGGGAATGAAAACACCAGGTCCGTTCTGACAACAACCTTTGACGGTGCGACTGGATTAGTCGAAGTATGCAATGCTGGGCCACTTGATCTTTACCGGCAATCATTCTCCTTTGAATTTACCCACCCTGTTGTTCAGATGCGCCCAAACCCAGACTTCAAACAGAACCAGCTTTCTGCGGCGAAGGGATTAAGTTCGACGCGAAAAGACCTGCCCGGGACAAAGCGCAAAAGGGATACGATTTTCAACTATCATTTCCAAAAGCGCAGAGTATGGCATAGTATTCGTGACCTTATTCCATACTTTCAGACCTCTGTGGAATCCTTTCATGTATCCGAAAAGAACGAAGACGCGGGGCCGAGAGCCCATGGCGATGTTCGCCATGATGTCCGGTGGGTTGGTCTTTCTCGATACTTAGATGACACCAATCAAGATGACCACGAAGAATGGAATTCTGTCGAATATGCTAGATTTTCTACAGTCTTGGATAGCCCTAGTATGGCTATAGCATATTATTGGGACATTCCCGGGTGTGTCAAGCCCCAAGCATTGTCGCAGGAATGCCCTCCCCGAGAAGGAACCCCGGATATCAATGGTGCGCCACCCCCAGAATGGGGCATTGACGTGAAGATCGAAGGAGGCGTTATTAATTACGGGCCGTGGGCTGATCGCGAACGTGTTGGCTTGCAAAACATCTTCTTTCCAAATTCCTACCGAAACTCTCAACCGGCGGAGCCTTTAACCGCAGGCGATTTGAGACAGAATTCTGTCTTTAAACTGCGAGTGGAGACTACTGAGGAATTAACGTTGCGTATTCCAACAAGGGAACCTTCCAAAGACTGGCAGTGGAAAGGTCGCGCTGATGCAATACGAGGTGCATCTAAAATGAAGAAGCAACAGCGAAGGCGACAGTCGAGAGCTGCAGACAGTGATAAGGGTCATGTTAGCCCCGAGATTCGGCCGTTTGGGTGGTTGTCTCTCCGCGTAACTGGCGACTCGACCATAACCTACTGTATGGATATGGTGGCTTCTAAAGTTGGCTATTTCAATCAACTTGTTCTAGACCTTCGAGATTCAACAATGTCAACAAGCGTCAATCATGCAGTGCTATGGCAATGTCCCCAGCAACTTATTAAATGTGATCTTTCAGTTCCTCTTACCTGGAACGATCTTCGTACGTGGAAATTTGATGTCGAAAGTCGTGATATGGAGTTGTTTCTTTTGCGAGACCACATCTTTCTCTTGACGGATCTTGTTACCGATTGGGCATCCGGCCCTCCAGCAGAATACTACACATTCGTGCCGTTCACCTATAAGTTGAGCCTTTCTTTTGTAAACCTACAATTGTTTGTGAATGTCAATGACATGAATATCATCAGTAACCCATCTGATCTGGACGACAACCGCCTACTGGTGATCAAGGGCGAGAGATTGACCTCTGATGTTCTGATCCCTTTGAACAAATATAAACCAGAGCAAAATGCAGTGAGCTTCAATGTCCGTCTTCAGGATGCCGGTATAGATTATTTGAGCCCGTTGTGGGATACTTTTCACACTTTCTTGCAAGGTGAATCGGCCGCTACGCTAGAGACGATGTTCATTGAAGGGTCTTACAGCTATTACCTTTCTACCTCGTCTGAGTTGACGGACACTTTATTCCTCAATATCGAGGGTTTATCCCCTAAGCTTTACTTGTTTGGATTCTTGATTCGATCGTTTATGACAATCAAGGAGAATTACTTCGGGGAAGAAATGCATTTCAAGACTCTCGAAGAATTTCAGGACCTTGCCTATGCGAAGGAACCCTCGGAGTCACATAACGGAATCAACCCTAATAGGAAATCGAATGACCTAGATGTTATAGTGCATGTCACTGTGGATAACCCCTGCGCTCTACTCCCGGAAAACTTATATGACCGCCTGAATTGCCTAAGACTCACTGCGCCTTCCTTGGAGATCGACCTGCGATTTACCAACTACTACATGGATTTGGAGTTTTCAATCGCTCCTTTAAAAGTCGGGCTGGAGTCCCACCTGGCAGACAGACCCCCTAGGATATCTGACTCTCAACTTTTCATCGATGGAGTTTCTGTTCATGGTCATCGCTTGTTTGGACTCCCCCCTGCCGAGCCAACGTATGTCTGCAACTGGGATTTCAAGCTAGGTCGAGTGATCGGAGAATGCTCGACAGAGTTCTTATCCTGTTTAGGGCCAGCATTGAAGAGTTTTGACTTTTCTTTCGATAACGAAGAGAATGCTCTGCCTCCATTATTTCCCCTTGCTCTACACGATGTTACGTTTCTTAGAGCGAAGATCGGTATGATTCATGTCTCTGTGCTTCTAGACAAGAAAGCCTTCATACTGAGCTCTGGGCCGGTGACAACGAAATTTAACGACTGGACAAATGCTAAGTTTTCAAAACGGATGAGTCTTCTTGTCCCTGAGCTCGTTATCGCTGCAGTGGATCATGAACTCGTTGGTCGACTGGGGAGTCCAACCCGTCCTGAGGTGGCTCCTTTAGCGCTCTTCGAGACAACGATCAAGCTGAAAATGGCTCAGCGAAAGAATGACATTGTGGAAAGCCGAAGATTACAGCAGGAGCACATCAAAGTACATGATCAAAGGACACAGAGAACACCATGGCTGTTATTTGACTGGGAGGAAGTCGATCCTGATTCAACACACCTTAATGGTGATCACTTAACGCTACCGACTATTGCTATACCTGCTATGCCCGAACCTGTTATTAGACACATGAATATGAGACACCTATCGGCAAAGAGAAGTGTATTCTCTGACGGCAACAGTTACACAAGCTCTGAAGGTTTCCTTGTCTCCTCAGACGCCTCAAGCGTGCAACGTGGACGCAGAAGAGGAGACCATAGCACCATCTACACCTCAAGCTTGGTATCAAAAGAAAGACAGCGCCATACCTCGTTTCAGGTAACGCCAGGGCTCCGTCAGAACAACCATTCGGCTGAAGAACACAAGAATCCACCCACCATTGTTCCGAATTCGTCAAACCCTTGGGCCATGCCTGATTTCTCACTTCATAAAGTCAAACTGGATACCTCACAATTGCCCTCACGTCACACCTCTAGTGATGACATCCGCCCATACGATTTATTCGTGACAAAGTTCGATCCTCAGTTCTCGCCTTTTGCAGAAGACAATACAACCCATACTAACTTCGTAATCGAACTACCCAATGGTGTCCGAGGCACTTGTACCCCCGATTTTCTTTTCATGTTATCATCCTTGATTGAAGGGCTGCAAGCTAAACACCCAACTAGCATCATTGATTCACTCCAAAAGGATGTTATATCTGACATTGTAGGCTACGAAAAGTCCCTGAAAAATCCAAGGAAATCAACAAGTGTTGCAATTCGAACCCCGGTAATAGTTTTGAAGCTGGTAAACTTATCTGAAGCCTCTGGCAAATACGAATCCGGTTTCCGAGATGAGTATAAGGTCGAGATCGCCCATTTGAAGACAGAAATCAGAACAAAAGTTGAGAGAGAGAAAGGCGATCTCCTTGCGGGAATAAGGAAAAGTTCCACCGTTCATGCCGCCGCCGAAAGTCTTTCAGTATCCGTTGAGGGTACTCGAGCTGATGCATATCAAGAAAGGGCTGAACTTACCTGTCTCTTTGGTGACATGGACTTTTGGCTTGTGACAAAGCCAATGGTAAAATCGAACTTCCAGGCTCGAGCTTTTGACACAGTCACTTTCACAAAATCAGTGGAACATCTTGCTCATCTAGTTCGTCGTACAGCCACAATGTTTGACTCTATTACCTCCTCTCTACAGCATAGTTCGTCCCTGGAGGACAAACGCCTACGGCTCCTTATTTATTTCCTTACTCAGCCTGCTACTACCATACCCGATCCTGCGTTCCTTACAAGGATCTCATACGTGCTCAGAGTTGCACCTACACACTTGCGACAGCACGATTCCTGGAAGATAATCTCTCGGATACGTAATGTATACAATAATCTGCCCCCTCACCAGAAGGAAGAGTTGGCTTCAAGATGTCTCAACAATGATCTTTCATTGCCAGCGGACGCCAGAACTACTGTCCTCTCCAGCCTTGATGAATGGAGGGCGTGGGATCTGACGCACGTTGGGAAGAGTTACGTCATGCAAAAAGTATGGAGTCCCTTCGTACCAAAGGTGAAGGGGACTCCAGCACCAGCATTCTTCTCTTCTACTGTGAAGTTACTTCGCTTCTCTATTGATCCCGGACCAAATGAAAGCGATTTCGTGGTGGATGATCTGTCGACAGCTTTATCTATCAACCCACAGGATGGGACACCACCGGACACTGAGGCAAGGCCGACAAACCTGACGATTGTGCAGTCTTACTGCTCTTCTATCAGCCTTCGACTGCGATGGGAGATTCTTGAGTTAGTAGAAGGATTGTTGCGGACACTGTCTACAGTAACCTTGGAGTCTACTACACCAGCCCAAGGTTCGTGTACCGAGCCGAAGGAATCCAACGAGCTGCAAGTAGTGCTTGGCGCCGATATTGGGTCCATAAATCTTGATGGTATCAATGCCAAACTTGCGTTCAATGGGCGGGGCTTGAGAAGCTCGGTTGTTCAGAAACTAGACGGCACCGGGGGTCCGGACTGTCTGAGTGCCCTAATAAGTGCACAAGCGTGCTCTTCTGAGTTGTCGGATCTCTCTAAAGTGATTATGTCATGGAGGGTTGGTGACCCGCATTTGTATTGTTCGCGTGTCTCCGAGGAAAGAGAAGGAAAACTGGAAAATGAGTGGAAAATTGCTGGTTCAAGCAAGAGACTGCGATATGATATGAGTGAAGACCCGTTGAGCCTTGCACACATTGCGGACCGACTTATAGAAGATGAAGTTCGGTATATTAATCGGCTTGCCAGCAACATAAACCCCTCAGCTCACCAATCGAGTGAGGGTATTTCAACGGCAAGAAAGCCGGTCGGCAACAAATTCCATATCGCTATGTTCTTAGGTGATTATCGACTCAGTTTCTGTATCTTGCCGTCCTTAACATACGTGATCTCTGGAGAAGTGGCACGCACATCTATGGTACCGACGATCGGATCAAAAGTCGAAGTGGATTTTGACCTAAAACGAAATTTGCACACCTTCCTGTCCAACAACGGCAATGGATGGCACCCTCTATCGGTGTTAGAAATACCACCTATCAATGGTCGAGTTGTTGCGAACATGTCGCCAGTCCGTATGGATATGGAGGTTGACGTTACAATTGAACTCATCCAACTAGAGGCCAGCGCTGTACGAAGCCTTCTGGGCGCCCTAACAAAACCGGAGTTTTCTCATTTAATGTCCGATCTTAAACAAAACGTGGAGACTCTACAACTTCACCTTAACGATGCTCTTGCTCTTGATAGAGGACCCCCACGACAAAAAGAACCCTCAAGTGGTCACAGCGTACTGTATAAGGCGCGCATGACAATGGCAGGCACGAAGATCCACGCTAGTGCTCCCGCTATTAATGGGAAAAAGTATTCGGCAGACATGGACATCAGTCTTGGGATGATACGCATGCGCCTCAACAATGGTCTGGAACAAGGGCACCCTATGGAACACCCAGACTTCCACGTCGACACGTCTAATATCAGCTTCGATTTACGAAAGCAGGAGGCTACAATTAGTCGCTCATATTGTAGTTTCACCATCGACGCTAAGCTCCAGGGCACCTCGATGTTACGCGAGAATGGTGAAGCCAGACGTGTATTCCATTTCAGCAGTAAGCGGTTCGATGTCGAACTATTCCCTGAGACGGCTGCACTAGTAGTTGATATGGCAACCCACCTTCAAGAGCGCATTAAAACTTTGGATCTCTCTCATGAGGTCAAGCGTTTCAAGAAATTACGAAGACGAGGCAATGCAGTACCGAGAGTTCCGAGCATACAGGTTAATGATGACTCCCGCTCGGAGGACCTATTTAGCGCTATGTTTTCGTTGGACCTGAACTTGATTCAGGTTGGCTGGAATATGTCTACCGTTCCCCTGCCTACATCTGGGCGCAAACCTGATGATTTGGTTTTCTCTATCAGGCGCCTGGAGCTGTCCAATAAGAGAACCAATACTGCGAAACTACGTATCGAAGATATGCAGCTGCAGATGGTGCCGTATTCAGGCAATAGGCGAAAGCGTTCTCTTAATTCGGCTCTATTGCCAGAGCTGGTCTTCAATGTAGCATATTCTTCATCAGGCCAGGAAGTTCGACTGGCCTTTCAAGCGGCTGGAAAATCTCTTGATATACGAGCCACGTCTGATTTTATACTGCCGGGAAGCATGATACGAGACTCTATTGCGGCTTCCAGCCGAATCATCCGCGAGGCTAATTCTACATTGGTGTCGAAATCATCTGATGATAACCCCAAACCCCGCGCACTTTTTGGTAACAAACGCTTCCGCTCCGTGCTGGTAGATGTGGATTTTGCTGGTGCAATTGTGTCTCTGCAAGGGAGACATACGGGTGATCAGCAGGCTCTACTAACAGCTACTCTGAAAGGAAGCAGACTATCTGAGGCAAAATACGGTCAATACATTCAAGGAGATGCAGTAGCCACTGCAGCATTCAGGGCCCCTGGGGTGGCATTGAAAGTACATTTCGAGGACAATGGCAAAGATGATCCACGACTTAACGCAGAGTTAAAGATCGATGCTTCTACGAATGTCTTATATCCAAGCCTTGTCCCATTACTAAAGCAAATGACTGATACTGTCAAAGAAGTCATGGGAGGTGAAGAAAAGCCCAGAAGGCCGTCTGGCGCAATGATGCTGCAGCCGCAGAAATTGATGCAGGAGGCCCCTCTCGACATGGATGCTAAGAACTCCATCCTAGGGAGGTGTAAATTAAACGTTGGCCTCCTGATCTGCAAGCAAGAATTCAGCTTGAGCTGCCAACCTATTGCTAGAGTTGCAGCTACCGCGAGTTTTGATACCGTTTATGTAACGATCAATACGGTACAATGTGATGACTATGGGCGATTCTTAGCACTTCTCGTGGCTTTCAATTCCCTAGAAGCTTCAGTGAAGCATGTGTACTCCAATGAGTCGACCGCGAGTTTTGAGGTGAACTCAATGGTTATGTCTCTCATGAATAGCAAACACCTCGGCAATTCAAAAGGCATATCGGTTGTTCTTAGGATAAGTCCGATGCAGGTGGCCCTCAATGCCAAACAAGTTCAGGACTTTCTACTTTTCCGGGAAATATGGCTGCCGGCCGCTGACAATGTTGAAGCGAAGCCAGCTTTTCAGTCACAGTCCGCCGAGACACAAGCATATATCGTCCAGCGATACCAACAGGTGGCATCGGCATCGGCATTCCCCTGGAATACGACAATAGCAATTGAGAGGCTGGAAATCCAGCTTGATCTAGGTTCCTCCCTTGGGAAAGCCCAATTTGCCATCAACGACCTATGGTTGTCGTCAAAGAAGACGTCTGACCGAGAACAGACCCTCTGTGTTGGCTTCAAGGCAACAGGAATAGAAAGCAAAGGTCGAATGAGCGGACTGATTCAGCTCCAAACGTTCAAAGTGCAGACATCAATTCAATGGCCGGACGACACTTTTCATAATAAGACACCGCTCATTCAGGCATCGATATCCTTCAGTCTGTTCCAAGCAAAGGTCTCTTTTGACTATCAGCCTTTCCTTATTGCGCATATCACAATGTTCGACTTCTTGATGTATAATGTCTGCAGTGCATCAGGTAACGGACACCAGCGGCTCTTCAGCATTCTGGAGGGCGACAAAATGCAAGTTTTCTGTACAAGCTTGACCGCATCACAGACTGTTGCATTATATCAAGCCTGGCAACGACTAGTGCAAGACAAACAGACGTCGTACGAAGCTGCACTACGGGAGGTTGAAAGATATATGCGTCGAAGGTCATCGGTTTTCGCTGGTAAAGCTGATTTGCCAACTAAGGATGTGGCCAGAGATGCAGGCGACGAGGAAAAGGCGCCAATCTCCCTACAGACCGGTGTTGCAGTCACTATCAAGTCGGTCAATATAGGTGTCTTTCCAAGCTCCTTCTTCGATAACCATGTGCTTAGACTGGATGCACACGATGCGCAGGCTCGCTTTGATGTATCACTACAGGAAGGTAAAATACACAGCGCACTGGGACTCACACTTGGCCAGTTACGTATCGCACTCTCCGGCATTGTGCGGCCTGATCCTACGGAGGTTGAGGAGCTTCTTGTCGGTGAGATCGCCAACCGTGTGCTGGCGTCCAGCGGCGGCACAATACTAAAGGTCCCTCGGCTCGTGGCACAAATGGAAACCTGGCAAACCCCCGGCACCCAGCAAATTGACTATATCTTCCGCAGCACGTTTGAAGGGAAAGTCGATGTTGGGTGGAACTACTCCCGCATTAGTTTTATCCGAGACATGTGGGAATCCCATTCCCGGGCATTGACCTCCAGGCTCGGAAAGCCCCTGCCGCCATCTGCGGTGCGCATTACGGGCGGATTGAATGAAGGTGGCAGCGACAAGAATGATCAACAACAAGAAAAGATCACAGCGGTTGTAAATGTCCCACAGTCGAAGTACACGTATGTTGCGCTGGAGCCACCGGTAATCGAGACGCCGCAGCTCCGCGATATGGGCGAGGCCACCCCACCGTTAGAGTGGATTGGGCTTCAGCGCGATAAGCTGCCCAATGTTACTCATCAAATCATTATCGTGACATTACTAGAAATTGCAAAAGAAGTGGAGGATGCATATGGGAAGATCCTAGGATCGTCGTGACCTCCTCGTGTTCTTTACTATACTATCCAATCAACGAACGGCCTGCATCATGCATGCTCCTGTGTATTGATTGATTAGATCTAGTTGCTTCTTGATATCCATACCTACATATGTAGGATTTGCTTGTACAATACATAATCATACATAGATATACATACACGCACATACACATGCATAGTACATAGTGAAAAGTAATACTAATGCCGAGCCGTTAAAGAAGATGTGATATCACAGCGCCATTAGTCCCACTGTTTATAGGCCACAGGACCCCGCCGCCACAGGTGGAGTGATGTTGTCCAGGTGTTGTTACTTTGCCTGCGGTGGAATGATGGGTTGGAATGAGTAACTCTGTATTACCATCTGTGAGTGGAGGTCACGGTATTACTCCGAAGAGTCTGGGACTAAAGCTCAGCCTAGGTCCTTCTGTTAAATCCATCCATCCTAACTCCGCCCTCTAGAAACGGTGGGCGGTGAGGGTAGAGGGGTAGGTTCGGGTTGTTGGCCAATCATCTGCCCTATAAGTGATGGTTCAACCATTCATGGACTCTGAATCGAAGTCCTTTTTTTCATTTTTCATTTTTTTTTTTTTGGCTTAGTAGATGTAATGGAAGCTTCCGTCCCGCGTATTACCTTGGGGCATGACTTGGTACGCCATACGTAATTGGAGGACAGGCATGAATCATGATACGATGATATCAGGACTGACTTTCAACGCCACAGAGCTTTGTCCGAGCTCCTTCACCTCTCTAAGTCAGGAAGTAACAAAATAATCAATAAATACCGTCGACGAAGACGGCATAGATTTGGTTGTGACTCAACGAATGAGCCATTTGGTTCATGAACCATGGGTGAACATTTGCAAGTAAGTAAAGCAAGAATGTAAAGCTTTCAGATGATTGCTGAGAAATACATTGTACCCATGGGCAACTGGAGACTATTGCATGGTAGCTTTGACTTTCAGGTGAGTAATGGTCGGACTGTAATGAGCTGTTAGACGAGGTAAAAGTTGGTAAGGAAATGAGGGGTGGAAATCAGCAAAGCCACTAAACGGCAGAAAAGATTACCAAGAGTCTAGAGAAAACGCACATCCCAGATTTTTTTTAGCAAGGAAAAAAAATTCCCACTGCGAAAGTCCCCACTCTCGCTTTCTTCTCCCTCTTTTCCCCTCTTCCACCGTCCTCTTCTTTTCCCTCTCTTCACCTTCCTCTGTGAAGCCCACTGCCTCCCTTTTTTTAGGAGCAACACACATAGGCCCTTCTGTCCTATAATACTCAGGTCGAGTTAGCCCTCGATCCTGATCCTCTGTGTGTCGTTTCTCTTTGTTTTTCCGTTTTACTATACAACCCCGCCTCTAAGGCTTTTCACGATAAAACACCGCCAAAATGGTTAAGTACGTATCTCACTTCCCAAGAGCGACATTCGTATGACGGATGCCGCCAGCTGTGAGTTGAATAGCCTGCTGACTATGACTGTTAAGCTTCACAATCGAGGAGGTTCGTTTTGCTGTCCCTATCAAGCTGTCTCCAGTCGCGCTGGATCCAAGACGTCAACGAAAGGCAGGAGAGAAGCAGCAAAGCTAACAACGCGTAGATCCGGGCCCTGATGGACAAGCCCAAGAACATCCGTAACATGTCCGTCATTGCTCACGGTAGGTCCACTGCCATTGCTCTATTGATAACGTACATAAGCGTGACGAGTATGTACTAATGCGCGAGCTCTTTGGCATGCAGTCGATCACGGAAAGTCCACTCTATCCGACTCCCTGGTTCAGCGTGCTGGTGTCATCGCCGCTGCCAAGGCTGGTGAGGCCCGGTTCATGGATACTCGTCAGGATGAGCAGGACCGTGGTATTACCATCAAGTCTACTGCTATCACCCTGTACTCCAAGTTCGATGACCCTGAGGATCTCAAGGAGATTGCTCAAGGCCACGATGGCAACGAGTTCCTGATCAACTTGATCGACTCTCCTGGTCACGTTGACTTCTCCGCTGAGGTCACTGCCGCTCTTCGTGTCACTGACGGTGCCCTGGTCGTCGTCGACTCTGTCTCCGGTTCCTGCGTCCAGACCGAGACTGTCCTGCGTCAGGCTCTGGGTGAGCGTATCAAGCCTGTTTTGATCATCAACAAGGTTGATCGTTCCATGCTTGAGCAACAGCTCGGTAAGGAGGATCTTTACCAAAACTTGTCCCGTATCATTGAGACCGTCAACGCCACCATTGCTACCTACGAAGACAGGGCTCTTGGTGAGACAAGAGTTGCCGCCGAAAAGGGTACCGTTGCTTTCGGTTCCGGTCTCCATGGTTGGGCTTTCACTGTCCGCCAGTTCGCCGTCAGGTACGCTAAGAAGTTCGGTGTTGACCGGAAGAAGATGCTTGAGCGTCTGTGGGGTGAAAACTACTTCAACCCCAAGACCAAGAAGTGGTCTACCAAGGGCACTGATGCTGACGGCAAGTCTCTCGAGCGTGCTTTCAACCAATTCTGCTTGGACCCCATCTACAAGATCTTCGATGCCGTCACCAACAACAAGAGAGACCAGATCAGCACTCTCGTCGAGAAGCTTGAGATCAAGCTTACTAGCGATGAGAAGGATCAGGAGGGCAAGCTGCTCCTTAAGACCATCATGCGCAAGTTCTTGCCTGCCGCCGATGCTATGTTGGAGATGATCTGTATCCACTTGCCTTCTCCCGTTACTGCCCAGAAGTACCGTGCCGAGACTCTGTACGAGGGTCCTCAGGATGACGAGTGCTTCAACGCCATCAAGGAGTGTAAGGCTGGTACCAAGGAGGACCCTGCTCCCCTGATGCTCTACGTCTCTAAGATGGTTCCCACTTCCGATAAGGGACGTTTCTATGCTTTCGGTCGTGTTTACTCCGGTATCGTCAGGTCCGGTCTCCAGGTCCGCATCCAGGGTCCCAACTACACCCCTGGCAAGAAGGACGACCTGTTCATCAAGAAGATTCAGCGTACTGTTCTGATGATGGGCGGTAAGACCGAAGCCATTGACGACGTTCCCTGCGGTAACATCGTTGGTCTGGTTGGTGTTGACCAGTTCTTGCTCAAGTCTGGTACCCTCACCACCTCTGAGACCGCTCACAACCTCAAGGTCATGAAGTTCTCCATCTCTCCGGTCGTGCAGCGTTCCGTTGAGGTCAAGAATGCTGCTGATCTTCCCAAGCTTGTCGAGGGTCTTAAGCGTCTGTCGAAGTCCGATCCTTGTGTCCTGACCATGATTAACGAGTCCGGAGAGCACGTCGTTGCTGGTGCCGGTGAGTTGCATCTTGAGATTTGCTTGAACGATCTCGAGAATGATCACGCCGGTGTTCCCCTCAAGATCTCCGACCCTGTTGTCTCTTACCGTGAGTCCGTCGCTGGCACGTCCAGCATGACTGCTCTCTCCAAGTCTCCCAACAAGCACAACCGTCTCTACGTCACCGCCGAGCCAATTGAGGAGGAGTGTGCTCTTGCCATTGAGGCCGGCAAGATCAGCCCCCGTGACGATTTCAAGACTCGTGCCCGTCTCATGGCTGATGAGTATGGATGGGATGTCACCGATGCCCGTAAGATCTGGACCTTCGGTCCTGACACCACTGGTGCCAACTTGCTAGTTGACCAGACCAAGGCCGTCCAGTACCTTAATGAAATCAAGGATTCCGTTGTCTCCGGTTTCCAGTGGGCGACTCGTGAAGGTCCTATTGCTGAGGAGCCCATGCGTGCTGTCCGCTTCAACATCCTTGATGTTACCCTTCACGCTGATGCTATCCACCGTGGTGGTGGTCAGATCATCCCCACTGCTCGTCGTGTTCTCTACGCCGCTCAACTGCTTGCTGACCCCAGTATCCTGGAGCCCATCTTCAACGTTGAAATCCAGGTTAACGAGCAGGCTATGGGTGGTATCTACGGTGTCCTTACCCGCCGTCGTGGTCACGTTTACTCCGAGGAGCAGAGACCCGGTACCCCTCTGTTCACTATCAAGGCCTACCTTCCCGTCAACGAATCCTTCGGTTTCCCCACTGACCTCCGTGCGGCCACTGGTGGCCAGGCCTTCCCCCAGTCCGTCTTCGATCACTGGGAGGTTCTTCCTGGTGGTTCTCCTCTTGACCCCGCCACTAAGCCTGGTCAGGTCGTTACTGAGATGCGTAAGCGCAAGGGTCTCAAGGAACAGGTTCCTGGATACGAGAACGTAAGTCCTCCTTTCTACCAACATTTCGCACCCAGGATGCTAACAGTTCTACACAGTACTATGACAAGCTGTAAACCCGTTGATTGCAAATCTATGTTTATGAGATCGACGAATGCAATACTATGTCCATGCTAGGGCCAACACCCAAAAATTCAAAATAAAGCGCCACAGCTGAATGTCGTATGTGGATTTTCGACCTTTAGAAGTAGAGTCCAGGAGTGCATCTGCTATGGCTTTTCATTATCTATTGTTACGTTAACGAATGCGAGGGTTTTTACATAGTTTACTTGGCTTTTCTGGTTGGATTCCATTGTAGTTCCACAGTTCAAATTTCTCCGCAACTGCCCTTGTAGCATCTTGTAGCCAGCAGTCTCGCACGTACGTGATGCGCATGGTCTGTACATTTAGTACAGCCAACATCAACCCAGCACAGTCTAACCTGTGCTGCCTCGCCATCATGGCGCTTGCAGACATGGCAGTATACATCACGTGATCGTTTCCGTCATCCGCGTCGCCTCGCGTTTCCCCGGCTTCTTCTGTTCGCAAAGCTCTTCTTATGTCCCCTCACTCTGACCTCTACATCATGGCCTGAGCATACCTTGTCCTGTTTGATCCATAAAACTCCATAGCCCGCTGCCTCTCACTTGCGCTTTCTGAATTGCCTTCCTTACCGGTACCATTTTTCATCTTCAGCCGGATTCGCTTCTCGGGCCTTCAATTATCCTTAGCTACTACGCAGGTCGGCGAAAGGCGACGACTATCGGGATAGAGTGTGGGGCTAACACCACATAGCTGTGTGGCATCATGAAGTTCTCAGAAAGTGACGCCGCTGAGGTGAAGACTTGGGTGGTGCGAAAACTGGAAGACATGTAAGATCCTTTTACAATCGCGCGAGCTCAGTCCGGCGAGGTTCCTTTGTTGTGCCCTTCTTCAATGCTTCATGAAGCTAATTTGCACGACTTTCGATGGCTATGGTAGATCTGATGCCGATGCCGATGTACTTGCAGACTATGTACTCGCGCTTATTAGAGCCGACGCTCCAGATGAAGAAATCCGGAAAGCGTCTGTGGAGGGATTGGAAGATTTCCTACGAGAGCGTTCGTAAAATTTGCTCGACTTTGTTTGAATACTTTTCTAACCAAGCCACCCTGAAATTTAGATACGGTGCCATTTGTCGACGAACTTTTCGCTACTTTTGCGCCGAAACAAACTGCTCCTCCCGCAAGCTCGCATCCGCTGAACCAGAAGCAGATTTCCAATGACACCAATGCGCTGGAACCAAGCTCTCAGCAACAAGCCCCCTTTAACCCCCCATCTGGCCCTTCGAGAGGTCCTTACGGGGCTCCTATGGGTAACACCCCTCAGTCACAGACGGACTTGTCAAGCTATGGACGCAAGCGTAGCTACCATGAAGGGTTCCAGGCAGATCAAGAGCGCGAAGAGGTTCCACATAACAGGAACTTCAAGACACCGCGACGCGGTCGGGGTGGCGGAAGAGGAGATTGGATGGGGCGCGATAGTCGTGTAGCCCCCGGCCAATACGCCCCCCCACCTGCGGGTGGATTTCCTGTGATGCCTCCAAACTTTCAGTCGTTTGATCAGAATGACCCGATGGCGGCGATGATAGCCCTCCAGAGTATGGGGTTTCCACAGATGCCCGGCATGCCTCCCATGCCCATGCCAGCTCCTGGTGGCGGCGCTGGTCAGCCACAGGATCCAATGGCGCCAAAGAGCTCAGAACGGTGTCCCTTTTGGGATACACAAGGCATATGCTATCTGGGCGCTGCCTGTCCGTATCAGCATGATACGCCTGGTATTCCGAAGGAAGATGGTAGGACAAACACCCCTACTCATTGCGGCTGGTGTTGCTAACGATATATTGCAGAATATGACCCGAAATCGTCCAATATTGTGGCAGACTTCCAGAGACGGAACACGGACAATCCACCTCGTGGCAGCGACAGAGGCCGAGGCCGCGGCCGTGGTGGGGACAGGGGCGGATTTGGAGGACGAGGACGTCGATCCGAGTACTCTGCGGCTGGTCCTAATGAAGATACTTCTATCACAACCATTGTTGTTGAGCAAATCCCGGATGACAAACTTGATGAGGCCTCAGTGAGGGAGTTCTTCTCTCAGTATGGCGACATTGTTGAGCTTTCTCTACAGCCTCACAAGAAACTTGCATTGATCACATATGATAGCCACACATCTGCCAAGCGCGCATGGTCTAGCCCCAAGGTGATTTTCGATAACCGATTCGTCAAGGTTTACTGGCATAAGGCGAAGGCAGATAAGAATAGTGATCATCGACCAGGGGCCAGTGAGGTTGAGCCGTTCAACCAGGAGGAGTTCGAGAGGCAGCAAGAAGCAGCGCAAAAGGCCTACGAGGAGAAGATGCAGAAGCGCAGGGAGACAGAGGAAGCCAAACAAGCACTAGAGAAGCAGCGCGAGGAACTCTTGAAGAAACAGCAGGAAGAGAAGGAAAGACTGATGCAAAAGCTTGGCGGGAACGATGTCAACAATGGTGCTGCGTCCTCAGACGGAGAGAACGGTCCCTCACCCCAAGAGAATGTCAGCGATCAAACGAAGCAGCTGCGCGCACAATTGGCAGCTCTCGAAGCCGAAGCCAAGACGCTTGGTATTGATCCCAATGGCGCTGATTCTGGTGCGCCCTCATATCGCGGCCGTGGCCGTGGATACCTGGGACGAGGCGGTTATGCGCCCCGTGGTCGTGGATACGATCCCAATTATCGTGGAGGATATCGTGGTCGTGGCGGAATGGCCCGTGGCCGGGGAGGTGTACTTCGTCTCGATAATCGACCCAGGAGAGTTGCCGTCTCAGGCGTTGAGTTGAACTCTGAGAAAGACGAAGCATTGAGGCAGTTCCTCATCGTGAGTATTTTTCTTTCCTTGTCTTGGCTTATCTATATCGAACTACAGCTGATGTCGTTAAATGTTAGGGCGTTGGTGAATATGAGTCCATTCAACCTAATCCGGAGCAATCGGATTCTGTGATAGTCGCATTCAAAGAGCGGTACCTTGCCGAGAAATTTATGTACGGACCATGGCAGATACCATCTGTCGGCGAAGTGCAGCTCACTTGGGTACCCAACCCTCCAATCAGTGTGGCGCCCACGACACCGGGCTCTGGATTGGATACCAAAACCGGATCCGATGAGGATACTGTGATGGAGCCCACGAGTACACCCCTCCCCCCTGATCCATCAGCCGGACGGAGAGATGGAAATCATGAAGTGGATTACGACGTGGCAGAGGATGACGATAGTTGGGGGTTACAGTAGACATGACACTTTCTTTCCCTGTATACTTAGATGGATATAACGACTCAGTGTCCTACATGGGAAAAGAACAAAAAAAAAAAAGTCCATGTTCCCGAATTCACTGAAGAGCCTTGTTTCCTCGTGTCTATCTGAAAAGTGATTGTGGATGCCCAGGCCACGTTATCATTAATCACCTGAGGTGGAGTGAGCTTTCTTAGTCCGTCCTCGGTAACTATTCACTAGACTTGTATATTTATATTGGATCTTCCCCCTCTACACAAATCCAACCCCCACCATATCCACCCAACTCTCAAGAAAACCAAAACCATGAGCCCCCAGCCCACCCCCTTTGAAGAAGGCGCCTTCCTCCCAGGCGGCCACAACACCGACCCTCCCCTCCCACCAAATGACCCAACAATCGGGACAAAACTAAACCACTCGATGCTCCGCATCCGAGACCCGCAACGCTCGCTCCACTTCTACATCAACCTCATGGGCATGCGCACCGTCTTCACCATGAACACCGGCCCCTTCACAATGTACTACCTCGGCTTCCCCTCCAGCGCCGAAGACCGGGCCGACCTGTCCGCGTGGGCGGCTAAGGTTTCCGACCCGCCGAATCTCACCCAAACGCTGGGGTTGCTGGAGCTGTTCCATATCCATGGGACGGAGAAGCCCGTGGAGGAGGGCGGTGTGGAGATGGCGAACGGGAACGCGCCGCCCAATCTGGGGTTCGGGCATCTGGGGTTCACGGTTCCCGATGTGAGGGCTACCGTCGAGAGATTGAGGGCCCAGGGCGTCAAGGTTGTTAAGGAGCTGGGGGTTACGACGAGAGAGAGTATACCGTTGAGTGAGTGGGAGGAAGGGAGGGGTGTTGGGGTCGGAGAGATTCATCCGAACTACAAGGTGTTCTTCGATCAGATTGCTTATGTGTCTGATCCGGTATGTTACTTCTTCTTCTCCTTCTTCTTGATTTGTTATATTTGGAATTGAGGGACTGTGATGGTAGGCTAACTGTGTGTGTAGGATGGATATATTATTGAGATTCTTCCGCAGAATTGGCAGTGAGCAGCAAGTGAGTGGGAGGGTGTTGATGCTTCGTACCGCTGTAAATATACGACCCTAGCTATATAGATATATCACGAATATGACCCCAAGGAATACTAGAGAATCATCAGAAAGCCTGCCATATTAACTTAGAATCATGACCGTACAAGCTCGGATGGTTGATTAACAAACTTGTGTCTCTTTTTTCTCTCCAGCTTGCCTCAGCTCCAAATGAAAGTGTAACCATCTGTAAATGATAGATACTCTGCAGTCTACACAACGGTGAAAATCTTGACATAATTGTAGATATTTGTTTATAAACGATGAGCATAATTGACGGCTTGGAGCATACTTCCTCGATATATGTACTGCATGAGCTGTATGCAGATCTTGCAGCTTCGGTATGCCAAGGAACAAGGGTAGGTGTATAGGTATCACCATCCCTAGCTTTTCTGGAGTAGTTGTTCTGGTGGGAAATACTAGCTCCCTTTTTTTTTTTTACCTGTTTACCTTGTCTTTACTATCCTAAACACTCAGTTTTTCACAATTTTTGTCTAATCCAACCAACCAAGTGCACTAGTCAGAGGTCTCGTGGAGATATATACTATACTGTACGCGCCCTATTATTGCTTTGTGGCAAAGTGAATTATAAAATAGGATATTGTTGTCACCACATGTATACACAAGAGGTACATACTTCCTCCACGCCAACCATGAAGATATACTATTATATACTATTTTACTTATAGACGAAGGACCTGATTTTGAGATTTCAATGTAGGAGAAAAGTCCATAGAGGCTTGGATCTGAGATCGGCGTTGGTAATACCAACACGAAAAAGGTTTAGATGTTTTACTTTAATCCTTCCCATATGGTCCTTTGAACCTATTGAATAACTGGAACCATGACTAACTCTGGCCGTCGTATAAGTGCCCGAGGCTCATCATTCACAGCCACCCTGGTGATATCTCCACGGGCTCAATTTGAGGTTTGCCGAATACGAGCTTTCCCAACAAGCTTCCCGTGACGTCAAGCCCTCCAATGCATATTTCCCTTACATATACGGAGCTTTTGACAAACCATGGATAGCTGCAGATCAAGACCCGGTCCAATGGTTAGGGATCTGACTTATCCAGCGACCTGCCCAGATTAGGAAAACACTGCCCCGGGCCCGATGTGCTGTCCCGAACATAGAGTTAAGCAAGCGAATACGACTGCATAGCCATGTATCTGGCAACGTAGGGTGTCGTGCCGGGGCAAGAATGAGATGTTGTATGCTTTATTCTGGATGTTAATCGAAGTTATAAATAAGGTATCTGTGTCGCGTTCATGGAAGTAGAATTCTCTAGGACAATTCAAATCTGCTTTCTCTTTACACGGCACATCACTAGATTGAACCTGCATCATGAAGTCATTGATTTGGGCACTGCCTTTTATTCCGCTGGCATATGGCAATACCAACTCCTCGTCATGTCGTTGCCAACCGCACCAGAGCTGCTGGCCCTCTGAACAAGAATGGAACTCTCTCAACAGTACCATCAACGGAAACCTAGTGGCCGTACGACCTATCGCAGCTGTCTGCCATGGAGGTGACCGGAATAGTTCAGCATGTAAGGAAGTCACGGCGTCCTGGACGAACTCGACCTGGCGAGCGGCGCAGCCCGGTGCCGTACAATGGGAAAACTGGGAGTCCTGGCCGGAGCATAATCAGACTTGCTACATCGAGAGTCCACGAAACACACCATGTGGACAGGGCCAGATCTCCCTCTATTCGACACTCTCCAAATCAGCATTTGATATCCAGGAGACGGTGAAGTTCGCAAAGCAACATAACCTTCGTCTCGTGGTCAAGAACTCAGGGCATGATTTCCTGGGCCGTGCTTCCGCTCCAGGGTCACTGCAGATCCTTACCAATGGGATGAAGGATATCAAGATTGTGGACAAGTTCACCCCTGCTGGTGCACAAAAGGGTAAAGACAAAGGCCCTGCAGTTACAATAGCCGCCGGTGTCAGTCTGCAGGAGTTGTACGCTGCTGTTGCCGCGAGGAATAGAACCGTTGTTGCCGGATCTTCTCACACGGTTGGTGCTGCAGGGGGGTATATTCAGGGTGGTGGACATTCTACCCTGGGACCATGGAAGGGGATGGCTTCGGATAATGCCCTGGAGTTCACCATTGTGACTGCTAATGTAAGTGACAACAACACATCCCTGCTCAAGAAGGTCCATACTGATATTACCACTATAGGGAGAAATAGTTGTGGCAAATGATTACCAGAACAAAGACCTATTCTGGGCTCTTCGAGGCGGGGGTGGGGGTACCTTTGGGGTCGTTGTAAGCGTCACAGTACGCACATTCGACGACGCACCCCTTATTCTAACCAACCTCAACATCACAACTTCAGTGGGGAACCCTCAGTACTGGGATGCCGTGACAGCCTTCCACGCATCTCTGCCAAGGATAAACGACGCCAAAGGCGCCGGATATTACTGGATGGTTCCAGATATTAAAATAACAGAGAACACTAGCGTCTCAACATTAACCCAAATGTTCATCTTCCCCAATCAAACAGACACGGCACAGATTGACCGTCTGTACGCCCCTCTTATTTCGAGATTGAACGGTACTGCTGGTGTATACACCCAGTACGCCTCCTACCTAATCCCGAGCGTCGGCTTCGTCTTTTCCAATATTTTCCTCACTGGCAACTCCGACCAAACAGGTGGCGTGAGCGTTTTAGGCTCAAGGCTCTTCTCTAGGGACCTTTTGTCATCCAATAATGGCTCCAGAAAACTAACCTCCGCGCTGCGCTCCATCCGCATCGACCCCGGTTCAGCCATTCTCGGCCATCTCGTAGCTGGCGGCGCCGTAGCAGATAACGCAGGCAAGGTAGACAGTGCGCTGAACCCTGCGTGGAGGAAAGCAATCACTCACATTGTTATATCCCGGGGCTGGGAACCAAACGCCACTTTGACTGAGCAGGAGGCCGTGAAAAAGAACCTTACTGATGTGGAAGTGCCGATCCTGAGATCTGTTGAAGGAGCCGATAAGATGGGCGCTTATTTAAACGAGGCGAATCCATATGAGTCGGAGTTCCAGAGTTCGTTCTGGGGAGAGAATTATCAGCGTCTGTTGGAGGTCAAGAAGAAATGGGATCCTGAGACCCTGTTTGTTGTAAGGAGAGGTGTTGGAAGTGAGGAGTGGGATGAATGGGGACTTTGTCGGGTTGGGAAGTAGATGTGTACCTCTCTGGGTGTCATGTGTTGAGAGCTATTCTGGGTTTCTGCTTTTGCTTTTGCTTTTTCTCTTCTCAAATTTCTCTCTCTCTCTCTCTCTCTCTCTCTTATATTGCATCTATACTGTTGATTGAGCTGTTAGAGAAGACAATCTCGTTAAGATATTTTATTATGTTCTGGTTGAACAGATTCCCCTCTATTCGCTGGGTTACAGGGGGTATCTAATGAACACCAGTAGCAGGATGATAACAAGAGACACTGCGGAACCTATCAGTCAGGCCCGGTTTACAGTAACCACTGTATTCATAAAGCCTATGTAGTCATGCCTAGCTGCTGCCGCTTCCTAATGATGCTTTTGAAAGCTGAAATAAACGACAAGATTCCCCGAGACCCGGTGCATAAGGCAAATAGCCACAAGGCACTACCAGTCCATGCATGCGCCATGTTGATGTCGAAGAATACCCAAACAATGCGCTATGCATCATTCACCTTTGAGCGTCGAGTGTGCAAAAGTAGTGGCGGGTAATTAAACGTCGCTGAGAGGATCAAGAACTAGAAAGTCAAAAGTATAGGTAGTCATGATCGAAACGGAGGGTTACGTCCCTGAGAACCGCCGCTTGGCGTTGAGCGAGTGCTGATGCTATTTGAGTGGCCGGAGGGGTAATTCTTTTCATCCTCGCTATCGCTGTCCATTTGATCTAATAAGCGATCGATTTCATCACCGGCTTGAGCTTCTAATCCCACGCCTGAGTCACGATATACAGGACGACGCTGAGCCGGGTCTACAAGCATGTGCGTGTCTTGACTCCCAGGTGCGCTGTATTTAGTCTGCGTAGATGTAATGCTGCTATGTGTATGATTTGGCTGACTTCGGGATGGCTGTGAATTGGAGCAGTACCCCGAGGGTCCCGGACTGGACATGAAGAGTAGCGTCTCTATCGCATCTTGTTCCATGGACGAGTTTTGTGAATGGCTTTGCTGACTGGATAGGCCGTCGTGAGGCAATGGACGGAGAGGAGGTGTCTCAGGAACTAATACCGTCTCTGAGCTAGAGTTTCGTTTGATTGTACTGACACTTTGCTGAGAATGATGCCGTCGATGGCGAGGGTAAGGGAAATTCTGTGTCTGACTAGTGGGATCATTTGGGTTCGGGCGCCTGCGCCTACTGCTGTCACTTCTTGGAATGATATCTGCAGGTGGTGCGAGTCTCGCAAATCTGGGTAGTGAAGAAAGTGGGGTGTGTGATTTTCGGGGATCACTCTTCAAAGATGGTGCAGAGTCTTCCGATCTGGCTGTCGGGGACAATCGCATAGGATCGTTGAATGTGTGGAAAGGAGATTTTGGTACTGTATCTGGCACAGACATAGAAGTAATTGCGCCAGGAGAGCTGGGCTCCACTACGCCTCCTCCCCGCCCTATCCTTTCGAACGGGTCGGCAGCGGGAGTTGAAGATGAACGGTCACCGTGAAGCAAACCCAACGATAACTTGTTCTGAGAGCCCTGTGACCGTCGGCTTGCCTCGATCTTAGCAGCAGCGTAAGACAGACGTGTGCGAAGGTGCACAGACAACTGCATTGGTGTCAGCAATACAGTTCAGAAAAGACGACCTACGGAGTCTCGTTACCGCTGCAATTCTATTTCCATGCGTAGCTGAGCTATTGCTTTTAGACCGACGTCTCTCGGTAATGGTTCCACTTGAACTATAATGTTGATCTTCCACCGATGGTTTGATAAAGCCAGTTGCAGTTCTCTTGTGACCCGCAGCTATCCCAGACGGGCTTGGGGGTTCTGGAGCTGCTGTGGAACTATTGTTGTGCACACTGGAAACCGAACGTTTGGATTCAACTTGCTTCCTCTCTGATGTATCGCCTATGGTTATTTGGGTATATCTAGGTCGCATTTGTGATCTATCTGGGGAAGAGCGAGACCGGGTAGTCGGATACCTTGCACCCGATGATTCTTGGGAGTGGGAAAGGACGCCTGTTGGCGAGGCTGGATTGGTAGCTCGGCTAGAAGCTGCAAGAAGTGTATATTCTGATGCGGGCTCGATCACTGTACTCGCAGGAGCAATTGAAGACTGCGACTCTGAAGGGTGACTGCCATGCCCTGAATTGGTCGAATCCAAGCGGTCAATCGTGGGAGCATATGGGGCAGGCTGCTTGGGATCACACTGCAGCGAAGAAGGCTGCGCATGTTGCACGTGTTGGCGCCCATGTAAATGCGGCAATCCGCTCATCCTGACTGAGGGGCAGCGAATCGCGCAGGACGCGGCCCTGTAGACTGGGACCTTGGGGGTTCAGTCCACGACAACCGACGAGATACAGACGTTAGAATGCCGACAAATGGAAGGTCCCGCAATTGGACAAAGATAATCAATCGCCCAGATGTCCTTGACCCATAGAGGTGATCTTCAATTCCAAGCGCCGAACAATCTAATCTCCGCCCGGGTCAAGGGTGTTGGCGCGGGAACGTGCAATGCGGAGCTATCAACCCTATTCCTGACACACCGTTCACAGAGCAATCGCGCTGCGCAAATGGCCTCAATTGGGATTGAATTCCACACTCTGCTTGGCTGCAAGGGATGTTTATCTAGAGTCCCGTCTTTTGAACGCAAGGAGTGGCTTGTAGTGAAGGATTAACCGGGACAAGCACGCTTCGTCCCCACACGTAACTTAGTTCCGACACTTGGTTGATTGAAGTGAGGAGACACGGGTGAGGATTGGAACTGAAGCCAGTAGCACATGGAGCATACCTGCTGAATGATCTTCGGGCTGTCAAGTCAAGTAGTATTTGTTTAACCTTCGAGTGGCCAACTCTATTCCAGTCGACGCGTTCCGCGGCGCGGTCACGTGGGTGGTTCCGCCTGCATGCTTAGGCAAGTAGTATCGTATCAACAACCGCACGTAAGCAACATGACAGCGGAAGGAAAAAGAGGCAACTCAACAACAGATGACACAAAAAAGACCCAACCCTGAAGAATAAAAAACACATTCTATTCCTTGGTATATATCATCGAGATATAATTAAACGCCATCCACCATGCAGCATATCAATAGATACATATGGGCATTATCCCAGAAAACGGACTTTTACCAACCAATATACATGCAACGATAAAAAACTGTCCAGACGTTCAAGATCACTTGCGCTTCTTGCCTCCACCTCCTCCATCTTCGTCTGTATTCTTTCGTTTCTTGCCCTCTCGCCGCCAGTAATCGTCGCGCTCCCGTTTCTCCCGGGCTTCCTTCTTCTCCAAACTGTCGGCGACCTTGGCGCGATAGACCTGTCTCCGCTCTTCCTGCTTCGCTGCGCGTCGAGCTTGCTTGTCGTTCCGCATGGTGGTCAGCTTCTGCATAAGATCTCGTGCCTTCTTCTCCTCTCCCCCAAGGACAACAGCCCGCTTTTGCATATAGGTCTGGTCTTTGCGCGATTTCATCTTGGTGATCTGGGATTTGAATGGAAGGTCTTTAGCCAGCTGTCGTGGGACGCGGAGGGGATTGAAATGACGCTCCTGTCGTTCAATGGGACGATAGGCAGAGTCCTTCTGCAGGGGCGTTGGGATACCCTTCTCACGGCGGACTTCGCCGGTGAGACGCATTCCCTGCCACCCACTATCGCCTGCATTGTCTTCTTCCAGGTCAAGCAAGTTTGTTACCGGGTTGTAGAATCGATGAGGTTTGATAGGATACCACGCGCGTAAAAAGACAATGTCACTCATAAGAATCTTATCTTCAAATGTCGCACGGAAGCAACCTTCGGGCTTGCTCAACGCTCTCTTGACTTGACCTCGAATGCCAGATACAGTTCGAATCGCGGTACCCTCAAACTTAGCGATTTCAAGGGAAGAGTTGAACATATCCTTGATGAAGGCCGTGTTTTTGAAGATCTTGTAAGGTGTACCAGTCAACTTGAGCTTCTTTACAATATCCGTATGTTCATCCACGCTCAGTACTACTCCGGTTGCCGCAATTCGGAAACCTGGGGCCTTGTTGGAGAAAGATTGCATGCAACAGAAACCGGTGTTTGGTGCAACGAGTGGTCCATAGAAGGTGGCAAAGCAATGCATGTGTTCTGGGGTGTATTTAAGCATGCGGTTACGCGTCCGATTGTCGGATGTGCTGTACATTGGTAGGGTCTGGAAACGGCGCCACCCGAGAGAGAAGATCAAGGGATCGTTACTCTTCAAAATCTTCTTGTGCCAACGGTGTCTCTTGATCCGAATCTGCACATATCCAAATCGGTCTTCAGTGGGTGCCAGTCCACCGACAATGACAGGGAAGCGAGGATTGAATTTGGTCGCAAATTCGCAAGGTACATTTTCCAGAACGATACGGGCGTAGGTTCCGGCCTTGAAACCTTCAGCTCTAGCCCTTGAGGCTGGGTCCAATGTATCAAATTCGGCCCGGTTGATGTCTAGCTGTTTCTGCAGCTTCGCTTTCTGTGCATCGTACCATTCATCTTCACCGAACTCTTCATCGCCTCCACCGTCCTGTCGTGAGTTATCCTTGGAGTTGGCGAATCCCTCACGGTCTTCCTCTTCAAAGCGCAATCTCAGCTCCTCCTTCTTCTTGGCGTTTCGTTCGCGCTCTGCTTCGAGATCCACGGATCCCTCGTTGCCTGAACCCTCATCCTGCTCCTCCTTCTCGTCCGAGATGCCATTGAACACCTCACCAGTCTCTAGGTCCTCGAAATCTCCATCTCCTTCATCATCTTCGTCGAAGGCATCATCAACATCCGAATCATCGGCATCACCATCGCCAGACAACCTAGCAGTGGCGAATCGGTTCCGTAGAGATTCAATCATCTCTTCATCCCGCCATTTCCGCTCTAACTCTTCGTAGTCGAACTCGGGGACGGCACGATATTCCGACTGCTCTTCCTTTTCGTTGTTGGTCTTCTTGAAGAAATCGTCGGCATCCTCTTCGATATCCTCGTCGGCATCCTCCTCTTCATCCTTGCCGGACCATCTCCGAATCACGTCAAGAGGAGTGATAGATTCGTCGTACATCATGCGAGACAGGTCCGCAACACGATATTTTGGTCTTTTGGCATGGAGCGCCTTGGCATTGTCGAGCATTCTCTCTTTCCACCGAACAGCACCATCCTCATCCTCATCCTCTCCATCAAGATCTTCGTCGTCGTCAGTTTCCAGTTCCTGGTCTTCAACAGACGAAATGGATCCGAGATCAGAATCACTGTCGGCGAATGCGATGTCACCTTCGTCATGGCGGCTTTTGCCCTCCTGTTTCTCTCTAAACCTTGCTTCGAAGTCGGGAGGTGCGGACACGTCAATGTTCTCTTCGTCACTGTCGCCCTCCAGTTCCTCATCATCGTCATCCTCGGCGCTTTCGAAACCTTCATCTTCCTCTGCCTGACCTCCTTCTCCATCCATAAACCTCGCATGTCTCCTGTGCTTCCTTCCTGCGCCCTCATCCTCATCGTCCGCCTTCTCTATAGCCTCACCACCTCGGAACAGACGGACACCTCCATCGGCTTCACCAAGGAGTTTGCGTTCACCCTGAAGACCAACAACGAGCTGTTCACCAAGGCCACGATCTTCATCTTCAGACTCATCATCCCCTTTGTTAAAATTGGCAGTCTTGACGTCAATATACACAGCATCTTTATCGACCAAAACACCGCCAACGTCAGACATAGGGGCGAAGAGTAACTTTTGCTTTTCCCCCAGCCTGCGTTTGCTTGCCTTGCCCGAGACTTTCGCCATTTGTTGATCCATAAAGGGGGTTGGGCATGGGTCTGGAAGTGACTCAATGCCAGAGACAGTTAAATCGCCCACTCCAGGTACATGAACTCGCGCTCCTTGAGCTGAAAAGTTTGTACCTCGTAGATAACCGTAGAGAGCCACTGTCCGGTCGCATTTCGGATTCTCTTCGATCTGAGTAGGTGGCGTAATATCCAGAAAGCGATCTGCAAGCGCATAAGGGTGTGAATTGCGCCATACCAACGGTCTAGGGTTTTTCATGACCGACAGGAAACGGGAGAGGTTGTGTATTTCGCGATCAGGATACCGGCCGTTGACGACACCAGAAAGGTAGAAGAGTTTAGCACCATTATAAAGCTCGCTCCAAAAGCGATGCTTCAAGCGCTTCTTTGCCATTCGAAGGGTGCTCTGCTTTTTGAAAAGGTCCAAATGGGTTAAGATACCGAACACATTTCCTGGCATACCACTGGAAGACAAGACGTTCAGGAACTCCATAGTCTCCATCTCGAATCCATAGTTGCCGTCAATCATCAGAAGCACAATATCGGCGATTTTCGCGACATCGACCATACTGGCAAGGGAGTCGGAGGGGCATTCGAGGAAAGTGAGCCGGCGCCGTTTGGATGTCACCACAGTCAAGGGTCCTTTGGGGGTGCTGAGTGTTTGTTTCGTGTAGCGACGGATCAAGGATTTAACGAGAGTCGTTTTCCCTACCTAATCGAACCAATTGCTGTCAGGTACTTTCCCATTCTCCGTATGTCCATCTAGAAAACTTACACCCGGTGGTCCAACAATTGCAACGACGAGGGGAGGTGCCTCTTCAGGCACACGATCCACCAGCGGAACATGAAGCCTCTTTTCTTTAATCTACATCGAGTGCCGTTAGTCCCTGGAACTCTCGAAAGTCGGAGTTTGGCTCATACATCATGCGACCGCGCGCCAGCTTTATTTCCTTTTCCAGGATTCGAGAATGCGAAGGCTTTTGGATTCGGGCCTAAATCGCGATCTCCATATCAGTAAATGTATCCCACCGGAGGGACATCAAAATGCATAGATCACCGCAATCAGATCCTATACAGAGTGCATACCATCATGTTTCTTTTTCTCCTTCGAGGGTCGATGGACCCTGTTCGCCTGGTTCTCCATTGTCGAGAAACAAGGTCAGTGACCTCTGAGAAAAAAAATCTTTTTCTCTTTCGACGACAGAACTCGTAGCAGAGTCAAGCAATCCGCAAGCTGCTTTAGGTAGCTTGGTCCAAAATTATTATTTCCATTTTCTTTTCTCGGGACGGAATTTTGCAAGCGCCGATATCTTCCCGCTAGGAAAAGTTTCTTATTGTCGACACCTTACTGCCTGAGGTACTTAAGTTTCTGATAAGAATGGTTATCTCTGTAAATTCACGTGCTCTCCGGGCCGGGGTAAGTGAAGGGTCCACTTTATCGGTCCGATAGATAAGAACTATAAAAGAGAATCAAGAATGTTGAAGACAGCTTATTGGAACTATTTAAGATTCCTTCTCTACTATCTCAATCATCACTATTGCGTAGACCTGTAGCACATCTCTATTAGCAATGATATCATGATATAAACGCTGAGACTAAATACTGATTAACCAGAACATGCATATGACTAGAGAAAGCCTATCATTGAATAAGAGGTTTTCGGTATTACCTAGTAATCTAGGTCTGGTTGTCCTCATATAGTAGGCCAGCTGGCTACTGGGTAGGTGGCCACCGCTGCGAAGTATTGTAGAAGCTTCAAACATTTCAATGTAACTGAATCAGAATGACAAGTTTTCAGCCTTGAGTCTGTACTTGATGAACGGCTGGAACTAAGATTAATTATTAAGGTAGACGTTGCATCTGCTCCCTAAATCTATATGAATCAAGTATCATTTTGATCCCATGAACCGGACCCAGTCTTTCCTCTTGTTCTTCACAAAGTACAGCGTAGTTGTTCATAGACCGCGAACTCTTGCCCAGACTTCTTCTTTAAAAGAACAGCCTGGCTACAGATATAGTGTCTCCGTAATATCAAACAAGGTTGGTGTGGGGGACAAGTTCTCTTTTGCACTGACAAAAAGAGTCAACCAGTTCTGGCCTAATGTGGGGTTGTCCCCACAGTTTGGGGTGGGTTAACATGGGGGGATCTATATAGTTTAACTCAGACGTTGAAAGATAGCGTGTAGCTTATCTACATAGTCGATGCATCATCCCAGTGGAGTGAAGAGGACGCTAATTAGTAAAGTTAGGGTGGTTTATTCAGAGGATATGATCAACGAAGCCTTTTGATGCCGTCCTAAACAGGGTATATTGGTCTACTAAGCTGGTCGTGTAAGTGTCTGTTGTTCGGTTAAAAGGTGCTAATATTGATGGTGAATTTAACCTTGTCCTAAAATAGAGTCGAGATATGATTGTTGATAACCAGGGTTTATATATATATGCCTGGTATACGAGACGACTCATAGAAGAAGCAGGCTAGCTGATAAATTGTGCACAAGCCGGTATGTGCCAGAACCGATTTAACCCGTAATATGAATGAGATTAACGAATGCTGCAACTGTACTGTACCGAGATTATGAATCCAAACTGATTAATCGATAAGGGCTTAAGACATAATGACACATGCAACTAGGCTGCACGGTAGGAGGGCTAATATGTATATATGAAACATCGCGCATTTGAACGTCACTCCAAGCCCTAGTTGGTACACTCTTTTTTCTTCGCTGTTCATTGGTCCAAACATTCTGAATTCGATATGGCGCCAAAAAAAATGGGGGGCCCAGGAATTTTCCTTATCATGATTTGATACGAGCGGCGAAAGGGGCCTTTTAGAACTTCGAACAACCTGTACCACACCATGAAAGACCTACTCATGTGTCTCACATCGATCAACCTCCTAGCGTTCAGTAACTATGTAATATTAGTGGCTGGTCAATTTTGTTTTAGTAGAAACTTCGAAATCTATACCGGTGATTGGCACATCAGACTCGAGCTGCGTTAGTCAATGCCTTATATCTTAGAGCGGGGACAACTTCCGAACCATCAAGACTCTCGGGCCGGCAACCGGACCGTCTCAATTGGGGTAATGGTTGAAGATGAGTTAGCGGGGCATTTGATAAGCTACTGGACTTGTCGGAGTGTCGCCGAGATGGGGTCAATAATAAAAGGATTGCGCCACCCCTCAAAGGGCTCTTCATTGATTCTCCCTCGTCAACCTTTATACTTCTCCCGTGATTATAAACACTCACGATCAAGAACGCAGAAATGGGTGTAAACCGTCGTCCTCCACCAGCATATACTGCTCCTCCGGACTCTACAGTCCATGCTTCTTCCGAAGTCTACAGAGCCATCTCAAACACTGCCTCAGATGACTCCCGGAGAACCCTAGAGACATCTTTCACCATTCGTCCATGCTCTGGACAAGCATGGGTTGTACCGGCCGGGCATGTTTGTCGTCTAACTACCCCAAAGGGCCCTCAAGTGGGTGATCTGAACATATGGAATGCAAACAATCCCAGAGAGCGACTTTGGGCAGCGCGCACCCGTCAAATTCATGCCTCCCACGTATCTGTTGGAGATCGCCTTTGGTCCAATCTTCCATACCTCCGGCCGCTCGTTACCATCACGGGTGATTCACTTGGAGGCGGACAGCTGCATGAAGTGCTTGATGTAGAGGGTAAACGGACAAAGGGCTTTGGAACGACTCAATGGGGAGGACGAGTTCATGATCTTCTGGGTACCCGATGCGATCCCTATGTGAATCTCCTGATGGGTGGCGAGTCCTTCGACTTTCATTGTCATTCGAACCTGACCCGCTCTGTACTCCCATACGGATTGACAGAACTTGACGTGCACGACGTCCTGAATGTGTTTCAGGTGACTGGGTTGGATGAAGAAGGCAAGTACTTCATGGAAACTTCCCCGGCGAGGTCAGGAGAGTATTTCGAGTTCTTCGCTGAGGTCGATGTTTTGTGTGCACTCTCGGCGTGTCCTGGTGGTATGTATCGCTTGTCTTCTTAGTGGATCGAAGAGTCGTATCATGCTAACGGCCGTGCTTAGGTGATTTGTCCAACTGGGGTTGGGAGGAAAAAGGCGAAAACATGGGAGCCACTACCCGTCCGCTCGGGGTGGAAGTGTACAAATTGACTGACCCCAAGGTCCTGGAGAACTGGAAGGCGCCTGAGCCTCCTAAGTATAGAGGAATACATGGGTTGACGATGCCACCGCGTGAACACGATGGATCAGGCTACGTTGGGTTGTAGTTGTACCGGCGATTCGACGCGGTGTGGCACTCAACATGTGCTGGTATTGACCGCGCGTTGGCTTTGGTACAGGGAGATCTCTATCTATCAGCAGGCTTGACAGTGTCTTTATGTAATTGGTGAAACCTTCAGCGATAAGGGTGACTCAAGTACTAGTACTATGCACCTGACACAATGTTGGCCAGAATCCAACAGACCCCGATGCACATTGAGAGCGCTGTGTTCTGGCCCAGGTCCAGCACGTGGCTGTTGACATCTCATTTGCGTCACTTCATTATCTTGCAGTATAGATAGCCTTAGCAAATCTAATTGAATAACTCAATCATTGTACCTAGCTTTGGAGGCGGAAATTATCGCGAGGGTGTTTTGGCTATTGGTGGTGATAAATCCCGCAGGCGGGCTGTTCCTCGACAAGATTCACCCGTTGGCCAGAACATCAACCCATGTAGAACGAAGATCCCTGCCGTGTAATTACCTTATCGCCATCATACGAACGATTGTCAAAGTAGGCTTAGCTTGTGCCGAGTTACTGGAGATAAAGATATCGCCTCCATATGTATATAAGGCTGTCTTGGTCGATGGCGCTCTTGAATAGCAAAAGTTGCGATTTACTGCTAGCAGACACTTCCTGGTACTCATATGCCTTTGGAAAGACGTTAGGCTATTATTTGGGTAAAACCTTCGTCGAGAACATTTAGTGATCCCGTGCAAAAGGAATAGATGTACGTCAGTCACTGCCATACTCTCTCCTAGCAATTACCTACCCCCAAATCTCTTCGACAAGAATGTATGCTTGTTAACATAGCCCCACTGCCAGTCAGTCGAGATATCGATGAAAGCACTAATCTCTTTTTAATCTAGCAAATAGCCGCTCCCTGCACTGGGATGGACGAGAACCGAGATTTCGAAAAAGGCGCTATAGTACAGAAGAGTCTGGAGAATGATACGCAGCAACCACACGATGACATTTACAATGTCCGGCCTTGGAATACTCCTTTGGATAGACTCCAGAGTGCAGTAAGCACACTGGGTGAGGCAGATGAGGATCCCGGGCTACGCAGGCCGGGAGATTACAAACAACCTCAGGTATGAGACACACAGGCGGAATTGGCCATCGTACTAAGCATCTACAGGTGTTCGGAGGAAGGATGCTTCTCTGGCTCGCCTATCAATCGATTGGTGTTATATACGGTGACATTGGTACCAGTCCTCTTTATGTTTACTCGTCAACATTCAGTGAGCCACCGTCCCGGCAAGACCTCATCGGGGTCCTCTCCATAATTATCTGGAGCTTGTTCATGATGGTGACGGTCAAGTATGTCTTGGTTATTCTTCGAGCAGATAATGATGGCGAAGGAGGCACATTTAGCACATATTCCTTGCTGAGTCGTTATGTAAGACTCCCTACGATTGCATTCCCAGTTGTAGAAACTGACCCTCGCATCCCTAGATGAACATTACCCACCGTGACCCAAGAGAGGCTTCTCTTGTCCAAATGAAAAGGCACTTGACAGATGAACTTGAACTAACAAGCAGGCATGTGCGCCATCGACTTGAGTCAAGCAGCGTTGCAAAACGCCTCCTCAAAGTCATGGGAGTATTGGCAGTTACCATGGTCATTGCAGATGGCCTCCTTACACCAGCTCAATCGGTGCTAGGTGCCGTCCAAGGGATTGAAGTAGTATCGCCCAACATTTCGAAAGGCACCATTATAGGAGTTACCGATGCTATTCTGATAGTTCTGTTTCTAATTCAGCCGCTTGGCATTACCAAGCTTACATTTGCTTTTGCGCCCATTGTCATCATATGGCTCGGCTTCAACGCTGCTTTTGGCATATACAACCTTGCAAATTACGACGCCGGTGTCTTCATAGCATTCAACCCTGGGCATGCCTTCAGTTTCCTGGCCCGGCATGGCGAGGAGGGTTGGAGGATGCTTAGTGGAACGTTACTCGCTTTCACTGGTGTTGAGGCTCTCTTCGCAGACATTGGAGCCTTTAGCAGAAGAGCCATACAGATCAGCTGGCTAGGCTGCGCCTTTCCATGCTTACTCTTGGCTTATATCGGACAAGCAGCCTATATTAGTGTACATCCGGAAGCATATTCGAATCCATTTTTTAAAGCTGCACCACCGGGCACTATCTATCCTGCGTTAGTTATTGCAATCCTAGCTGCTGTCGTTGCCTCTCAGGCCATTATAACGGCAACCTTTCAGGTAAGACGATAACCGGCTTTCTCAACACCTGTCGCTAACCCTCCCATCAGCTCCTCACGCAAGTGATGAAACTGTCATACTTTCCGCAAATCAAAGTCATCCATACCTCTGACATCTTTCATGGCCAGCTTTACATTCCGATAGCGAATTGGCTTCTTATGGTTGGTACAATACTTATAGCTTCCATCTACAACAACGTATGTACGTCTTGATGTCTCATGGTCAAATACCAATGCTGACTAGGTGTAGACGACATCTCTGGGTAATGCATACGGTGTCTGCGTCATGTTTGTCACGTTTTTCGATACATGCATGGTCTCGTTAGCGGCTATGTTTGTGTGGCGTATTAGTCCATTTATCGTGCTATTGCCCTGGCTCATAATTGCCTGTCTGGACGGTGCTTATCTCTCTTCTGTTCTCATGAAAGTCCCCACTGGTGCCTGGTTCACCCTCGCACTTGCTACAGTGTTAGCCATCCTATTTCTCATATGGAGATTTGGAAAAGAACAGCAATGGTTTGCCGAGGCTGAAGATCGCTTTCCCACCTCACACTTTGTCTCCAAAGATCCAGATGGACAAATACGCCTCACGGATAGATATGGAGGTAACCCCCTGAGTATAGCAAAAGGCCTCGGGATCTTTTTTGACAAAGCAGGGGAGACCACCCCAATCGTGTTCAGTCAGTTTATTCTGAAGCTTACTACCATGCCTGCTGTGATAATCTTCTTTCATCTACGCCCGATCGAGACACCGTCAGTGCTAGCTGAAGATCGCTATACTGTTTCCAGACTTGCAATTCCTAATTGCTACCGTCTTGTTGTTCGCTATGGCTACAATGACGAGATCATCACACCTGATTTGGCAAGCACCATCACTCAGCAGGTCCGCAGGTACTTGACTGCGAGAGCTTGTGATCAAGCCGATCCATCCACGTGCACACCTGACACAATCACAAACAAGAGTCATGCTAGCTCTGTACAGCGGTCTACAACATCTGCAACAGGGGAGTCTTCCACAGTGGACGGAGGGCGATATGATACCTCCTTGGCAAATCTCGAAGACGCGTACAGCCATGGGGTCATTTATATCACCGGTAAGGAGCAGATGAGGATCAAGAAGAGTAAGAATTACTTTCGGAGAATAGTCTTATGGATCTTTTTGTGGATCCGTGAAAATACAAGGGCGAAAATTGCATCTCTTGGACTAGAAACGGATAAGGTTATTGAAGTTGGCTTTCTCAAAGATATATAGTTGGTGTCGAGATCAGTGGAGCTAGGTGATATGTTGGTGACAGAAGTTGATACTAGTAGGAATGCAACATATGCATCTTCATTTCAAAGTGGTATAGTAAACTCTGCAACAATCCCAACTAGTCGCATAAGGCTTGCAGCAGTGCACAGCCTCGTTGCCTTACAGAGAGCGCCGATGACGTAGCTCAAGGACTCCTATTGTTGAGGCCAGAATACTACTACTCGGGGTTGAACAGGGCGGTACCTGAGGCGGTGAGGCGCACCCAGGAAGTGGACGGAATATCCACCACGTGACCTGCCCCGCCCAAGGCCTCTCCTCTCATCATCACCGTCATAGTCCGCCGTCACGGTGTTACCCCACCATCCGTCATGCATGTCACTGAGGAGTTGTACAAAGACATTGCCACAGGCGATCCAAAGCCACAAGAGATATGGAATACTATAGATAGACCTGCAAGTATAATGATGTAGAGCTCTGACGACACTGTGAAGTTAAAAAGAGACTTGAAACAATAAATACTACGGAAATGACGGAGTAGGAAACTTTGTCACGAGGGGAATGGCCCAAATGGCGCGATTCCAGGGAACTGAGAAGCCTGCGGACTGAGGCAACAGGTTGCCCTTCCGCGCTATCGGGCGGAAGTCACATTTCTCCCCTTATCAGTGGTGATATTGACTCAAACCCCCGCAAGGTGGTATAAAGTCTCCCGGTGTCCCACCCTGTCAACGATTTGTTTCTCCTACTACCCTCCAACTGACAACCCCCCTTAAACACACTACCTTACCTGTCCACTTCAGACTCTCATTCATTGAAATCTTCACGCTATCTTCCAATCCACACACGTAAAAATGCCTCTCTACAACGTTCGTTATACCTATCTTACCGCCTTGTGGTTTCCCGATGCTCATTTGTATATCTCTTTAGGTCACACTCAAGAAGGACTCTCCCTTAGCTGAGTTGGAGAAGTGAGTTGCCCTACAGTTGAACTTCAAAAATGAATAGCCGCTGACATCGCACCTTCGCTACAAGAGCCAAGGAGAAGGTCAAAGAACAAGGCGGAACCATCAAACATGAGTACACTCTTATCAAGGGTTTCACGTAAGGCAGCCTTCTACTATAACGCCGCCCCACAACACGAGCGATCAGCCTAACTGACGGCCACTAGTGTCGAGTACCCCGCGGACCATGTCAGCACTCTTGAGTCTAGTGACCATATCCACGTTGAACAAGATGGCGAAATGAGAATTCAGTAATGGAAATACGCGTCGATTCCGGGGCAGATTGCGATACCGTCGCTGCTGGCGACCAGCAGCTGAACTAGCTACGTAGCTAAACATCGACACTGACCTGGGGATGTTGCGGTTCAATGGTGGCTGTACGAATTACGAATATTCTAGTCTAGCGTGTCAAGAGAATGTGTCTCATGAGTACCGGGACTGCTGTGCGGAAAACTGGACTCACCCGAGGCTACTCTTGTTCAATTATGACTGAAATCATCAAACTTTCAGTTCAACTTTTGTAACGGCTGTTCTTTGTTCCTAACACAGTGCCATCTTCCTATCTACTGACCAGGCATCAAAGATATGCTCAAGAGATAATGACCTCACCATACATGAAATCAACCAACCAAGGCAAGCCAAGGATATGTACATACATACGATAAGCTGTAAGATCAATGAGCCGCGATAAGCGTGTGCATGTAGGGACTGGCTCATACGTGTTCTGACGCAGCCTCACTGATCTGATGTAAGGGTCTGTAGTTTGCATATAGACGCTTGCTGTTTTCTCTGCAGCTTTTTGGATCACCACTCTCTGTATCCCCTTTAGCCTACCGTATATACCTCTGAAGATTCTTCGAGTAGTGGAGGGATAGGTATAGGACATATTTATTTTCCCTTTCTACAGAGGACATACTACTACTACTACAAGTAGTAGTAGTAGTTAAAAGTAGTTCCTCTCACACATTTGACTAAGCATCCCCCACTGCACTCCACTCGCTTCACCTGATTTGTATTAGCGTCATTCCACGTGAGGATTACCCTTTTGAGTGGTATGATGACGAAAGTCATTTGATACATGACATGGATTAATGCTGAGCTAGTCACAGGATGGCTATTGCTAAAGATGGCCTTAACCAATGCTCTCGCACGGACAGCGAGCTGCAGCGTCCGACTCCGGTTTCGTCTAATCCATAATTTTCAGAAAGCACGTCAGTTCTCTGTGTCACCGCCTCCCCAGGTTGCGCCATCAACTCAGCACCCGTTCGCCTACGGGGCAAACGATGAAGTCTCACGTCTTGCGGCCAGCCGTCGTCGGCCATTGACTCTTGCGGATCTACTGAAGTACGTTTGGTGTGGGGATTATAGTATGTTTTAACTTGTGTGCACAGGATTTGCTGATCGTGGTCTCTCTAGACACGGCCGTCCGCCGTTATCGAAAGATGCTCTCCTCGCATCGGCCAATTTTACTCTTTCACTTCTCCCTGCCCGGCTTGCATCTCGAATCGAAGCTCTACGGAACCTCCCTTTTATCATTGTTTCGAATCCACATGTCTCGAAGATATATAATAATTACCTTCACTCCTTGTCCACACTTCTCCCTTACCAGCAACGGCAAATCACAACACTCGAGGAAGAGAAGCACTTTGCAGAAGTCTTGGCGGATCTAGTCCACACCCATACAAATACAATTCCCATTCTTGCGCGTGGATTTCTAGAATGTCGCCGATATATCGATCCGACGGAGGTGACTCGGTTCCTAGATACCCACCTGCGGGCGCGTATCGGCACTCGGCTGATAGCTGAGCAACACTTGGCGCTCCATTTTGCTTCACAACCGATTAGTGATGATGGCAAACCACCAAACAGCACATCTCCATCGAATTATATCGGTGTCATTGACACTGCCCTGCAACCGGCACGCATTGTCAAGCTCTGTGAGGACTTCGTTGGAGAGATTTGCGAACTGAAATATGGGGTCCGCCCACGACTTACGATCGGCGGACAACCGGATGCCACCTTTGCGCATGTTCCTGTACATGTCGAATACATACTCACAGAACTGCTGAAGAACGCATTCAGAGCCGTGGTTGAAGCTGGGAACGAACGCGAACCTGTTGAGGTGACCATCGCTGCTGCGCCTGACGTTCCAAGAAACCATGTGCGTGGGCCGTACTCCGTGTCGGTGGGAACTTATCCCAATCATCCCAATTCGGATGTTGGGTTCGAGATGGACACCGTTGTGGGAACCGCAGATGCGAACGAATCAATTAAATTCTCGTCTCCCTCCACGCAAAGCATTACAATCAGAATCCGCGATCGGGGTGGTGGAATCCCTCCCGAGATTCTACCCAATATTTGGTCCTACAGTTTCACCACTTTCTCCGATCTTGACTTGCAGGGATCGGAGAATGGGAATATGGATGCCCTCAATGCCATGTCCTCAAGCAGTGGTCATTTGAGTAGCATCGCAGGACTCGGATACGGATTGCCACTGAGTAGGGCATATGCTGAATACTTTGGTGGTAGTATCGCCGTACAGAGCCTATGGGGTTGGGGGACTGACGTGTATCTGACTTTGCAAGGAGTTGGTAAGGTCGGTTGATGGACAAGAGGATAGCGTAGCGTCTTTGGCCTTCCCAATGCCCATTGACAGCTCTAGATATGTACCCATAACTAGCATACACAGTATATCACGCTGCAGATACTGCTTATTCAGCTTGGAACCTTCTATATAGTTGACACATAACAATTGCACCCTCCAACTGTCAGTACCCTTATCATGTCTAAAGCCTGGGGCCTGACGGCCCTTGGCGCCAGAACAAATTGACAAACTCCGAGATATCCATCCCGTCGTCTTCAACAGCAGCCAGAATTCTAGCGATATGTGCATCCGAGAACATCAAACGCATGTTTCTCACAAATTTATCCTGTACAGCAGCAGAAGTTCCGGGATTCCTGACATGGCCAATTGGATACTCCACCAGCACCTCCGGTAGAACAGTACCATCATATAAACACACCTTCAAACCCGACCCAATACTCTTCTTCTCCAGATCCAGATAATCAGCTGTCAACCCATCATCCGGCACAACAACCACCCTCTCCCGCAAGCTCTCCAACTCCTCACTCTTCGCCCAGCAACTCTCATCCAGATAATCCCCCACCTCAGGCACGCCCCCCTTCAGCAGCGCCAAACCAACAACAAACTGCATACAATGGTCCCTATCGGCCGCATTCCCCAACGGTCCCCGTTTGTTAATAATAAGATCCGCCGCCCTAGTCGTCCTGATCTCAATCCTTTCCACGTCACCCACACTATGCCCCATCTCCAGAAGCCGTCCCCGCTGAACCAGAGCCGCCTCAACAGCCGCAATCCCATGCCCCTCAACCGGCATAACCTTATACAAAACATTCCTAACCGTCCAATCCCCAAACTCCCTGGTGAACGCGAACTCCCTGCCCCCAAAATCCCGCTGATAAAATCCCCACGGCACCGCAGTCAAGACAGAAGGAACACCAACTTGCCCAGCTCTAACCAGCAATGCCAAATGCACCGCCCGCATGCACGCATCCCCTGCGGCCCATCCTTTCCGCGGGACTGTATTCTCCGCGCTGCGGTAGATCCGGCTCGGATGGCCGTCCATCCAGACGTGGGAAATGGTAGCCATGGCTTGGGACTCGGTTAGGCCCAGGAGCCAGGAGACGACGGCTGCAGATGCAAGCTTGACGAGGATGACATGGTCCGTGCCGTGGGTGTTGAAGGCGTTGCTTTGCGCGTAGATGCCTTGGATTTCGTAGGCTTTTATGAGGGCCGTGAGGAGGGTGTGCATTGTCAAAGGGGGGCCTTGGTGGGTTGTTTCGTCGGTTCGACAGAGCCAGTCTGTCACAGACAGGATGGAGGCTAGATTATCTGACAGAATCCGTCATCATCATCGCCGAACAGAAACCAATCCACAACCCCTCCAACAAAAGAAAAGTAAAAAGGAAGAAAAAAAAAAGATTACCAGAAGGATGTCCCCACTCCGTACCCCCAAGCGCATCATTATGATCCAAGTACCTTATCAGAACACCAAAGTCGAACGCCCCCTTCACCGGATCCAATTGGTATCTCGTACCCGGCACCCTGAACCCGTCGGGAACGATTGTGCCTGAGACCTGCGGACCGAGGAATTTCTGCGCTTCGGTGCTTTTCGAGGCTGTCTCGATTGCGCAGCCTAGTGCATCGAGCAGGGCGGTGCGGGCTGAGGTGTAGGCTGTTGGATTGGTGATAGTGTGGTTGTAGAGGTAGGTTGTTAGGGATTGGATTGGGGGGTCGTATGGGTGTGTCATCTTTGGGTGATGCTGGGGATGTGTGTGTGTGTGTGTGTGTGTTGGGAGAGAGAGAGAGAGTTGTAGTTGGTGAGGGTATAGGGGGGTATGAGGGGACGGGGTATTTTCGTTGTAGGGTTTGGGTTGAGTTGGTTGTGTGACTTTGATACAAAAAGAAATGTACACAAGGTTTCTACTGGATGAAGGACATGTAGAAAAGGTTAACGAGGATAGAAAGCGGAGCAGAAGAGAATGTAACAAGTATCTTGAATATAGATTAAATTTCGGGAATATCCTAATCGAACAATTGAAGGAGTGCAAATCTGTCCCATATCGACTGTGCCATCACTGTATCACTCAGAGACCACCAGCACCACTCAAGCTCAAGAGACTCGAAATAGGAGTTGCCCCCGGGAAGAAACTGGTGGGCATGGGAGGAATCGTAAAGGAAGTGGTGGACGGAGGATTCGTCGTAAAATCACCGGGCATACGCGTAGCGGAATAAGACCTGGGGGTTATTCATGTCAGTAGAACTGTCAAGGCGTCAGGGGAACTAGCTTGGACGTACGGCGTTGCAGTCACAGTAACAGCCGTAGTATAGGTGGTGAGATCATCGGTGTCTTTCGCCTCTTGTAGACAGGCACCCGTGCCGTATGCATTGGCGCAGGACCAGTTGACCTCGTCTCCGTCCTCCGTCCACAAATTGACGTTGTCGAGGGTGATGTCGTAGCAGGGGACGTCCTCGTCACACTCGATTCGGATCGCCGGTCGGCTGTTCGCGACATTTTCACCGTACCAGTTCTAAGCCAACGGTTGTCAGGATTTTCTGCTTGGGTGTTCATGATTGATTTTCACTTACGCGGAAGGTCAGATTCTGAATTTGGACGCCTGTAGAACCCACGTCCTTTCCCCAGGCTTCATTCACAGCGAGAGGATAAGGGCCTCCGTGCACGATGACATTCTCCCAGACGATATTCTTGACTATTCCATCACCGTTGTGGGTCTTCAAATAACACGCGTCTGCCTGGTTCATGTAAAGGTTTCGGTAGTGGATGTTGGTAATGTTGGTGCCAGTACCCAGAGAGCCAATGGCGGTTCCTCCGCTCAGATTGCAGTAGATGTTTTCGATGAGAAAGTCCGAGGCCGGCGACTTAACAGTCACACACTCATCGCCATTGGTAACCTCGATATCATGGACCCATACGTTCTGGCCCCATATATCGAATGCGTCCGTCATACCCAGGTCAGCGATTCCTCGAACAAGAAGATTGTAGATCTCCCCATTGGAAACGGTATCGAAGACGAAGTAATACGCGGGGGAGTCAATCGCAGCAAAGCCATGGATCGAGAAGTCACTGACATCCTGGAATCGGAAGAGTCGTTCACCGTAATTCCCATCTTGAAGGTATTCATACCCGTATCCTTGGACTGCGCCTTGGGAATTACCACTGAAAAATTCGCAGTCATGGCAATCGCGCACCAGGATCAATTGGTAAGCGCCTTCATGACCGCGCGCCAAAACACCGTCCAGCTGGAAGGCAGTGGATTCACCGTGCTTGAGTTCCAGATCCGTCGCAAGTGCATAGTTACCCGGGGGTACGTAAATGAGACCCCCAGAGGAGCAGTTATCCCAGCCTCCAGAATGGCTGGGCCGACGTCGGTTTTGCCATCTGCAACGGCGCCATAGTCGGTGATATCACAGGTTTTATTCTTTGCTTTGGTCTGAAAGTCCACGAGAGGCCCGACAGACCCAGACAGCTGGGCTGACACAAGAGTAGGTGCCCAGAGGGCCAAAGTGTAGAATAGTTTCATTTCCACTATAGGGAAAGTATTCAACTGTCCGATAATGGAGGAGATGAGGCGCCAGGACGACATCCGTCATTTATATCTCCAACACTCCATGGGCCATGGCCCCATGTCTGTTACCCCCAAGCGGCACTATCGCGAGAGTAGTCATGTTATGCTGCTGGGTCTATTGTACACATCGGTAGACAATCTTAGAGCAGGACAGACAGGTTCAAATATATTAGATAGATCCTAATCAGGAAAGATATTGGCAATCCATTCCTTCGAACGGGAATTTTGCCGAGTGTGGTGGGCTGAGCTTGATCGCAGTTCGCAAGTTCTTCATCATTCTGAAACAGCGGGAGCGGAGTTGGTTCTTCGCTTGCAGAGTGGACGGCACTTTGAGTAGATCAATGCCTTTTACTGATTAGACGCGTAGTAAGCTTGTGGGGGTTCGGGATAAATCAATTAAACGCCAAATAGGGGCTTCAACTTGGCCTCTTCTTAACCTTTAGCGCCTTAGTATTGTACGGAGTACGTACTCCAAACGGTGGAGACTACATGAGTAGAGAGACTTTCTACCGAAAGCTTAGCATTTTACATGACGGAGTAACCCACGCACTTCTTTAGTAGCGCTCTACTCCACCGTAGTACTGGATACAATACTAGAGCAGCTCACTGGTGCAAATAAAAACCCTTCTTTTACACAAGTAGTATTCGGGCTGAATACGTTCCCGTCAGTTAGACAGAACGAGCACCTTATGCTTCGGGTCAACTGTCGGCTGTCTTCCGCATCGATGGCCAACTTGGGTGTCAATAAGCTCCACAAACGGCTGCTAGGACCTATTGTTTGAAGGAACACGTTTCAAGGCTTCCTAGTAGTTTCATCACTAAGCTGTAGACTTAGGATAGTGATCCTCCTGAAGTGCCTGAATAGAACATAGGGGATCGTATTGGTGGTCCCTTGGAACTAAACAGGTATCGTCAGAGAATTCTACTCTGGCCTGACCAAGCATCCCAATACCACCAAAAGGTGCCATTGGGGTTGAACTGCTCTGTATGGCCTTTGAAGCGTCAATGCCTTTTATTATTATTCATGATTATTATTATTTTGTGAGTGTGAATGTGTGAGATTAAAGCTTTCTATGAAATTGTGTGTTGTAAAATCTCCCAATCGGGTGAATGTCAAATTAATCTAATACAGAACTCATTATTCATATCAGATCAGGTACTCAACTGATATCCGAGGGAATAACTAGTGGTATCCAAGGTATCAAAATCCGCCGGCTCCTCGTACTCTCTGTACAGCGCCAACAGCCCCTTTGGCCCAGCTGAAACGCCCTGGATTGACACCAATTGACCCATCTGGGACCTTACCAGTAAAGGCGTCATGCCAGCATCCATCTTCTCGACTTACTGCACCGTAAAGAGCTGTGTTTTGGTTTTGGTTGATCGTCTCAAGCCATGAACGACAGATGATTGGGGAGTCAATTAGGACGTTGACTTCCTGGCTGTGGTAGAACGATTGAGTATCGAGGTTCCCATTTCCTACTTTCCGTTAGCCGAAGATCGAAGAGTAAAAATGACAAGAACCCCCCACCTTGGATAGCCACTTTCCCGTCGATGATCATGAGTTTGATGTGACAGCTGCGACGCTTGAACTTATTATGGATAGGCTTTGTCTGGTCCTTGCCCACATAATTATATATACGTAGTCGTGAGCGTTCATCCTGTTTCTCAAGGGAGCTATACAATCGATTAGAGATCATCTCATTCGTTCCGTTTTGGAAGGGGAGTAGTTGTCCAGCGTCGTTGTAGCCCAGACATAGGTAGCATGTGACAATGACCCCGCGACGGACAGCTTCCAGTAATGGTTCAAGGAGAGGCTCTGCATTCATATTCGGGGTCTGGATGAAAATCGAGTGTTCTGCATTTTGAATTGCAGAGAGAAAAGCGGCATTTTGAGGGGTATATATGCTGGTGTGGTTCGGGGCTAGAGATCGTAAGTATAGAAACTCATTAGGTATCTTTAGAGTGGTGCATACCTCCCCAGGGCTCCCTGTTTACTAAGGCCATTGGACATGCTTCATGGGGTGGAGATATAGTATACAGTGTCATTGGGGTATTTTGATCAACATCTGGAGCGTCACCGGTTGTATTCGGTTGCGTGGTTGTATCTGTGGCAACTGTTAAACTACATTTTTCATGAATAGAGAAGAATGTAAAGGATACATACTCAGATGGCGAGTGACTGGAGCAGTTCTAGACTCGCCAGGCCTAGGCTGGAGGGTGCCGTTGACGCGCCGTGCTTCGTTCCTAATGTCAAGGTCATAGTGCTGGTCTAATGTGGTGTGCTCGGGCAAAGACAAGCCCTGGGCTTCCTCTTGGCGGCTTACGTCCATGAGCGAAAGACTGGGAATCGGAGCACCCTCAGCGGGAGACGACAACATTGGAAAGGGCGTATCGAAGTGCTTTCCCCATGAGATCAGTGCGGTGTCATAGAAAGCGTCCACAATTGGTCCTTCAAGCCTAACCATCATCTCTAGGTTGTCATTATCCTGGACATTACTGCTTTGCAGCAGGGCGATCCTCCGATCAACAACCATGAACTTAGCATGAAACGTTCCGAATATAGGACGGTGGTAATTGACAACCTGCAGATCGATGTTGGGAATTTCCTCAGCGGGAGGGAGCTGAACTTTCTCACTTGTGTATTTCTTTTCTGGTACTTCTAAACGATTCTCATAGGCTTGTCGAGGATCACCGCGGTCATAGATCATCTTCACCACTACCTTTGTGCCACGTTCACCGGCTCGTTTTGACAACTTGCGGAAGGCATTGGTCACCAAGGTCGAAGCGTCGGAATGGATCCAGAAGTTTGTCCCGAGAAAGACTTCGGTTTCAGCCCGGGCAATACAATTGGCCATGTGCCGGCACAAATCCGGCAACGGAGCCACAATGGTTAAAGGTGCGATCCCATGACTACCCATTAATGGCGGAGAGACCACTCCCGCCATTGGGTTTTTTTCTAAGGTGCACAGTGCATCGTGGTATATCTATATCACGGTTAGGTGCTGTATGCTCCACGTATAACCACAACACTCGAACTGACCTTGAGGAATAGATTGCTTGGTTTCGTCGGACCCCAATTGCCACATTCAAGAGCTTTTTGTAGACAGTCATGGCCATCGCCGCCGTCCTCCAATTTGGACGCACCCTCTTTGACATGATCGTTACTATAAAGGTTGTGAAACACCTTGGTTGGGGCTTGATTTGGGTCTCGTGCAAGTTCGGAGCTCACAGTTCTGCTGCTGTGACAAAGCTGATAAACTCTCTCTGGAAGCATGTCGGCACGGGTGCGATTAAGACTCTTCGGTTGGCGGGTGAACCAGATTATTATCGAAGTCAAGCAAATAGAAAACAGCGTACTGGACAGCTTGGCCAACGACCCAACCATGGATTGGCCAAGAAGACCAAATGATATATGCTCTCCGGCCATGCTTTTCGGCAATGACGTAGACTTAGCCCCATAAGGCTGAGGTGAGGGTTTGATGCTTGTGGTATGGGTTCCTATGAAGAGGGAGTGGAGACAGAAAGCTGAATGATAAGCATGTTCAATGGATACAAATTAATATATTTCCGATGCACGCTGACCTATGACGCCAGCGTTGTCGAGTGAAAAGCAGGCGTATGTGGTTGCCTGAGGGCCCGACGTCATCGGTGCCTGGGGGACCGCGAGAACTTGATTTGGCCATTAGGGCAACGTTAACCTCCAAGCCAATGACTTTATGCAGTCTAGAAATTCCTTGGTTACTTGTTAGACGCTTGACACAGACAGGACCTATATTATTTTGCCAAGAAAGCAACTCTGCAGGTACACATGGAGATCTCAAAATTAGGCGTATACTATCCCAAGTTCCGCCCCCTACCAAATTTGTCCTCGTCTGGGGAAACTCTGCCTGAACCTCCGATGGCGCGACCAAGGTTAACGCAGCCAATGTACCAACCCCGCATCGGAAATGCTGCGATGCTGCAATGCCACTTGCTGGCTTGAAGCTTGTCCCGGGTATTCTTAACCATCGGCGTAAAGTCCGATGGCGGTCGGAATTATACCTACTGCTGCTGGAAGTAGGTTTCCTCGCCTCTTATAAGCAGCCTGTCTTCAACTGCAACGAGCATCTGAAGTATCGTGCACCTCCACCTTCTCATTTCCTTGTATCCTACTTGCATATAGTCTACCCTTGTTGTGGTGTCAATACAATTATGTATGTATATCCGGTCAACGGCACTCTGCCTTGACATTAGTTAACTTTATTATTGTATTGACAACTAACCTCCAATCGCCAGGGTCTATACTGCGTCGTTTGCCTTTTTCGAGGCTCTATGGGAGGTACGAACTTGACGCCCCACAAACCTCACTATCTCATACTAACTACATTTCTTAAGGCTGGGGTCACTCATGTTTTCGCCAATCTAGGGTCTGATCATCCGTCCATCTTGGAGGCTATGGTGAAGGGCCAGAAAGAGAAGCCCGATGAATTCCCCAAAATCATTACGTGTCCCAACGAGGTGAGTTGATAAGCTTACAAATAGCACTGAGTTGCCCCTCAGTTACTCTGGGTTTCTAGGAATCCTCATCTCAGGCTAACCCCACATTTACCCCACTCGGCAGATGGTAGCCCTGTCCATGGCCGATGGCTACGCTCGACTGACTGGCAAACCGCAATGTGTCATTGTTCATGTCGATGTTGGCACACAAGGACTAGCAGCAGCCGTACATAATGCCTCCTGTGGGCGCGCCCCGGTCTTGATCTTTGCCGGCCTCTCCCCCTTCACCATCGAAGGGGAGATGCGTGGCTCTCGCACAGAGTACATTCACTGGATTCAAGATGTTCCGGATCAGAAGCAGATTGTTTCTCAATACTGTCGCTACTCTGGGGAGATCCGTTCCGGGAAGAATGTAAAGCAAATCGTCAATCGCGCCCTCCAATTTGCGATGAGCGATCCCAAGGGTCCAGTATACTTGGCTGGTGCTCGCGAGGTAATGGAGGAGGAGATCGAGCCATATAAAGTCAATCAAAATGTCTGGGGTGCTGTCGCACCGTCTGCATTGCCGGCTGAGGGAGTTGAGTTGATCGCATCGGAACTCGCTGCTGCCAAGGAACCTCTGGTGATTGTGGGTTATTCCGGTCGTGAGACCAGGGGAGTAGAGGAGCTGGTTAAACTCGCAGACACCTTCAAAGGAATCCGAGTATTGGACACTGGTGGATGTGACATGTGTTTCCCTGGTGACCACCCAGCGTGGTTGGGGATGCGATACGGCATCCACGAGGCCATCAAAACGGCGGATGTCATCCTTGTTGCCGACTGCGACGTCCCATGGGTTCCGACCCAGTGCAAGCCGTCTGATTCAGCTAAGGTCATCCATGTGGATGTTGATCCACTCAAGCAGCAAATGCCGGTCTTTTATCTCCCTTCCATGGCTACGTATCGTGCAGAATCGGCAACGGCATTTAGACAGATCAACGAGTACGTTGCCACTAACAGCTCGCTAAAACAGGCGCTGAACTCTGAAGAACAAACATCTCTTGGTAAGCGCCGCGAGGAGGGATATAAGAAGATCCGACAAGGAATCACAGACCTTGCTGTTGTACCATCGGGAGGTGGTAACACGGATCTTAACGTGTCTTACATGATGAGTCAGGTCCGGGAGACTTGCCCATCAGACACTATCTGGGCTATCGAGTCCGTAACCCTCACTCCATTTGTAGCTGACCAAATCGCTGCCACTTTGCCCAAGTCATGGATCAACTGTGGCGGCGGTGGACTTGGTTGGTCCGGCGGGGGTGCTCTCGGTATCAAGTTGGCCACCGATAATGAAAACGGCGGTAGGAACAAGGGCAAATTTGTCTGTCAAATTGTGGGCGACGGCACATACCTCTTTTCCGTGCCGGGTTCCGTCTACTGGATCTCAAGACGGTATAACATCCCTATTCTTACTATCGTCCTGAACAACAAGGGCTGGAACGCTCCCAGGCGGAGTATGCTTCTCGTTCATCCCGAAGGCGACGGCTCGCGCGCGACTAACGAGGACCTCAACATCTCATTTGCTCCTACCCCTGATTACCCAGGCATTGCGAAGGCTGCTGCGGGAGGAGAGCTGTGGGCTGGCACTGCCGCTACTGTTGCAGATCTTGCCAGGATGCTGCCCGAGGCTATTAAAACTGTACAGAATGGAACCACCGCTGTCTTAGAGGTTCAGTTAGACGGCACAGTTGGCAAACATGTTAACAAGAACTGATACTTCCCGCTGGGATGAAACAGGGGAAAGCGGGATCTGCCATTGCCCGTTTCCTTTCCTCCCTATGCTATGTTAACTACGGAGTTAGAACAGAAACTCTATATCTGATTCTGGACTCACATGTAGAAATTCTGTTGCTACTTTATAATAATACGAGGTATACAGTGCCATCAATATATTGCCAATTAGGAATCCATTGAATGACCTATAACAACAATACGCCTCATAAATTAGCATAAGAATTATCCAATCTCTAAACCTGTGTAGAACAACAGTCAGATTGGCTCTCGCATAATACATCCGTGATAGATGGTCCCAAGGAGGACCAAAACGTATAAGTGCACCAATAAATCACCCGTGCATATTCCTACGCCAGTTCAACTGAAGCTAGACGCCTTTCCAGAAAGTCGAAGATAACTTGATGCAACCTGAAGAAGGAGCCTTGATGGCAATGCGTGTCGCCGCCTTCATCAGCTCCTAGACTGACAAGCTCGTACTCACATTTCAAGTGGTTGCAAAGCAACTCCGGCTGACCTTTTAGGAAGTGATCATTTTCTGCGTCGAGAACCAGACACGGGCTCACGATCTTCTGAGCTAGGCCTTCTAGTGTATAGAAATTGACTGTGCGCATCAATTCCGCCTCCGATGCCACCCCGAAAGTCCATTTACCGTTCCGCAGGGCCCAGCGAACACCCGTATCTAAAGACTGCGCAAAGCCGAAAATGAAATTGGAAACTCCATCATATTCTTTCCGAACGAGTGTTTGGACAAAAGATGGCTGGTTAGCTCGAAATGCAGATCCAAAGTCGTACACTCCATCATCCAGGATAATTGCTTGTGCTCGATGTTCCTGCGTGGCCCCTCGTGCCACCAGGTATCCGCCCATGCTCCAGCCGAAAATTGCTATGGCATTGGGATCGACGTCTTTGCGAGTTAAAGCGAAGTCAACCACGGGAGTTAGCACGTTCTCCCAGTCGGGACGGAAGTAGAGGTGCTGTCGTCGTACAGCTGCACCTTGACCGGGCCCATCGAAGGCGAGAAAGTTGTATCCTCTCGCTAGAGCTGCAGCTCCAATCGCAAACCAGGCTTCGCTCGCAGTTGAGTCATACCCACCATTAAAGATAATGGTGCGTCGTGGATTGCCTGTACCGGTTGGGCTGACGAAATATCCAGGGAGTGTTGTCCCTTGGTAGGGAATCTTGATCGATTCGTAGGCATATGTAGACAGCTTCATCGCCTCATCAAATGCCGTCTCCGACCTCTCATACACGAGCTGTGCCATTTCATCGTTGTCATAGTTATCGCGACGGAAGAACTCGGCGGTTCTATAGTAATTTGAGGCGCGCAAATATCCCTCGTAGGCACTGACTGTGTTGTTCACCGATGCTGATTTCTCGGCGCTTGAAAATGCTCGGTCGGCTGCCCTTTTCCACTCGGCCAGCCAGTCATCTTCGTTTCCAGCTCGGATTTTGGAGATGATTGCTATCACTTCTCCGAGGTCTGCTCCACCATAATTACTGTACCCTGCGGCCCGCAGAGTTTCATAACTGAAACACGCGTTGGACTTGAAAAAATGGTTGATAAGCATCGTCACCACAACTATTGACGAATTGCAGACGAATTCAGGTATGATAGTAAAACAAAGACAGGCATATAAGAAGGAAACATGGGAAACATCCCAGGAAAAGATATTCTTAGGGAAGAACTTAAGCAACTAATCATATGATATGAGTCGGTCCGAGTCGCGTAGAACACCAAATCGGTCCGAGTATCCTCACCCTGCATATCTACCCTATTCGGTCCGACAAGCAGCGCTACAAAGAAAAGATTTTACGACCAGTTGAAATTAGTGCTAGTTAGTTGTAGGGTGTTGATTTATAAGCCTATGATTCATAAATTTGTGACTTAAAAGATAAGTCTGACTGGGCGTGTCGCTATGAATATTAATAGGTCTACATTCTTCAAAGTTCGAACAGGAGTGAAGGATATCTCATTATACTGTTGCTCTACCCTACCCTTTCGAATATTCTGCACAAGCTATAGATTGGCCCAGAAAGGTTAAATTATCTTGTTAACTCAAATCCCTCATGCCAACGGAAGACGGTAGCGCAGATCTAGAACATGGTTCTGATCCTAACAACACCATCGATGGAAGAGCCTTTGTGGAGACTATCCAATGGGATGAAGATGACCCAGCACATCCTTTCAAGAGAAGTTTGATGACGAGATGGCTGACTGTTATTATCGTATCTCTCTGTTCACTTTGTGTGTGAGTATCCCGGATTTCAGCATCACTCCAGGATTTGTCGGATTGACATTGTGGTAGTGCTTGCACATCTTCCATATATACTACGACCTACGACCAACTTTTAGATGAGTTCCAGTGTTCACAAGAGGTTGCGACACTGGGATTATCACTCTTCGTCTTTGGCATGGGTAAGCCAGGCGTCTTGCCACTAATTGCGAGCTACAGATCAATAGACTAAGATTACCTCTGCTTAGGGTTTGGTCCGTTGATATTAGGCCCTCTATCCGAGGTACGATAGATACTGCCTTTGCGTTGTCTAATAATAAAGGCTGACCAGTTAACAGCTGTACGGACGAAGAGTCATATTTTTAAGCTCCTTCACATTCTTCCTTATTTGGCTAGTACCATGTGCTGTCGCGAGGAATATACAAACACTACTCATTTCTCGGTTCTTCAATGGCTTTGCAGGCAGTGCCTTCCTCAGCGTTGCTGGAGGTGCGGTTGGAGACATGTTTCCTAGGCATCATCTGGCTGCTCCTATGATGATATATACTGCAAGTCCTTTTGTTGGACCTGAGCTTGGGCCTCTGTAAGTGTCTCTTGGACATCACCTTGCTAGTTAGACATGCACTTACGAAATATTCTTTACTCCTTCATAGTTTAGGAGGCTTTATAAACCAATATGCAAATTGGTATGTATGAAGAGGCAGTCTTCAGGGGTTGTGAGTGACAATAGCATTCTGACTCAAGGGATACAGGCGCTGGACGTTTTATACCTTACTATTCTGGGCCGCCGCGATGCTAGTTGCGATATACTTATTTGTGCCCGAAACCCATCATCCAGCGTTAGTTAATTACCCCCCAATCAGCTTGATGTATCTAACATAGGTCCTCAGACTTCTAACGAGAAAGGCACAAGAAATCAGAAAACAGACTGGAAACCCATGGCCGTTAGGACCAAGCGAGGATAGCAACGTGCCTGTGAGCGAGCTCATCCTCCGTTCTATCGTCCGGCCAGTCATGCTTCTGACGTTAGAGCCTATGTGCCTGAATCTGTGTATATACTCTGCACTTCTGCTGGGCATACTTTATCTCTTCTTCGGCGCATTTCAAATGGTTTTCCAGTCTGTGTATGGATTCGAGTTATGGCAGCGAGGCCTCACATTCCTGGGTCTTCTCGTCGGAATGGTGTTGGCCATTCTCTCCGACCCATTTTGGCGTCGGAACTACCGGCGCCTCGAAAAAAATCATCATATACAAAATCCAGAAGCCTCCGGGTTCGACCCAGAATGGAGACTTCCTCCAGGTACCACCTTTCCTTGACCTCCGGATTCTTCCACCATATACTAATCTGGGGTTAAATACAGCTATAGCAGGAGCACCATTAGTAACAATCGGGCTGTTCATATTTTCATGGACAATTTACCCAAGTATTCACTGGATAGTGCCAATGATCGGAAGTGCGCTTTTCGGAGCTGGGTAAGTAGACCCAACAAACATATGGGTGTCAACGAACTTCATCAAGACCAAAAGTCAACCCTAGAGTGGAATTCCATGATAAATAAAACTATGTCTAACCGCAATGGAACAGGACAATCCTCGTTTACTCTGGAATTTTCACTTTCCTCGTCGAAGCCTACCCACGTTACGCTGCCAGCGCCTTAGCGGCAAACAGTTTTACCAGATCGACCTTCGCAGGAGCTTTCCCTCTGTTCGGGACTCAGAGTGAGTTTGAATGCCTGTCAAGGTTGATGGATGATAAGGGAATAAAGCTTACGTCCGCTTATTTGTTAGTGTACAATAAATTAGGGCTACATTGGGCTTCGTGTCTGCTCGCGTTTCTCACTCTGGCCATGGTGCCGTTTCCGTCAGTTTCTCTGCTTTTCTAGCCATCGCTTGGGAAGATATTCTTATAACTGATAAATTTGCGGGTGATAGGTATATTTTCTATAAGTACGGGGCTCGGATTCGGAAGAAGAGCCGGTTTAGCTCTTGACCGAGTACTCTTAACGTCTCTTCTACCCAGAATTACTTGAGGAAAAGTAGCTACTGTTATCCGGAGTTTCAAGGGATGGTGTTCTAATGAAGCGTTTTATCGACCACGCGTCCTGACCGCATTGAATGGTGTGCAATTTGTTGGTTTCAGCTTCTTGGAGAGATACTATGTAGAGTAATTACAGTTGGGCCCTTTAGCCCTAGAGATAATAGCCTCAGCGAAGAGGCTCAACAAATAACTGGTTCACTTTGTACAGAAGCCGCTTACATAAGAATAGAGCAGAATAGCTAGAGCAAATATCCACCTGTATTTAAATTGTGTACTATAGAAATTGCACAAATAGGTAGAGATGGCATGATTCTCGTGGAGCTGTTTTGTGGTAGCGGTCTGGCGACGAGTGACTCCAATGAGATCTTTTTATCAAGATACCTCATTGGGAATAATCGGGAGTGTGATATAGTTAGCATAATCGGGCCCAAAATGGATGTTGTTTAGACCTTTAAAGACAGCCTCTGACCTATATGCTAGTTAGAAAACAAGCCATCAATATGCCTTGCGGTATGAGTTCGTAGTTGAGAGCCAAACCTGTCAATTGGATCGTCATGACCCCAGATCCCAGTCCCTGCAGTGTCTCTGGAACTCACTTCCAACACAAGCCGGCCTCCCGCTTCGACAACTACATTAGTTGGCCAGAGCTCCACATCAACGGGATACACCTCTCCGGGAATTACAGGTAGAACATCCGTGGAGTAGTAGTTGCGATGCGGCAACCAAGGCCGGTGGCGAGGGTGCTGAGGGTCAGTCTTGCGGAGAGAAACACGGAGCCAACCCTTGGTCACTGGGACAGGGTCTCCGACGGAGCCTGTATAGGGTATCTCATCACCAGATGGTGATATATGGCGTAAACTGAGAAACAAGTCTAGATCTGTGGGCGAATTTCCCCACTGATCTCTGTTGACGGATACGTTGAGGTGAGTCACAATGTGTCCAGTGATTTCGGTTTCTTTCTCAAAAGGAGCCGATTCGAAGGTCAATATGTCAGAGGCTTCTGCCTTACCCAGGGCGCTATAGGAGAGTTTCCTAGGCGCTGTCTGGTGTGGCTGGTCGAGTTGTAGCTGATTATCTTCTGCTAAGAAAAATGGGGTGTATTTTGTCCTAGCCAATGGCCATTCCTGCTCTTTACGGCGAAGAAATTGCTTCTCCCCTGCTGGATTATTGTAGCCCACATTTCCCTTTCGCAGAATCAAATCCACCGGTGGAAGAGCCCCCTTCTCCGTCCAGCCCTCTCGGTCATGCCCTTTGAGCCAAGCATCCAGGAAGCTCCTTTGTATCTCTACTTCTTCAGGGTAGTAGAATGGCAGATCATGGCGTCCAGCAATAAATCGGAGATATTTGAATTCGGATCCAGACCACAGATACCCCATCACATTTCCTCGAAGATGCAACAGAATCCCACCGAGATTAGCAACGCTGAGAAAGGGGACAGTGACGTCTTCAAGATTGAAGTTCAGTGGTGAGATCTCTTTGTCATCGCGGTACCGCTGTTCATGCATTACGGCCTTGTGACAGTTTGCATCTAATTCCTCGGCGCTGAGGTCACCGTCAACAGTATCAGGACCCCAATTACGCGCCGCTCTCCCCGGCAGCCCATACTGATTCGGCGCTACCTGACGGTCATACCACATGGAGAAGAACTTATTCGAGAGAATTCCACCATGTCTCAATGACTCGCTGTAGGCGTCAGAAAATCCTTCCCATGGCACTATCGCCGCTAGACCTTTAGGTTGCCGAGCCGCAACCTGCCACTGTGTGGCAGCATAGTAGCTGACTCCGAGGAGGCCGACCTTCCCAGAGGACCAAGCCTGACTAGCAGCCCATTCGATAGCCTCGCAGAATCCATCAATGGAAGCTGCGGATTTGACGTGGAGCTGTCCTGGAGACTGCCCAATTCCAAACTCATCCACTCGCACGACAATGTAGCCGTGGTCGGTCCAGTACTGGGGTGTTGGCGTCTCCCATGCAGAATGCTCTGTCTGGTGGGCTGGATCCACTTCTGCAAAGCTCTTGGGATTGAACCTGTTATCTCATTGATTAATACCATTTACCATTGTTAAATAACTCAAACATTCGGAGCACAACAAGAAGGGGAGGGGGACGATTATATTCTTTTGAGTCCGGACACTTACTGTTCATAAGGGACATCCTTTCCATACGGTCCGTACGTGACAAGAACGGGATATTTGTTTCCTTCAGATGTTTCCCGCGGCTTATAGACGTTACAGCGAAGCACTCCCCCAGTTTTTAAAGGGATTGAAGCATTTTGCACGAAGATATATGAATGGTTTGTTGTGCCGGCCGTTTCAATATCCGGGTAATGGCTGAACATTTTGATTGTTGTCCAATTTGAAGGAGTTAGAAGTAGCAGATCATATTTTCCCACAGTAAGTGCCATAGCAGAGCGCACAGGTACTATATACGAATCCACAGTGTTGGCCCAAGTATTCCGGCTAACGGATAGATCTGCTAGTAACGCCGAATGCTCCGAGTCCGAGTCCGAGTCCGAGTCCGACTGCTCCACCTCGGGTATGTGCTCGTTATACATACAGATGAATGGGTCATCACTCAGCTAAAAAACCCACATCCCTGCTGAAAGAGATGTAACGGCTCGAGGCCTGCGAATTGTTCAATTCCAGCTTCCGCAAAAGAGAGATTATACCAGGGGTAGCCCTGAGTTACACCAGATGGTGTTGTGAAAGACATATCAGCGGTCTCCATATCGGATTGTTCAAAGATACAGTTATCGGACATGGTTGCCTGTGGATTTATTTGCACTGCATCGACTTCCAGAGTTCTCCGACCACTCACCCATGGATGCAGATGCTCGCCCGAAGGGCCTATCGATGGTACTGATGCTTCGTGAGTGCTTGGCTGCTCGTCGTTCACAGAGCCTTCTGGTACATGGTCAGAGAGTTGTGATTTAGGTTCTGAAGGGTTAGGTTCTGGTGCTCTGATAGCGTGTGGGCTGGCTGATCCACGTTGTGGTCTATGGCAAGACATATGTAGCTGCAATGCAGCGTCGAGCTTTTCCCACTGCATTCCAAATAGTTAGGATCCCCCAGTTCGACTATTTATGAAAATGTACTCACAGAAAGCTGCAGAGCCCTCCAATAAAATCGAAGTTTATTGAGTAAGTGAAGGGTCCCTTTCACAGTCGACAATCTACGACTCTCTGAATGTGCTCCGGGGACAGGCCTTCGTGATGTTTTGTCTTGAAAGGAGACCTCAGTAGCCAGGAACACAGCACCTATGATGAAAGCACCATATCCTACGAAAGGCGGTAGAAGTGTAACATCGCCTTGCCCATATATGTAAGGAGATAATAGAGCTTCGAATAACTCCGCATGTTGTGTAACCGTCTCGGCACTTTGCTTCACAACTTCCGGGTCTATTGTTGGCCCATGGTGTGTACCAGAAAACAAAGGAACAATTATTGAATGCAAAGTGATCTGGCACTGGTGGTAAAGGGCACTGATAAATAGCACCAGGGGGGTATTCTCCGTTCCCTGGTCGCTTCGAGAGGTTGCTAGACCCCTGATAGACATTTCGTCCTCAAATATCGACCTTGCCAATTGCGACAGTCTTTGCAGCGAATCAAGATTCTGAGTAATGCTAGAGGATGTCCAATCGCGGACCAAAAGTTGAACTTTAGCCCTATAGAATAGACAGCATGCTGATTTAGCATCGAAACCAAGAGAGACTAATTTTAACATTGTCAGAGATCCTTACCACACTCCGACCATTTTAACCAATAATGCTGCATCCACTGGGGGGCGAAAACCTTCGCACTGAGATGTCGCTAAGCTTGAGCACCAGTTATGATCCATCTTCTCATTTAAAACAACTTCTTGGCTGAAAGCCGTACGTAGTATAGCAGCAGGGAGTGGTATCATGGATGCTTCTGCCCAGGCCAGTCTGACGTACGGCTCTGGTTCCATGACTATGCATGTGGATATCCAGCAAGCCCAGAAACATCGACGTCTTGACTCTGATTCGAGCAAGAAATCGGATTTTTCAACCCCATCAACAGCTTTTTTGTTGTATCCAAGGAGATCGCACGAACGGTAGGCCAGGGCTAGAACAACGTTAACGGAGGTTTTGTGATACGCGAAAGTCTTCAATATTATGACAAGGTGCGACTAGTCAGAGAAGGAGAGAAAGACACAAGACCTACTAAGACATAAATGGCCGGTTCGCGGCTCACCAATCCCAAACCAATACAGTTGTAAACAATGAAGCGCTTGCAAAATCGTCAGAGATGGTTCCGTGCAGATCGATGACATAGCTTCCCTTAGAGCTGACTTGGCCCATGGAAGACCACATGATGAATATGCGCTTAAAAGCTTCAACTCCGACCACTCCAATTGTTCCTCATTGTTGCCTTCATTTACTCGAGTAAGAAAACTTCGATATTTTCTTAGCTAGCCGGTCCAGCCGTAGATGTGGCAACTTACAGCGTAGCTAACGCAAAGAGAGCCTTGAGAAGGACCTCGGGAATCTTTCCATCAAGATACTGCTGGAAAAGAATAGGTTTACAGAACAGTACAGATGCATTGTAGATTCGCGTATAATATATGTCCAGCAAGGCCAGCCCAAGGGCTCGTGGTGGTAAACGTGGCCAAGCTACATCAGAAGCTAAGCCTTCTCTGATCAAGTTCGTGTTTTGCAGGTGAGTTGGGTATGATTCGGAAGAAACATTGATTGATTCGACACCAACACCATTTGTAGGATGGCTGGATCGGCCTCCGGAGCGGGGGGTACCTCTGGTTGACCTAGCAGCTTCGTCGCGCGCTTGGTACTGAGTTTGAGCGAGATCACTTTCATTATGCGGCGTATGGTGCTGAAGGGGCGTCAAATTATTAGGCGGATGACTTAGGTTGCCGGTAGACTCTTGAGCACCAGGAGCGGATCCGCTGAGAGTGCTGTGGGTGAGTTGTACGGTACTCTGGCCAGCTACTCGACGCACACCTCGGGTGCTGCGGCGCAACCTCCGGCCGCGGCGAACTGGGGGGGTAGGATAGGTACAATCGGCTTGAAGCCGCTGACACCGGGCGCATGCAGGACATTCCCGACTACATTTGACCTAAAACAATGATTCAAGAGTTCAGCATCATATGACGATAATTCAGGCAAAGACGAGAAATAGCTCACTTTCTGATCTCTACACCGCTGACATGCAGTTACAGAGTGCTGCAATGTGTGACTTGCGGCAGATGAGCGTGCTTGCATTTCGCTATGGTCCCTATACCTGCTTGCACACAGGAGAAGAATGCTCGAGATGTCGGACCTCACACAACTAGCGAGTCGGACCGAGTCGAAGGGGGTTTTTTTTACCGCCTTCCCCCGCAAGGCTTGCTTGCTACAAGCTCGGTCTAATTCCAGAGCTTCCAGATGCTAACTTTACTACATGGATCTAGCATCGGCCACCTGTATTCAAGTCCATCAATGTCCAGATCCCATAGGATCGCTGTTGAGCAGCGGAACTCATAACTAAAACAAGCTGACTGATAGATATCCTGCAATCCTACCCAGTAATTAACTTACAGGCTAGAGAACTTATTCCTTGGCGACAGATCCAACCTTTTGTCTTGAGCCGTCCTCGATTGTCCAAGAATCTACTATGTTGGCCTTCCTGCCATAACTGGCTTCACTACTAACCTACTAGGAGTTTTCGTTAATAGTAACCTCGTTTCGTCTATACCAGGAAGTCAGTAACCTAGTTTACCTAGCTTCGTGGTATAAAATAAGTTCTCTCTAGAGATGCGTCGATTGACATGGTCGGCACAGGTCTTAGGGCACTTGATTAATTTACCTTACTTATCAGACAAGGATAGGTGCAAGGATTAGACAGTGCTCAATGCACATATAGTTTGTGCATGGGAGTGCCAGAATATATGTCCAGGATATGTAGGTTTTTCGAGAAGTAGTATAAATTCCAATTACAAGACTGCTATTTACCTGTACTGGGGCGACCATTCCAGGACATGGGGGACTTACTATTGCTAGAACCCGTCCTTGCCTACAGTGTAACATGGATGAGCAGCCGTGAATAACCATGGTCTCCGCGTCACCATCTTTTGGGAAGAGAGCTCGTGACACAGGGCGAATTAGTAATAATATTGATTGGTAGCCGATCCCGGCGGTAGCCTGGTCTATGCGCTCGGACTTTTACCCGGATTACCGAGCATTACAGCCCAGGCGGGGTGGTGATGCCTGATGTTGTCGCATGTAATTTGTATTGTAATACCACACATTACCATACTTATCTGTCCATCCCCGCGCCCTGCAGGTGATTTAAGGCGCGTTAAGCATCTGCCGGAGCCATTCAAATGCTTGGATCTCTTTCTCGATTAGATAACAGAAACCTAGTAAAGGGCAATAATGCGGAAATGATATAGCTAAAATTAGGGTTTGACAATTCAAAAGGATTCTGGCGTTATCGCTATCCCTCAATGGTGTCAGGTAAACCACTGTGAGCGGAAACCGGTCCGCTCGGCGTTCCAAGCGGAGACGAAAAAAAGGCGCTTATCGGTGTGTGACCTTTATCATTCTTTCTCTGATTCATACCTACTTGTACTCCCGCTTTCCCCTACAATCGTTGTCTTTCCAGTGGAAGATTCAGATTGTCATACATTTGAGACTTCCACAAAGTAATTTTGTACGCCAGTGAATTAGGGGTAGCTTTTATCATACTGAATCCACTCAATCGCAAACAATAGAGAAAATGAGCCCCCCCGCCGCTCTCGATCATGCGAATGGCTCCCCCGCAGCACCTCTGACTGTGGAGGGCATTCCTGCTCTGAGGGCCAAGAGTGCCCCAATCCCCAAGGGTGTTGCACCTGCGACGAGTAGTGACATGTTCAAAAGCCCGGTAAGCTCCCGTGTGCTGGAATTGCCCTTGCCCGTATAACGATTATGTGCTAATTGGAATATCATATTACAATAGGCATGTTATACGAAGCCCAAGGCTAAACGCTGGGATCGTGAGTCTCTCGACAACGACCCCTGTTTCTGAACCGATACGTTCCCGACCACAGGACAACAACTGACCGACTCTAGACATTCTCTCCATCGAAGCTAAATCTCGGAAGGTTTGTGATAGTATTGCTCAAGCAGGTTGAAGTGAAAGGCTAAATGGCTTTATGTGCTAGGTATCTACATTGAAAGGCGCCGCGAAATACTTGAAGAACCCAGGTAATTCTGTTGCTCATGCAAGCTATATCTCCTTCTGACGTTTGTTCTCCAGGCCTCATTTCTCTGGGTGGTGGACTGCCCTCTCCTGAATACTTTCCTTTCGAGGAGCTCGATGTCAAGGTTCCCACTCCACCAGGGTTCACGCCTGAAGCTACTCGCGAGTCTGGAAAAGTTGTACACACCGGAAAGAGTGATATTCGTGAAGGCAAGAGCTTATATGGTTAGTCGGCTCTCAGTCATCGTTCGCAACCGGCCTTGGAATTAACGTTACGAAGATCTTGAGGTTGCTCTCAATTATGGTCAAGCTACGGGTGCTCCGCAACTGTTGAGATACGTCACAGAACACACAGAGGTACGCTGGGTGATCTGAAGGATCCGAACGAAGCTAATAGAAACAGCTCATCCACAACCCCCCCTATTCGGACTGGCAATGTTGTCTGAACTGTGGTAGCACCTTCGGATGGGATGTGGCACTCAGAGTCTTTTGCGAACGAGGCGATTATATCATGATGGAAGAATATACCTTCTCTAGCGCACAGGAAACTGCCCTCCCTCTTGGCCTGAAGGTGGCACCTATCAAGATGGACAAGGAGGGTCTTTTGCCCGAGTCCCTTGACGAGGTCCTGAGCAACTGGGATGAAAGCGCTCGAGGTGCTCGTAAGCCCTTCGTTCTTTACACTATCCCTACAGGACAGAACCCCACGGGCGCTACACAACAGGCGGAGAGACGCAAGGCAGTCTACAAGGTTGCCCAGAAGCACGACGTTTATATTGTGGAGGACGAACCCTATTACTTCTTGCAGATGCAGCCATACGCTGGAGCTGATGGCGAGCCCGTTCCACCGCCTGCCAACCACGAAGAATTCATCAAGTCTCTTATCCCTTCCTACCTCAGTCTTGACACTGATGGTCGCGTGCTTCGGCTGGAATCATTCTCTAAGGTCATCGCTCCTGGCTCCCGGGTTGGCTGGGCTGTCGGATCCGAGCAAATCATCGAACGCTTCACGAGAACCTGCGAGACTAGTTCCCAGAATCCAAGTGGTATCTCGCAGCTTGTGCTTTACAAGCTGTTGGAGGAGCAATGGGGCCACGCTGGGTACTTAGACTGGCTGATCAACCTTCGTATGTCATATACGGCACGCAGAGACTCCATGGTGCATGCGTGCGAGAAGTATCTCCCCCAAGAACTAGCTCATTGGAACCCCCCTGCAGCAGGGATGTTTGTAAGTTCAGAGCTTTCCACAATCCTTCATTCCCCACAACCAAAGCACTGACAAGAAACAGCATTGGATCGAAATTGACTGGCGGAAGCACCCTGGAATTCCGTCTGGCAAGACACGCGAACAAATTGAGGAGGAAGTTTTCCAGGCCGCAGTCAACAATGGTGTCCTGATCTCTCGTGGCAGCTGGTTCAAAGCTCAAGGCGCGAGCGAGGAGAAGTTGTTCTTCCGTGCTACATTTGCCGCCGCTAGCTCTGATGCTATTGCTGAAGCAATTTCCCGTTTCGGTACAACTTTGAGGCAAGAGTTTGGACTGAACTGAGTTGGCAAATTTTGAAGATGCATGTTGGTTTATAATGAGAAATACATAGATAAATTGTAGATATTTCACACGCAAAACAGATTAACATCTATATGAACTGCCTGACAAGTTGGACATATAACTGGAGGTATAAGCATCAGCTGATAAGTTTGAGGCATATGTTCGCCGAGCGCCATACATTGACCTCGGGTGCTGTGAAGGGAGGGAAAAAAGAAAAAGAAAAACACTGGGCAAATACTCCTTCACACGGCAAAAATAATGTTCCGCATGGATCAGCAGTAACGTGACATGCCTGGAACTTTAATGGAACGTTTCTTATCCTTCACCGCGGAAACCCAACATATCCACTATTTCTCGGGGATTGAAGATTTTATTCGGCCATAATGTTTCATTTTATTCTTTTAGAGCCTATGTTGTGATTATTAATAGATTGTGATCTTCCTTCTTTGGCTCCTTATACCTCGTCCCTCTTAAACACGTTGATTAATTAGAGGATCGTGATTCGTGAAATACTATAGTAATTAGATTTGGATATATTCATGATCGATTGTTGGGTAAGTCTACTGGAATTCTTGGGGAAACACCTTTCTTGCAATATTGTCCACTGTATACGCTAGAAGTGGTGTGTCTATAGCTGCTGCTGTCCCCTTTGATCCTTATAGCATGAGGATAAGTTTTGATGCCAGATTGGAAATGGTTTGATTCACTACGTGGATACTGGGGAGCTCTTTACTGTCTACTTCAATATAATTTTGCGCCCGCTTTTATACCTTTAGCTCTAACCCCTGTGTGAATATTGACACTGTGACGTGTTCCACATTTCCGTGCTAATACTAGGGATGTTAGTTATTGAATATTGCCTGTTACTACAAGAAATCGGGGCCGATGCTTTTTGGCTGGTCACATACAGAAGCTCCTTCGTCTTAGCGAACTATCGGCCGAATAAGTTCTTCCGGCATAACAGCGATTGGACAGGATCACCTACTGTTCTTCCTGAACTGGATATCACTGCACTGCATACCAACAGTGACTGAGAGCGAATTGCAGTGACAGCCCGCCACCTCTCAGTCCGGTGATCGGCCAATTGATTGGTTTCACGCTAACATTAGCGCCCGCTCTTAGCGCGGCTGGCATTATCTTCGCTTTCAGTGCCAATCTTGCAATAAAAGCATCGACACATTGATTCCATTGCTATCAACCCCAGAACCCCAGTCCGCATAGCAGGAACCCCACAATAGCTAATTTATCGTGGAAGGTGCTGGTATATTGCGAGGTGTCGGTAGTATCGATAGAACAAGTAGACCTGCTCTAAGATCCCCCTTGTCAGGGACTGTCTGTCGTTGATGTATTAGAGCAGACACTGCGTGGCATTGACCTCCAGATCATCTTATAGCAATCTTTCTACACCCTGGAAAGGGGTTGTATTGCGATTAAAGCGCAGGTCAGTATGCAGGCTTTTCGTTCCTTTCCCCCTCCCCGTTTCTGTTCTGTTGTTGTTTTCCTTCCCTGTTGTTTCCCCTCCTTCCTATTTCTTCCACCCGCCGTACCTGGTAAGCTTGGAAGATCAGGCGTGTATCCCTTCATCCACATCTTTGTTTACCTGCCTGCGATACTGCCATTGCTCGGAAGTGTTCAGGGATGGGTAGCTCAAAGGTGGCAGTGGATCGAAGATGCGCCTGCCGGTTTGGCTTTCTTCTGACCACCTGGCTTGTCGTACGCTGACTTATACCTCAATGCAGAGCTAGGGCCTACCCGGAAGGTTTTGTGCGCTTTGGCTTTGGGGTCTCAACCGAGCTTAAGCAGAGAGGGCTCCATAACGAGAAGCTTGGACAGCCGTTAGAAAATACATTCCGTGCACCTGGTAGCAGGCTCGCGTCAAAGGAAGCCTGTCCCTGTGAACGGACTCGTTACATTTGCTCAACCGCGCCTTGTGACCCTTTCAACACTAGTTCTTCGAGGCATCTCCACTCGCCTATTGTAAAGCCATTCAAAAGCGCATCGAGGAAGGCCAGTAAGTCGATAGGTTCTCTTAGCCTTACTTCGGCAATCAAAAATCTTTTCGGTCACGGGAGAAAAAAGCCCGAGTTGAAAGATCAGGACGACTTCTGGGAAAGGTATTGCCAATCTTACAGTGAAGGGCCATCATATCATTCGCGACAATTCTCAAACCCACTTTCTCCAGCGCGCCTCAGGAAGTGGAAACCGCGCTCATTTAGTGACCCCTTACATAGAAGGACAGGCAGCGTTGGGCAGAAGCCGTATTCTTGGTCCGAAGAAAGTGAATTTCCCATTTCGCAGCCATCGCAGTATTCATCACCTTACCACCAAACCTCCTACCCCGCCGACTATTTCTCACTCTCCCCACACGACGAGCCTATCGACGAAACAGCTCCGATCCAGAAGCTGAACTCTCGGGGCCTGGCTGAAGAGCAAGCAGTCAAGAGCCAGGACTCGTTACTTCCGCCAACACCGGAGCCCTTGAGATACTGCGATCTGCGTGAAAACAAGACAGTCTTCCCCAAGCTCCCAATCTCCACCATGGATCCCCCCCGTGCCTCCAAATTCCTGGATCCGACGTCCGCCATGGCTGCTATTACGAAGCACAAAGCAGAGGCCATCAAGCTTGCGCGTGAGCAGGGCGTCGCGGTCCAGGAGATGTGTCGCAGAGCTAAAACTGATACTCCGCCGTACGAATTCGAGGAGCTGATTGGCAAAGGTGCTTATGGTCGCGTGTACAAAGGCCACCAACTGCCCTCGCGCAGAATCGTTGCGATAAAAGTCATGGATATTGATTCATTGGACTACAAGAGTGTTCGGGATTTTCGAGATGAATCTATAAAGGACTTTATTCATGAAACGAAGGTCATGAAGCAGGTTAAAGATTCAGGAGCAAAGAACATCAACGAAATAATCGAAGCCATCTCTATCCACTCCCAGCTATGGTTGGTTTGTGAGTACTGCCCCGGTGGAAGCGTCAGGACATTGGTAAGTCTGCACTGCCCTACCCACCCTATAGTCCATCGTGCTTTTTCTTTGATTATCTGCCGTCAAGAGGATCAAAGTCTGCTTATCACTTTGATTGCTGATAATACCAGATGAGAGCTACGGGTGACCAACTGGATGAAAAGTTTCTGATCCCTGTAGCCCGTGAGCTTGCTGCTGGCTTGCGTGCTATCCACGACGCTGGCATCATTCACCGAGATATTAAAGGTAGGATTGATGTTAGCAGCCCAAAGTCCACGGATGCTAATAATTTCACGAAGCGGCCAATATCCTGATACACGAGGAGGGACGATTGCAAATCTGCGATTTTGGTGTGGCTGGAGTGCTACAATCACAGTTGGACAAACGGTCGACCTGGATTGGAACACCCCACTGGATGCCACCTGAGATGTTCTCTATGCGCGGCGAAGCGCACAAATATGGTAGCGAGGTTGGATCTCCTAGTCCCTGGCGTAGCGTCACATACTAACCGGGATAGATCGATGTATGGGCCTATGGCTGCACGCTGTTCGAAATAGCGACGGGAAACCCCCCGAACTCAAATTTGCGAGAGCGAATGCAGATAGGAAGGCAACTCAACCGCGTCGCTCCCAAGTTGGAAAATTCAAAATACAGTGATGGGCTGAAAGACATTGTCGCTTACGTATTGGAATCAAACCCATCTACCCGACCAACAATGGCAGACATACAATCGCATGCATACATTGCGGATACCGAGGAGGCCTATCCCACATCGTCTCTGAGTGAGCTAGTGCGGATCTATTATCAGTGGTCGCAGCGGGGAGGACAGCGCATCTCCTTATTCCACCCCGGAGGTGCAGCGGCCGCGGAGATGCCAGGCACAACTATGGACTCAGATAGCGACTGGAATTTCAGCACCACAGATGGGTTTGAACGAAGATTTTCCGTCATTGACCTCGACCAGATAGCCGCATCTTTGGCCGAGATGGAGGACGAACTCGGCACCACGAATATGCAGCCTGCACGAGAGTCGTTCGATGAACCGGTTGAGCGGGTAATGACGAAGGAAGACCAAGCTAACTTCGATGAGCGTGTCCGACGAGGCGCTGAAGCTATGGAGGGACTTTTCAATGAAGAGAAACCAAGCTATACGTACGAGACGAAGAATGATTTTGTTCCCATTGAGGAAAAGCAGCCGGTTTCGGACTTACCTCTCCGCACCGAAACCGATCGCTCTTCCGTCACCTCGACATTTATCGATATTGACATTGGCTCATTTGATTCCTCGCACTATGCAGCTGGAGCTTCGTCGTCGCAACCCTTTCAACTTGCTGATGCAGATACTATCAAGGCGAACAGGTCTAGCGGTCGTCAATTCCGCAATTCTAGTGATAGTCGTTCTCGCTCGTCAAGCAGTGATGTCAGTAACCGGGAAGCTCAAGATTTGACTTACCAGCCTCAGAGTGGCCCGCGACCCCCAACCATGGATTGGAAGTTCCCAGTTTTCATGCAGCCCCCGGAGGAGGAGGAATCCCAAAAGGAAGCCTCGCAGGAACCGGCGCCTGTGGAGCCTGAACCCACAGCAAGGCGTGCAACGATGGAATGGACCTTTCCTGTCATGACCGCGGCTGCAGGCGAGGACCAGAGCGGTACCGACAATGATATGGATAACAGTCGCTATGATACTTTAAGGGCACCAGTTCTAGACCTTGAGCCAGCAGTGACGATTCGACCTACCAGTATTGGGGAGCCTGGTGACTCTCGGCCATCGACGTCGGCATCCACTCATTCTCGTGCTAGTGTGTCGATAAGCTCGGATACTGACTATGATCCATTCCGATTTGACCGGCCTTCCACTCCACCGGGCATCCCACAGCAGCAAGCCCTGAAGAATGACTACCCAGAACTCCTAGCAATTACTGAGGACAAGGATGATGATCAGTCATCTGTATTAGACGGGCCTGGACCGGATGAGGAGGAGAGCCACCCTGTTTGGCAAGATAATTCTGATGCATCAGATCCTGCTCTGCAGTCCGAGCCGTTCCCGACGGCCATCCCAACCAATGAGCTACAGCCCAACCCTCCGTTTGCCGGAAGGGATGACTCTCCATCATCTGAACCATTACCCACAGCTCGACGCGCTCCAGCTACAAGTGCACTCGATGAAATGGAACCTATTGTATTCCCTGATCTTGTGCCTCCTCGACTTGAAGTGATGCATGAAGGAGCAGACGAGAGTGATGTGACGGCTGAGATGGATCGACTGTTAGGTGATTTGTTGAGTGCGCTCTCGGCCACGGGCGAGGCGCTATCACGCACCAGGTTCGGACCAGAAGTCGCCAATGGAAAGAGCTCGACGCCTGAGATCCCTGAGTAGTTGTTGGCCTTTGGTCGGTCGTCATTTCTACTAGCGGATGAAGGCTTTCCTGAAGAACATGGAGGGTCACGACTTACGACTTGTTCATTTGCACGATGGAGCCTCTGCTTTAATGCCGCAATTGCCTACAATGGTGGCTAGCGTTTGATTCATTCTGGAGCCCTGTAAATTATTTACATCTCGATGACTATTTTATTTGGATTCGTCAACGTTAGTCTGATCGTAACAGACTGTTGGCCAGGGATAAAGGGACAAACATCAAGAATACGTCAGAAATAGGCAGAAAATAGTAATGAATGAAAAACCCTAATGGGTCCAGTTGTCGCACCGCATCAAGTTCGAGAACCACTCAGCATGCAGTCTCCTTCCTCCCGAAGCACGTAATTCTAAACTTAGCGGATAATCCCAAATGATCCGTAATCCACATTTCCTGCCCTTTTTCATCGTCACTCTCCCCATCACTCACTTCGGGATACTCGATCCAAACCGTCTCCCCGGCTCCAATCCGCTCCAGCCCCTCCACCTCCAACCCACCGCAAAACAAAACCTTGTCCATACGAGAACATCCATACTTGTCCCTCAGCCAATCGGGAATCTGCTGACCCCATGTGAAGCTTTCCTCCGTGCCATCCTCCCCGCCAAGAACCAGAAACGCATCACGGAGCCCACTCTCATTCGGTGCGGCGAGATCCTCAGGTGCAAAGGCGTTAAGGTCACCTGCTAATATTGCCGCGTGTGGAGTGGGTAAGTTTGTCTCTCCTGGTCCAGAGCCATGCATGAATTGCGAGGCGAGATGAATTTGGTTGGGTCTGATTGGGGGGTTGGAGAGGAGACTTTCGAGGTGGGTGTTGCAGAGACGGAGGGTTCCTGGATTCTTAGCAAATTTTTCTTCAACGCCTCCCGAAGCACAACACCTCTCGAAATAATAAAGGAAGAAGGACAACTAGAGAGAGGAAGAAAAAAAGAGGGACCATACCAATCTCATCACCACCCCCTTCCTCTTGACCCTGGAAGCAATGCAAGTCCACAAAAAGCCCATCTCTCTGCATCCTGGACGTGGCATACGGGACCCTAAACACCCGCTGCACATGACACCGCTTGTCGATCAGTGTTGTTGTTCCGTAGGAGCCTCTCCAGTGTGTAATGCTGAGATCAGTGATGAAGAAGTGATCCTGGACCCATTTGGTCTGTTGGATGATGGTTAGGTCTCTGAGAACCATCTCTTGCAGGAAGATTATATTTATTGGTGCTACATCTTTATTGTTATCGTCTCTGGACTTGAGTACAATCTTTGCAAGATAGTTTAGGCCAGCTTGAGTCCGCTCTGCCTTGCAGGGCTCCTGAAAGTCGATATTCCAGGTTGTTATGGTGAGAGCTTTGAGGGGAGCTGTGCTGGTGCTTGTTGTGATTGTAGGTTCCGCGGTGGTGTCTGTTTGGACCGGGTTCCATGCCTGGGTGGTTTGGTTGTAGCTGTAGTATGGTTGCGGGTTTGGCAAGTCAACGGCGAGGGGCGCTGTTGTAGACAACTCCTGGAAGCGCTTCCCGATGGAGATTGGACTTTGAGCCATGATGAAGATATTTTGGCGTGATGTTGGGTGGGTGGGGAGGGTTGGGAATTAAACGGATGAGTATGACATGCCGTGGCCCTACGTAGTAAGGAATTACATCGAGGTGCAGTTGTGTGAGTTGGTTGTTTTCGCGGGGGGGGAAATAAAAGTGACTGTCCAATCAAGCTCTCGGGAGGTGCATATTCAACACGTGGAATGTAACGGATAGAGGATAGTAGAGTCTCAAGGGTGAGTATTACCTTTTAAGGGTGAGCGAGTGGCTACAGTCAGATGAGTAAGTTAACATGAAGGGTGATTATATTATCTGACTCTCATCAGACTCGCCCTGCTAAAGTGATCATGACTGAAGAGGGCAGGACAGGAGAACTTATAGTTTTTGTAACGATATCATCACCTTTCAAGCCCCTGCAGCGAGCTTTGTACAGAACAGTCGTCACGCCTATTAGTGCCCACTCCTAATAACAAAAGTTTATGATATGGTTGCCGCGGCGTCAAAACACGTACGCATGCTATATTGGTGCAGAGCCTTCACGTTAAGTCACGTCACGTCCTTTCTCGGCGACATGCTTTTGTTCTTCTTACAACCAGGGGGGTGACCTTACTCTCGTTGTCCTCCTTGTCTCTGCTGGATCCCCCAATTAGCACTCACAATGGCTTCGATCGCCAGCAGGTCGTCTCTGTTTGAGTCCCCATTAGTTCCTAGATCATCTCAGCAGTGGAAGGCCGCTCTTCAGGGCGTCAAGCTCCTGTATGTCCAGCGCCAGTACAAGCAATGCACCGTCCGGGCCACAGAGCTGCTCGAGAAGTCAAGAGAACCTGTATGTCTGTCTGTCCCATACAGGGCTAAGACTAATTTAGAGCAGCTACACCCCGTCTACAAGACATACCTCTACTTCTACAGCGCAGTCTGCTACGAGGAGATGGGGCGAGCCGCTCACAGGTACTCCAGCACGAAAGTCCCACTGCTGCAAGGCGCGTTGGATCGCTTTGACATCTGTAGCACCGTTCTGCCTTCTCCTCTACCGGTCTCGAGCCGTCCTTCGGAGGAGTCGAACTTCCCTTCCCTGGAAGAAACCTCTTCTCCTTCGGAATTTTCAGACAGTCCCTCAACGATATGTAGTCTTGTCAGCAGCATCACAGATATCATCGACAAAACCATGCAGTGGAAAGAAGAGGACCCGTTCATCTCAGACAGTGATTCCTGTCCAGATATGGACATTGGTACTATGGCCACTGTTGCTGATGGCAGAGCAAACCAATTACTTATTCCTCCTCCATTGAGACTTAAGAAATCTTCCGATGAGGCTCTCCCCCTTAAGGCAGTCCTCCGTGATTCAGGCCACACTTCCGTACGGGTCGAGAGATCAGATCGAGCTCGTCTACCTCCTCCACTGCCTCTCAAGATTGTTCCTCGTGCAGTCACAGGCAAATACGAGAGAACGATGGATTCACTACTAAGCAACAGAGATTCCCGACTATGCACAGATGGCTTGCTCATCGATTTAAGCGAAAGGAAGGCTGTACCTGCGACCCCACAGTACAGTGATTCCATCAGGCGCTACAACAGTAGTATCCGATCCCTGCGGTCTCAAATCGACTCGAGCATTAACTCAATTCATGTGCTGGTTGACGAGGTCGAAGAGAAGCAGCATACCCGCAAGATGGCCAAGACTATCAAGCGATCGGCGTCGTTCTGGAGTTTCAGTCCTGTCCAAGGTGGCGATGGATGCTGGGAGAAGGTTGGCGGTCTGAAACGGTCCCCGGGCAAAGAGACTAAGCAGGAGAGAATTGATCGACTACGTGCTGAAGAGTGGAAGACAGTAGGGCTCCGATCCGCAGCGCGAGGATGGAAAGGAGGAGAATACTACAAGGAATATTGCAGTTCTGTTTTGGATGAGCTTTATTTGGAGTCGTGATGGTTGATACTGGGGTGGAAATAACAGTCTGGATGCTGAGATGCACCGACATGTGGCTTGGCTATTGGTGTTGGTAGGTCTGATTGATGGAAGATATCTTGTAGTAGTATTGGGGCTGTGTTGAATCGTCAAGGTTTCTTTTGCAACGTCTTTGTTTTGCACCCCGTCTCCACGTTCATTAGTGTTAGGTCTTGCCATGAAGATTGCAGCGTTAGGGGGCTGTTAGGGTACCATAAAATAAATCTAGCATAGCCGAGATTATGCCCCTTACCTCCCAGCATGCATATTTTCTTCAAGCTTCCATCGTGCTTCATATATGATATTTAATATATAATCACGTACTCATAGAGTGGCATTGCATATAAGCATTCACTCGTTAACCATGCAAGATGGTTCACATTCTCTGTAGTCTGTGCCTGCTGGCTCCTGGATGAGACGGGCCAAAAGCTAGTAGTAGGCTTGAAGCCACTTAAGGATACTCTCCGCTTTAATGTGGGTGTGACTGTGGAGTTCTTACACTTGTTTCCTTCAGATGATGAGCGGGTAGCAGACATATTTCGAAGTTGCAATCCCCGAGCCGGATAGTGATAGTATTAGGTATATCGTAGCTGAGATACTGTGGTACTATACCGAGCCGATCTGGACGTATACTCCGCATCTTAACTCGGAGGCTTGGATTTATTATGTACCTTCTCGTTGTGTCATGGATCAAAATTGACACATTGACGGGGTTCTCCTGGATTCTGTTTGTTATATAACGGACAAACTCGTAGAGTATTGTGTGGGTATGTTGGTCCTAAGCCTGAACTGGTTCTAATACGACGAGAGAACAGATTCTATCATATGGAAATCAAATGCTAGACAGTCTCTGAGCTGAAGGGAAGCTTTAGAAAATCAGTGTGGCAGTGGAATAAACGGTTGAATCTTCTAGATATCGCGATACGCAGATGATCGAGGAATGGCTCTAGCTCCAGTTATCCTTGAGAACAGTCACTTGCACATGAGATGTGTTTGCGGCTAGAAGATAATCTAAGATTTCCATACTTCTAGAGTCGGTCTCGTGCAGCGCAAGATCGAACCGTGCGAAAATGTAGGCGAGAGACATGGTCATCTCCATTTGCGATAATCTAGTCAATCGTCAGTGCGGAGTACAGTACTATATCCCACATCCACACCTTGCATAGTATACGTACTTCATTCCAATACAGGCATAAGGCCCTAAACTGAACTGGACCCTCCACTTTTCGAGGCTCTTTCCCTCGTCCCCTAGCCATCGCTCTGGCCGGAACGAGCCCGGGTCTTTGAAAATCACCTCGCTCTTGCTTATACCGGACAAAGGCACCGAAATGATTGTCTAAATTGTCGGTTAGATACAGTAGCGCAAACAAATGGAAATGAGCGCATGTCTTCTTACCCCACCAGGGATGAATGTAGACCCAATGAAGCGGCCGCTGGGTGGTACTACCCGAGGTAAAAACCCTTGAACTGGGCAAGAGATGCGCAGTACCTCTTCAATTACCGCAGACTAAGTATATTAGCAAATTAGCCCCTCTGCAAGTGTATTCATGCCTACCAAATACTCCAGCTTTCGGATGGCAGGCCAATCATGTGATTGTATTTGTCGTTCAGAGTCCCTAAGCTCGACTTTCAGTTTCTTGAGCACGTCGGGGTGGGTCAGCAGGTAGTATATGGCGAACGATAGCGCGTATGCCGTCGTATCTGTGCCGACGAACATAAACAGGACGGACTCATCAATGAGGTACTTCCTGTCAATATGGATCCCGTCACTCTGGCCAGACTCTAATAGGACATCGTTTAGCGTACGGTGTCCTGCGTCCGGTGACGGCTTCTCCTTTTGTTGCCTTCTGGCGTAGACTTCGCCAAGACGGGCACCGCAGTACTGATCAAAGGGAGTTAACGATGAACCAGGGCAGCCTTTGCTCCAAGAAGTGGACGAAACTGACCTCTCTCAGTCGCACATATCCCGGAACGACCATTCTCAAAAGAAACTCTGGCAGAACGTCCACTAACTTTCCTAGGCTAGGAAAATTGACAACTAGGAATTGTCAGTGGCCTGGAAGTTGACATTTTAGAAATCAGGGAGCCCACAGAGAAGGGACTGTCTGTGGAAGAATTGCAGCGTGGTAGCAATATCATCCAGCTGGTCCTTTTCATCGAGTAGGCTCAAAGAAGAGCCAAACAGCTTGTCAGAAATCATGTTGATCTAGCAGTTGCCCGAACATTTAGCAAAGCCACATATCCTTTTTACTGTGCAGACTAACTGTGAGGTAGAAAAAGTGTGCTTGAATGTCGACTGCTGTTCCATCTCTCTTAGCTCTCGAAAGAATTTCACCGATGCCTTCAATGTTCTTGGACAGAGTAGGCAACGCCTCTGCAACCGCTGACGGGGTGAACACTGGATTTAGTTGCTTACGCCGTACGCCATGCAACTTGAAGTCTGCGAGTGCAGCAAGGGAGTTTGCTAATGGCAGGCTTTGGTAGAAGGTAGGATCTCGCTGAAATTCAGTTCCAGGTTTGAAGACACTATAAAATGGAGGGGTTTAGTCTTATTTGGTCACTTTAGGTGTGCTAGCCAGCGCTCACTCATGGAAGAAATCAGGATCGTTGATAAGCAAGTGATTGTGGGATATTCGGATAATCGTTGAGTCTAAAGAATCATGTAAGATTCCCCTCCCCCTTTCTTTTAAGTAGTAATTGCAGGAATGACGCTTACTGAATTCCTTCTCTAGCCGCCAAATATGGAAGATATATTGACCACCGCGGATAACATCGTAATAAAACTTATACCATCCAGTTGCGGCAGCCAGCCATGGTCCGGGGAAATTCTTAAGAGGATGAAAGTGTAGCCGATAAAGAACCTTCAAACCTGCCTGACATAGATAGCAGCATATAATAATAACAACCCTAGCGTTATCGTCAGTTTCTTATCTGTATGGCAACAAAGGGAGGCCTTACCAACTGGCAAGTCCCTCGAGCTTCAGCATCACGATCTCACGTGGTAAACTCCAAAGATGTAAATATATGAAGGGTTACCAGTGGAGAGGAGGTCAAGCCCTTGTCACAGCGATAGCTACGTTCTGGGCGAGTGGCTGTTTTAGCCAACTTTATTGGGTGCCTAGCCTACTCTATTGGGGCACACCGCCAGTTCACATCAGGTTTTTCCACCGATAGCTTCCCCCTGACCCGAGAAGTAGGTCTGATCCATTCTAGACACCGTTATATGCCGCCACTAAAGTTTCCATGCCATTGGGTTCTCATGAATAGCCGAAAGCTTGCTATTCTATGGGAACTATAGTCTGTATCACATTAACAGAATAGGAAATAGCAACGAGACGAGTCTGCCAATTCCACAATATGTATTCGTGGATTGCTCCCCGCAATCTCCTCGTTGCTTCAAGGGCACACAGCCCACATGCAGCCATGGATATGGATAGTGCTCGAAACTCTATCTAGCCAAGACTTTGGTCAACTGAGTGTAAAAGCGATCATATTGTCATCATCAATCTCTGATTGATCGAAGTATCTTCGCCCAGAATAGCTATCATCGTGGTCACATCAGAAACCCATTATGCAAGGAGTGAAAAGTGTTGGACTGCCCACATACCTCCAATGGGTTAATCCCATGACAATATTCTTACATCCTTCCAGAAATGCACTGGGCACTTTATTAGGTGTCTGCCGGGACATACACAGCATGTTGTGCTCGACTTCGTGGAAGCCACGGGTGGTTTCCTCAACTAAGTGATAGGAAAGTTGCATAGCCTTGTTGCAATCGATGCCTTGATTGAGCATCAGGACTGGGACAAGGTTCTCAGCTTGGTGATCTGCCTATATGATGTGGATCAGTAGGGGGCAGCTGATCTTCAAGGCAAGGGCACTCATACAAGTTCTTTTCTGAGTGAGAACATATCATTTATCCTTTATCACCAAATTAGTTCTCATTCTTGGCGAAGCCCCTCAGTCACATAGGCACCCACATGTGTACCAAATATGAAGTGTGTCTCCAAAGCAGTCGCATTAGATCGAACGACAACTCTTGCTTGGAGACGTCGATCCCGTAAATGAAACTAGCTAAACATTAGCATACATTTCGACTACAAGCTTTCCATTGACGCACGGGATTGTCGCTATGACTGGGTATACTCCTGCCGTGCGTTCGCGCCGTCTCCAGTACTTGATCAACGAGGGAGCCTGGTCCTCCGCGTAGATGGTATCGACAGTATCCACACTTGATACATAGAACAGCTTCTTGTCCAAAAGAACTTCAAGTGTTTCTACTATCAATTAGTAAGGTGTATCACAATAGCGGGCAAGTGGGTAAAGTGACAAAAAAAAAGGTTGTCTTCAGGGATAAGGAAAACATGGGCCAAAGCACCTCGCGAGCAAACCTCCCGCAAATGGGCCGCAACTTCATCCCAACACTTCAAGGCATTCTGCAACTCCTGAGAAAAACATGACAGATCTGGATACTCGCCCTTTGCACAGAGCACTGCCCGAAAATACTGCAAAGATACGTCGCGGTATTTGCTGATGCTGCACTGGTCATTGGTCAAGGACCCGCAGTCAAATACTAGACATACTTTGTTAGTCGTTTTCCTATAGTAAGGCAACCACAAGGATCTACAGTCGTCCCAAATAAAATACTGCCTCCTATTAGCTCTTTCTCGTCATAGGCAAGTATGTGACAATGTCTCACCCACGCAAAAGCCTTCGCTACCGTGCATAACTTGGCAAAAGATGTATCTGCACACATGATCGCCGCGAACACTCCGAATTCTGCCTGCTGGAACTTGCGACAGGTGACCGCATTGGGCACCCACCTGCATAGTGTCAGCTATTTCGAACAGGATGGTCGAATAAAGCAGTTCTCACCGTTCAATCCAGGGATTGAGAATTTCGTCGCGGGCTCTAGGGTATTCGGGGTGGAGGCTAGGCTTCCAATCGGCAAAGAGCATATATAGATTTGGTAGCATGGCTGTCTGGCCGCGGATCGATTGCCAAAAGTCGGCATGCAATGTCGGTTGTAGCATAGTGAGATAGAGAAATAAACAGAAGGAAAATCGTACGTCTGCTTGTTAGTCTTGCTTATATTTCCGGAGGTTCAAGAACTTGTCGAGCCTAAATACCTTCCTGGAACCAGCAGATCGGCAAGAGCATATCTGGTTGGTAAATAAGCTTTGTGTTAAGGAATATGAACTTCACTACGTGAAAGTTTCAGGCTGGCCCACTACTTGAACCAGGTGACTGATTCCTAATGTTGCCAATATTAGGGTTGAGAATAATAACCATCTGCAGCAGCGAGTATGGCCTGACCTCTATGAGTCCATATGCATGCTAAATGGCCCGCAAAACTAGGGGAAAGTTCAACTATTCGGCGGTCAAGCAGCGAGGCGAAGGAAATGGTGCTATAGTCCAGCAAACCCGCTCTAATAAATGGTACGATTTGGGTGGACTTTGATAGCATCACGACTACTAAGAAATACTATCTTCTTGTTCATTGCATTTCCATCATGTCATATTCCGTTCTTGTTCAGCGGGCGCGGGATCTGGTTCATAAGATCTCTAAAGAAATCACCTCTGAGTATGGCTTAAGCTCCATGGCACCGTCCATATACGATACTGCCTGGCTTGCCTTAGTCCCTGACAAGACAGCAGACCAAAAGGGCTGGCTTTTCCCCGAAAGTTTCACCTACCTTCTTGACACTCAAAACTTGGACGGCGGCTGGGATCCCCTAGAACAATCTAGCAGAGCGGTTAAATACTCGGACTCTCTCTGGCTGCCTGACTGTATCATTCACTCCCTAGCAGCCCTACTAGCTCTGTGCCGACACTTTCGTCTCGCCGCATGTCAGGGCTCAGGCCTCCCGGAAGATGCCCTCGCGAGGATCTTCCGTGCGAAGCGATTTTTAGACGAGAAGCTTGCCGCCTGGACTCTAGAAGGGACAACTCACTTTGGATTTGAACTCCTAATTCCCGTCCTACTGCAACTCTTAGCGGAAGAAGGCCTCTCGTTCGAATTTCCCGCCAAGGAAGAGCTACTCATCCGGTATGAGAAGGCCTCAAGCATTGACTTAAACTGGCTGTATGATGGTCCCTGCCAGGTTCCACTCCTATCACTCGAGGCCTTCATTGGCAAGTTAAACTTTGGTAAGATTGAGCACTTAGTCAGTGATGGCGGAATCATCGCTTCTCCAGCCTCCACCGCAGCATACCTGATCTACGCTCCAAAGTGGAGTGACAAATGCGAGGCCTTCCTTCGCCATGTCGTAGCAAACGGCCAAGGGCAAGGCAATGGTGCAGTAGGAGGAGTGTTTCCTCTGGAGCTTTTCGAACCAAGCTGGGTATAATACCCTACCCCAATTGTCGCTCTTAATGAACTAGACAGTGCAAGTGCATTAACAGATATTTAGGTGCTGACTGCACTCCTTGAGCATGGATTCACGGCCGAGAACCTGGGCGTGGACCAAGTAGACTCTATCCTCAGGGTAATACATAGAAGCCTCAACGGGGGTGTCATCGGTGCCAGTAAGTCTTATGTTACCCACCTCTTTATCAACCCAACCCCGCAATAGTTAAAAAGCGTTGTCATTTAGCTCATGTCTTCCTCCCTGACGCCGACGATACCTCCCGAGCCCTCACAACACTGAACCTCCAGGGTTACCAAATCAGCCCGAAAGGCCTCCTCGATAAATTCGAAGTGGACCACTGCTTTGAAACCTTCGACAACAGAATGCCGAACCGCGTGACCAGCGTCAGCGTCAACGGCAATGTCCTATCCTCTCTCCTCCATAGCCCAGACCCCAGTGCTTTTACCGCACAGATAGAGAAAGTCGCCCGGTTTATATGTAGTCGATGGCAAGCAGCTGGGAAGCTCGAGGATCATTGGGTATGAATAGCCTGCCCAGCATCAACCCCCTCCCCATCCTAATGCTCACAGATAACTAACAGGAGGATGTATAGAACATGTCCGAGTACTACGGGATCATGCACATAGCCCAATCCCTTATCCTTCTTCTAGTAAAACAATCCCAAGGCGCTTTACCCTCCATTTCTGTCGTCTCCTACCACCTCATCCACGACACAGTCCCATCCTGCCTTCGTGAGGCGCTGGATTACATTCTGAAAAATCAACACGCGGACGGCTCGTGGGGCGAGCTGCATTGCAACGAAGAAACGGCCTATGCAGTCGTTGCTCTAGCCAATCTAGGGTCCCATTTGGCTGTTGTTAGGGAGAATGACTGGAAGGTCGACTTAGCGATTGCTCGGGGCAAGCAATTTTTGTTGGAGCATTGGCTGCCCGGAAATACGAAGCCGGACCGTGTATGGACAGGGAAGATTCTTCATGGCCTTGCTTATGTTGGGGAAGCATATATTCTTGCTGCGTTGAAGGTGAATAGGGTTAATTTGGCGGCGGCCAGGGGAATCTACCCTAACTGATACCTTTCGTAGTCGGTGACTATCAGGAGGGCCATTACTGTACTTAAGCGGAATAAGCATATCTCATTAGATAAACTAATACAAAGGCTTGGGCAATGACCCTGCCTAGTCTATGATTCATGCATTGGTCAAGAGCTCCAAGAAGTGACCGCCCGCCGTGGCCGCAGGCTGAGCAGCAGACTCTATTCACAACTGCTAATTTGGCATCAGGAGGTTGACCTGTTGTCAGACAAATGCGCACAAAGAGACTCGGGGCGAGGTTTGGTGACAGCAGGCCATATGGTGTCGGGGTGTAGAATACTGCCGCAAATAGTCAAGTTTCAACATATTTACAACTTGTTTGGAGAACGCTAAACGGCACAGCAGACTACTAGTATTAGGGAAGACCTACCCAGGAGTTATCAAGGCCTCGGCTAGATGCAACTTGAAGGTATTACTCTGCAACAGACGATCATTAGAACATCAAGTTCATATTTCCTTGCTATCGTACAACTTCTATAGTTAGAAATTACAAAATTTATTACTTACTTGTTCATTCAAAGCAGCGTCTCAAATGCGAGAGATTTCCTACCTTTTGAGAGCTATAAATACTAATAGCTAATTACACCTGTCGTGCTTAAAGTATTTATGTCTTTGGGTAGTTTGGGCACTATACTTGGCTGTTGAATTGCTTCAATCTATTAGTCCGCGCACAGACCACGTGAGGTGGCTGGCTCGCGTGTGGATTGCGCTAATATATGACAATCCGGTAGCATAGGTTCGGACCCTCGGGCACTCCTCCTCACACCCCCCAGCAGGATCACTACTTGGACAGCTCAAGGGGATTTGTTTCTGAGTTGGACCTCATTGTGCCACCAGTGACTCTACCTAGTCCCCGTCTCCTCTTAGTGCTGCCTGCTCCCATGTCAGACCGCGAGCCCACTGGAAAATCTACTAACCGGGTTATCCGCCGACGCCGCAAGTGTCTTGCCTGCGATTCTTGTTCCAAGAGAAAGGTAACTAATATCCACTGGTCCTGTTTACGCGCCATTAGTACACTACTCACGTCTGTATTAAATACTCGAAACTTGAAGATTCAATGCGACCGAGCAACTCCCAAGTGTAATTGGTGTTATCACCACGACCTTCCTTGTCTATATACCCGTAATAGTGGAGCTCGACTGAGGCAACAACAGCACCGCATTTCAGAGTAAGATAATGCTTAGCACCTATTTATTGACTGTTATCGTTTGACACTTAGCTAGCCCTATTACTCCGTCGTCCGAGAGCGGTTTTAATAGCACTCCAGGTATGTTGGGTCAACGAACTATCAAGCTACGCAATTGATTGCATTCCATTCTCTAAGAATTACGAAATGAACATAGATTTCGCATGGAATCCGGCGGTTACACGCATAGAGACTCCCGATCTTAATCTGCACTTTCCGGGACTGGCCTTGAGGAATATCTGCGTGTTCAATGGGTTGCCCTTTTTTTCCTCAGGGGGTCGACAGTGGATCAAGGCACAGACAGGGGAAGACGTGGATCTGAACCAATATCAGCCCCCGAGACGGATCTCGTCGCTTCGCCCCAAGGCCACTCGCACCGTATACCTACCGAGTGAAAGTCTTCTTTTTGAACGCTTCCAAGAGTACAAATCCTCAGTATTCTGTCAAATATTCCCGTTCATTAGCCCGCATTTTTTTGAGGACACAGTTCGTGCGGCTTATCAGGAGCAATCTACCTTAACCTGCAGCAATGATAGTGCCAAAGCATGTGTCTTTGCATTCATGGCAGTGACTTCTATGTTCTCGAATTCTACAGCTAATCATGGGTCTCTTGACTCCGATCATTATGCCTACGCTGCTTATGATCTAGTACCGGAATTCTTTCGGGACACCGTAACAATAGAAGGATTACAGGCGTTACTTATGTTGGTACGTCTTGCCCTTTCCATGGTGGAGGAGTACTTCTAATCTGAATCACTACAGTGCCTCTACAGTCAATCTGTTCTCGGTGACCAGCTGAGTGTGGAACTATTATTTTCGGCTGCAACCCGGTTTGTCTTTCATCTTGGGGGCCATATCTTCCCTAAAAGGGTTGGTGAGGTCGGTAGCAGATCTTTGGACCTACAATTACATATTCGGAATCTGTTCTGGCTCTGCTATATCTTTAATCAGGAGTACAGCCTGCGAACAGGCCTTCCTCCTATCTTGACGACGCAAACTGCGATCTCACACTTTGTGAAACCACAACTACAAATGCTCAGAATACCGGGCTATCACCTTTCTTCACCCCATTCGCGCGCATGGCAATCATCCAATCGCAGATCTATCGCAGACTCTACTCTGTCGTATCTCGAAACAAAACGGATGCCGAACTCTTATCCACCATTCGTGATCTTGATCAACTTTTGGAAGACTGGAAGCTCTCAATTCCCATGCATGTACGACCATCCCTTACACATCGGCCGACAGGTGGTGAAGACATACCATCAGCTATCTTTCAGCTACAATATCATTATTGCATGGCGACAATCCATCAAGTGAGTGGTCGCTGCATATCATGGACCCAGGACACACGTGGCCTTGACTCCAGTCTGGCCATAAGTGTCGAGGCAAGTCGATCACTGTTAAATATAATATCGCATTCTGAGCTTCGCCTTCACCGCTATAACCTACTGTCAGTCTACACCCCAGTTGATGAAGTCTACGAGGATCCAGAATGGCGCTTACAATCTCGCTTTCTAGTTTCTGCCTACCTTATGTTACCGCTGCGACAATTCACCTCTTCTGTGACATCCTCCTCCACCCTCGTGATATGGCCAGTCATGCCAACCTAGAATTAATGGACAAGGTTCGAGAACGGATGTTGGCGCAGCTATGGCCGCAGGCTCCTATCTCGTTCAAGATGCAGGTCCAGTTCGTGGAGGACCTCAGTGTAGAAGTGCAACGTCTTGCGCGAAGTGCGATTCGGAAAGCGACTGTCTGACTTTGGCTACGTCTCGGGAACTAATCTCCTTCATCAAACACACCCTTTATTAATATCATTATGTCACAGGTACGATCCGAAACTACTGTAATATGGATTCAAACGTAGTGTATAATGAAGCTATATCAAGTCTATAATTACATATAAAAGGCCTGTCCACAGATCTCGGAAGAATCATCGACAACGCGAGCCATATTTCGAGCCTCCGTATCTTACAGCTGTCCGGCTACTTCGCTAGACCGGCAATAGCATCCTCTCTCCAGGACCACAAGGCAGCCCAAGTAGCACCTGGGCCAATCATGAACTGGCCCGCTATAACTGCAAGGGCAGCCTTGACCGCAGTACGTGTCTGAATATATCCAAGGCGACGGAGGTCCCAGATCGAGTACAAGTTGCCACCAACATAGCCCGCCAAGGCTGTCACAGCGTCGTACCGGAAGAATGTAGCTATCTGCCCCGAAATGGTTGTGATGTTCCACTCAGCACGGAAGGGATTTGGCAAACCAAAGAAGGCCTTCCCGATTGCGATATTGGGATGGGACCACGCGTATGCCATTGTTGCGATGTGTACTGTTGACTGCACGGCAACCGCATATGTGTACACTTGCTTGAGGAGCGGCACATCATGTGTCTTGTAGTGCTCGAATGCCTCTCCCTCCTCTTGTGGGACGTCGCGAATTAGTCGCGACCGCTTGAAGCCGGCTGACAGGACCGCAGTCATGACGCTAACTAAGGGTGGTGCGAATTGCCAGAGCGCAACCCAGTGCTGCCAGGCTTCGAGATTAGAGGTTGACGCGAAGACCATGATTGTCGGCAGTACAAAGCCCAGGGTGACCGCTGGGATTAGGGATATGGCTACCTCCCTGGGAACTGCACGGCCTGGAATGCTCTCGTGTGCATAGAGGGAGCTCAGAATAGCATAGAGGGGAGCTATTCGTCCAATTCCCTGGACTTGCATGCCCGCAGTAAAGATGGCTGGCAGGGCTAAGAGCGATCCCTGGTTCCCCAGGCGGTAACCCTCAATAGTATATATCAGGAGTGGCGAGATAAGCTGAGGGAGAAAATTGATAAGATGTAGCCTCGCCGAGGGGTCTTTGTCCAGGATGGGGAAAGATAAAACTGACACCAGTTTGTTCAAAAACTCCTGTCTGGGGCTGTCACCTAGCCAGGAGATGATAACCGAACTGGATTCTCCCCAGCCGCCGAGACTCGAAAAAGGCAAACGGAAAGCCTTCGTTGTGACAAAAAGAACGAGCCCCATGCTCCCTATGAAACCCCAACGAATGAGCCTAGACATGCTTTGGTCAATGGGTTTAGCTGGTAGCTCATCACTGAAAGGAATGACCTTAGACCGACGCGGGACATCCAGTTCCTCTACGGTGGCGGCACCAACGAAAGTCTTTCCCATTTGGTTGAGGACAAACTCATCCCCTACAAAGGGTAGGATAAGGTTGTTTGCTATGGTAGAGACAAGCGGGTTCTCGTAAGCATTAAGTGCCTGCATGTCATGGGCACTGCGGACGATCGATTGGGCACGATCATATCTGTTAGTCTGTGTTTCGCGCAGGATGTCCTCTATGTCTTGGTCGGATAGGTTATCCAAGCTACCACCGTGGCCTTGTTTCTTTCGCAAGATAGCATTGAGAAACTCGGCGCAGGATTCCATTGCTCCATTAGCACCTTGGCCGCCAATAGGGTTTGGCTACAATATAGACGAAGAAACGTTGTCAGACATATGTATAGGCAAGAGTAGCAACTTTCCTGAGTATACAACACTCATGGTACGTACCTTGTGCGCTGAGTCTCCAAAAGTAATGATCCTCTTGAAAAACCACTTTTGGTAAACAATCTCGTGCAGAGGTGTCAAGGTCGACGAAAGTCGCTTGTCCAAAACGTCGCCGAAGGTGACTTTTCTTGTGATGGGAAGATTGTAATTTTGTTTGACGAATTCAGCCTCATCTTCCTTGGTGTACCTAGGTATATCCTTCCCATACTTGGCCTGTGGCAGCCTATCGAACAGAAACCAATACACCCGGTCATCTGGCCCCGACACAACAAGCTGCGACTGGCCATCGCCCATGACAATATTTTGCTCTCCTGCGACCCATCCAGGAACATGCTGAGCGATGCCGAAGCTGCAACGGTAGTAGCAGGGAACGCTATCCTCCTCTTTAGAGGAGAAATATCCTGGCTGGAGCTTGTCGCCTAAGCCTCTCATAAGAGATCGCACGTTGCTGTGGATGCCGTCTGCGCCCACAACGAGCGTACCAGTGTAGACCGAGCCATCTGCGGTCGTGACATGGACACCCCCATCGATGAGATCTATACTGCTGACCTTTTTGTTGAGCAATACCCTATCTTTGTGCTTGATCGTTTCGTGTAGAATCTCTAGAAGTTGCTGCCGATCAAAGAACAGCAGGCCATATCCATGTCTGTGTCTGGGTTAGAAGCGTGATCCATCGGCACGATATGACTCAACATACCGCTTCTCCAAGTGTTTGAACATTTGATGCATGCCGCAAAGTACGTCACCTTTTTTATCCCGCATATATCCCACTTTGAGTTGCTGGATGGACAGGTTGGTGATTCGCTCGTAACATCCAAGTTGATCTAGTATACGCAGACCATTGGGAAACAGGCCGATGCTAGCACCGACTGGTGGTGCGATTTCCGAGTGTTTTTCGAGGAGAACATAATCGATATCAAACTTCTCTAGCATGTTGGCCAAGGTGAGGCCGGCAATGCCTCCCCCGGCGATAATAATCTTAAACCCCGCCATGGAGCCAATCTACCGGGACGAAGTGTTCTGGAGCTGAGTGTGATATGAAAGATACATATTCCAATGTCCATGGTTGCGTGAGGGCTACCGATATTTAAATATTCGTCCACAGACCTGTACTATACCTACCGCAGCTCTCCATCATGAGGTATTCTCCACCATAGCCACAGGAGTAGTTTACATGCGCTTATGTCAGCGGCCTTAAGCACCTTTGGTTTCAAAGCTGCTGGAGCCTGACCCACTTAGGCCTTTGGACTGCCGATTCCCGCTATCTTGATCTTCACAGGCACCCTAATCCGGGAAGGATGGGCACCTAAATACCGGCATTGACTGTTGCCGGAAGATCCAGCGGAGGAAATCCGTGCAGAATCGCCATCACTCGGAGGGAACTTGTCTTACTAAAAAACACACCCTATGGATGTTCGGTAAGTTTGTTTTGTGCCTTGCGAAGGCCACACCGGTTTTTTCGGGGGTAGGGTCGTGCCGCCGACGGGAGAAGCCTCCCGTACTTGACCTCTTGGAGTGAAAGGGGGCCATCCCACCGGGCGGGCTCCTGATGGTGAAAAACCCCCACACGGAAGGGACAAATATGCTGTGGCTGATCATGTCGTACAACAAAAGACATAAAATGAATTATCGCAGGACGGAAATGAGTTGATTAACTTAGACTTTCTACCGATATTGTGTTTAGAACTACCATCAACTGCTCGTCCTCTTAGTCTAAAGCTGAATGCGACATGCCGTAGGATGTGTAAAGAAAGCAAAGGTGTTGGCCAAAACTATGTGTTACGACCACCGACCCAAAAATTGTTCTAATTCTGTGGCCTGTCCACCAGACCTTCAAGCGCCAGTAGTGACTCAATGAGACAACTTGTTGTCTTTGAGCCTCTGTCTACGGATATCCTTGAGGTGGGGATAACCCCGGCCCAGAGACTAGAAACAGTAACTCTGTTCTTGAGTTACTACTGGCCTTGTTGCATACACCCCGTCATCCGCTTGCGTGTCTCGCGGTATGGCCCCTATCTGCCCTCGAATGAGAATTCCTCCGAAACCCCCGAAATCTAAAGATTGAGAAATGTTACAAAAGTCAACTTCCTCGACGTATCAGTTAATCACCAACATGATTTCATTGTATGGGGTTCCAGCCACTGGATTGCTGCTCTGGGTATGAGGTTTTGTATAGACCGAAACACCTAGTTCGGCAGATAACAGAAGGCTTCAATTATCCTTGACAATCGTTTGAGATTTTGTAAAGGGTAACAAATGATCCCTAATTAGAATCAAGATGATCAATTATCGAAGCCAACCTCCTGCGTGGAAATTAAGCTAATTTACGGCTATGCCCGTTTAGTTTATATCGTGGTTCACCCAGGCGGGAGGGAGTTCCGCTACGGCATGTTGACGCAACGAACTCTATCCGAAATAGTAGAGAACAGTGAAACGGCCAGCCCCCTCAGTAATCCTACAAAGGTCTGCTGACATGGTTAGGAATCCCCTCTGTGTAACAGTAGGCCATGTTCATGCAAGACCTTGAAATTGCATATACATACCGTAGAGCGGCCTTCACCAACGCACCCTACACCTCCAGCATCACCGCTCCATATCAACGCCTAAAGGACACCACCAAAGAATGGCCTCAACCAAACTATTTGAATCCATTCCCCAATTCCCAAACACTCTCCCTGTTGCGAAACTCCTCAAGATCTCTCTATCCAGCCTGATATCCGGCGACCCAGACGCCGCTAACGACGTCCTCACGGCATGCCGCACATCAGGCTTCTTCCACCTCGACCTATCCAACTCTCCTCTCGGCGAAGCCATGATACCACTCATCGACTCTATCTTCCCCATTATTCAGCAGACAATGCAACTTCCACTAGAAGAAAAGATGAAGTACACTCAAGATGCGCCGAGAAGCTTTCTAGGGTCAGTCTTGTCTCTCCTGTCTCCACCTAATCTTCCTCCCTCTTTTTTTCCCCTTTGTCTTGTTATCTCTCACTCTAACAAACAGTAAATACCAGCTACAAAGCACTCGGCGTCATGAAAACCGAATCAGGGGCCCCTGACCGCTGCGAGTTCTGGACTATCTCCCAAGACGACATCCTCGGGACCACTGTCCCGGAACAGCCGATGCCCTCCATTCTCACCTCACAACGGGGGCTATTCAAATCCTATTTGTTTTACGGCCGTAGCGTGATCGAACACATTTTCCACGCCCTGGCGACACAGCTCCGTCTCCCACACGACGCATTCATTCAGTTCCACGACCCGACACGGGAATCGGGGACGATTCTCCGGCTGATGCAGTATGAGCCGGGCATTCAAGGCGAAGACGAGGATCAAGTGCAGACGGGACTACTGGCGCATACAGACTTTGGAAGCATCACGCTCCTCGCGAATGTTTTGGGCGGGCTGCAGGTTCTCAGCCGAGCTGGGGAATGGGAATGGGTCCAGCCGGAGCCGGGCTGCTTGATTGTGAATATGGGCGATGCGATGGTCGAGTGGACTGGGGGTGTGTTAAGGTCGAATATGCATCGGGTCGTCTGTGCGCCTGGGGAGCAGGCGGCGTTGGACAGAGTCAGTTTTGCGATGCTGGTGAGGCCGTGCAAGGAGGCTAGGATGAAGAGGTTGGCGGGGGGTTCTATTCCGAGTATTGAGAGTGATAGTGAAGAGGGTGTCGTAGCAATTGGGGCTGAGGGAATGACGGCTTGGGAGTGGGAATTGAAGAAGGCGATGGCATTGAAGGAGGGGAAGGACTGTGCGAGGAGTCGCGGGGGCAGGGATCTTGAAACTGAGAGGGATTCAGTTGGGAATACTGAGGCTTGATGGGTGTTGAATCTCGACTCGTAGAAATCTTGTTTCGGGTATGTTATCGACTTTTAGGCAAAAAAGCACAGGATATCTAGGTACAGTTTCACAATTTATGCTCGTGTAATCTCCCAGTCCAAACAGGTCGCGTAGCATTATACGCCTTCATCTTCTTCCTCACCTCTGCAAATGGCAACGGGGCAATGTCAACCGGACTCCCCAGATCCACCCGTTTACAATCTGGCATCAACCATCTCACAGCCATCGACTGCGGTGCTCCCGCCCTAATTTTGCTCCTTGTAAAGGACTGACAGGCCGCAGCCCAGAGCTGAAGAAGATGCTTAGTTTGCGGCAAGGCACCAAGGAAGATCGGAAACTCATGCGGCATGCCCTCATATTCATTCCAGACCACTGAGACACCGGACCTCGCGGCCTGGCTTGCAACCACCCGGTTCCCATCTACTCCGCGCTCCTCGCAGCCACACGCAAACCACATCGGTGGTGCGCCCGTCCAATCTTCAACGGCCGCGGGACTTACAAGTTCATGGTCGAGAATCGCAGCGATGCAATAGGGGACTTCACGCGGTGGACTCGCAGGCCAAATGCTATCGGTGGGATGGCCGGGCATACATGCGGGCTGAAGCACGTTCAGGATATCGGTCTCGCCTTTACAGTGCCAGGAGGGAAGTGAATCACACTGATCGCACCAACCGCTTACAATCGCAAGACCGGCAGGGAGAGGTAGAGTCACAGACCGTCCATGGAAATCAAAAGTTGCGTCCGAGGGAGGGAGTTTCTGCATTTCGAGAAGGAATTTCATAAGGCCGAGTGTTAGATTCGCCCCGGCGCTGTTTCCAGCCAGTACAATCTGGTTTGCGGGAACGGCTGAGTAAGGAGCGCCTGGTGGGGGGTACAGTAGACTCGCATATGCGACGAGAATGTCAAGGATCGGGGCGGGGAAGGTATGGGATGGTGCAAGGCGGTATTTAATGGAGGCGACACGCGCGCCGGTTAACCTTGCCAGGCGAACAGAGGAAGCACGATACTGTGCTGGACTACTGAAGCTGGGAGATATATTAGCGGATGCTGTGTTTGCGTTCGAGGCAAGGAATCAAGGCCTACTAAAGACCACCACCATGAGCATAGAGGATGGTCAGTCTGCTATCGCATTCCTGCAGCAAAGCACGAAGCTTGTCTTCCTCTGGAATATCTGGCTCGGGGGCATCACCTGGGACTTGAGAGCGAGGGCCGATGAATTCGACGCCCACGTCGGCGATAGGAGTTTCTTCCTCCGGCGAGATGCGGTGGTACTCTCTCTTTAAACGGTGGATAACTGAGAACAGGGCGTTTCTGATAGCTGGGTTAGAAGGTGCTGAAAAGGTAGTTCTTGAGATCCAGATTCCTCCACGGGCTGGGGCATCGAGTGAGGTAGCTTTCTGGAGCCGAGAGAGGGGAACCCATGGTGAGTTTTGGTATTTCTGGCAGATACGTTTGACGAGCTTCTTTTGATTATCGATCGAAGCCATTCTGGAATATGCCTGGGGTTCTACTAGTGGTTGTAGTCATATATCTCGAAAGATTGATCGAGATCAAGTAAGTACCTCATTGCAGAAGATAGTAACGCGGAGGAACAAAGAGCATCTTTCGCTTTTTTTGTGTTACTTTACCTACTGACCCCGCGCGGCCAACCAAGGCAATTCCATTCTCTCTATCAGCCCTTGCACGACCCTAACAATCCCCCGTACTAAATAACGGGTCCAAGTCGGCCTGCACTCCTCCTCAGTTGTCTCAACGTCAGCAAAGGTGTCACAATCCCCTCCAATTATCTCCTTCGCCACCTGCAAGCCAGCGACAAAGCCATCCTCGTGAAACCCATACCCCATCCATGCCCCTGCAAAACTGACATTGCCGCCGGTCCTCAACAAATGAAGACGCTTGAGAGCCCGAACACTCTTGGAGGTAATTTTGGGATGACGGTACAGGTGCCAGCTGCGAGCTTGGCCGGGGGCGGTCATTGGGTTCATAGTCACCAGCACCCGGCCTAGACTCCCCTCTTCTCCTGGACCAGGAATCGCCTGGAGTCTGTTCAGGTCGTATGTTACAGAAAAGCCACTTACATCGCTTGCCATCCATGATGGCCGAGTGACCGGGTGAAAGTGATCCCTGCAAGCATGGGGGCTTCGGAGGATACAGTTCCAGGACAGACGGGCCGACGGTCGCTGGGGGAGAACCTGTCACTTACTGAGAGTGATTGTCAAATACCGGGGATAGACACATACGGTTTCGTCCGAATGAAGTACACAAACAGTCCTGCTAGTCTCAAATGCTCCTAGGACATCAGCTTCCACAGTGCTGATCTCATCGCCCAGCATTTGCAGCGCAATTTCAGCATGCACAGCCAGTACAACACGATCGAACCTCTCTTCAACTCCAGTGCGTGTGATGATGGACACGTGAGAATCTGGGTTTCTCGTTACACTTTGTACTGTTGTCCCTAGATGCAAATGATGGTTTTTCTGCATTTCTCTCACAAAAGCTTCTATGTATGATTTGGACCCATTGCCGAAGCTGCGCCACTGCAGTTTATGGGTAAGAGTGTCCAACACGCGATGCTGTGACCTAGTTACTGATCAATAGCATTTCTCTCGTCGCACGGGGGGGGGGGCTCACATGAACCGGATCAACGTCTCCGCCGGGAATGTACGTGCAGCCTCCTCGGGATCAAGGCACCATGGAGCCGCCACCATGGGGATAAGATAATATCGCTTGAACTGTCGGGAGTATCGCTGTCGAGTCAGATATTCCCCGATCGACTCAAGTTCGTCCGATTTGCTGCACTCCGCCTTTTCATGAAGGATATCTGTTGCGAAATGGTTAAACCGCACAATGTCAAATACAAGCCTCCAGAACCACGGTCTGAACAAATTCGAAAAGCAGCCAACGAAGCTCCAGAACGATGCACTTCCCCACTGCCTGAAACCATCACTATCCGAGACACTGAAAGACATGTCGGTAGCAATTGTCTCAACACCAAGGGCTTTGATAAAGGCGCTGAATTGTGCTGCTATGGTAGTAGCATGGGTTTCTCAGCAGAGTTTTATCATGTCTACTTACGGTAGCTTTCCTCATTCGTAACGACAAAGGCTGTGTCAACGTCTCTCACGATGCCATTTCCGTGAAACGGGACGGAATTTGCATGCCCGCCGAGTCGGTCATCGGCTTCATATAGGTGCACTTCGTAGTTGGAGTCCCGCAAACCCCAGAGACAAGCAATACCGGCAATTCCACCTCCCACAATAGCAACCCTCTTAGGAGGGCGAGAATCTCTTGTAGTCATGTTCAACCAGAAGAGGCTTAGAGTCCCAAAGGGTGATTATGTCAAAGCAGAACGTTTGTGTTCTCCTCTCGCTGCCTCGGCGGGCAGATACTTAAATTTTCATGGACAGCGGCATATCAGCAGTGGATGGGTAAGTCATTATCACACATTCAGTGTCATGGTGGTGTTTATGCGGCTTACCTACCTAGCAAGGCAAAACTTTCTCCGCACATTTACCCTTGTCCATCAGATGATATGCGACTCGAGAGGAAAGAATGTAGGAGTTGGTTGCACGACGTATAGCCGAATAGAATATGCGCATGTAGAAAAATGTTTGACCAATGTCGGGCTTACGTGCTACGATGTTCAGTATGAGCCCTGACCGGTTGCTGCTGACAGGACTATCATGCAGAGGGAAATTGGTAGAGTATGGCAGGGTCTTCCAAATCCCAGCCCAAGCTGGGCTGGATTGATATTTCACCCCGCTTTATCTCCTTCATGGCGACCTCGTTAGTCACGCAGAACTTGTTCAGCTTTCCAACTTGTCCACTTCTGGATCTAAGTCTGGACTACTAGGGTTCACGTATGGCTCAAACCTAGGCAAGCCATACCTTCACCGTTAACCATTAAGGGGGCTGACACATCGCTCACTCGCCGAGACATGCGAGGGACCAGCTTAACCCAGGTCAAGGAGCCATCGCTATATTCTGGCCAAACTGAGAATCTAGAGATCGATAGAGTGACGCTCTATAGTCAGCAAACATAAGATCTTTGTAAATCCTCCTCGCCCCTGCGGCTCTTGTCAGTGGATTTCTTGAAACAGGAACCAACGCCTATTGCAGGGTATAGTTCAGACCTTTATATCGGAAAACAAGGTTTCGTATCTGGGATGGATACTGAAACAGATGTTAGCCGTGCCAATGACCTGTACATTACCATCAGCATCATGACCGTCGCAATAGTGGTCACCACGAGTATCCGAATTGTCGGCAAACTTATTTGTCGCCGGGCCTTGGGGCCCGAAGACTACCTCATCGTTCTCGGAACAGTAAGCCTGCCTCTAGTTCTATGCTCGATCATTTAGATAACCAAGAACCACCCTCCGGGGCTAGGCCCTCGATCTCATTGCCAATGCTTTTGACTATAAAGCTACAGCTAGCGGCTTCGGCCGACACACCCGCTTCCTCTCACCCCCTTCCCGTATCCAAGCCGTTAAGTACGCGCAGCTCGCCGTCGGTGTCGCAGCCTGGGCAATCTGGAGCATCAAGTTGTCTGTCTGTTTCTTTCTACTTACGCTTATCCGAGGTACAAAGCACCGCTACTTCCGGTGGGCAACGTACGCGCTCATGGTTCTCACAACGGCATTGACGCTCGTGGGCGTTGCATTATGGGCGACGCAGGCGAGGCCATTGGCTAAGCTGTGGGATCACAGGATCGAGGGGACAATCCTCAGTCCACACAGTTTCTTGGCTGTTATATATATATTCTATGGTAGCCCTACCTCATCGACCCCTTCCCTTTTCTGCTCTCCTCCTAGGCCCCGTTCCGGGATGAAGGGAGAAAATTAGGTAAACCTAGCTGAATGAATGAGGTATAGGGCTTGGTTGCTTCACGAATATCTTCTACGCTCTTTCCCCAGCATACTTTCTCTGGAATGTGCAGCTGGAATGGCGCAAGAAGGCGCCTGTGCTGGCTATTATGGGTTGTGGAATCATGTACGTTACAACCATTACCTTGCTCCTATTCCCCTACCGTAACCCCAAACCCCAATCAGGTATAGATATCCATATTTACAGCACCCATAGCGTAACAATAGTTGGCTTCCTCAACATCGCATTCGCACGCGACTTCCTAAACCGCGCCGATAGCACCTGGGCGCTGACGAATGAGTTTATCTGCGATATCATCGAGCGCAATATCTCTGCTTTTGTTGCCAATCTCCCTGCTCTATGGCAGTTAGCGAGAAGATTGAGAGGCCGGTCATCTCGAACGAAGACAGGGGAACACCCTACTAGCAGTGAAAGCAGTCGTTTTGGTCGGTTCGAGTTCGGTCGGAATAGGTATAATAGTAGGCTGGATTCTGAAGAGAGGAATACTCACCCTTTGCGGGAGATATCCCGGTGAGGCGTGGGTGGAGACCGTGGGTAAAATTTGCTGAAACGGGAGTTCCTGTGGAGTCAGTGAAAGATGGTTGATGGTGTTAGGATGGTCAGATTGTGTGTGCCATATACCTCTATCTTACTTTAATATACATAACCGAATCATCGTCTCAGAGGACACAATTTCATAAAGTCAAGAGACGAAAATATACTCCGTCTTACGCAAATAAAATATACGACATGAAACTTGACCCTGTTTTAACCCCCCAAGTCACGCACCCCCGACCAACCTCAGAACTCCTTCCCAAATTAAGGCCCTAACCACCGCCGCCACATACCAAACCCACTGCGAAGCCCCATAATGACCCCTCACAAAATCATCCAGAAAATATCTCTCAAGCTCTCTTTCTCTTGTTACATAATCACTCCCATCCACCGGATCCGCAGGTAGAGTCACGGAACGAATATCCTCTGATCGCAGACGGGGTAGTCCCGGATGCGGATATACAGCACCAAGGTTCCCTCTCAGCGGACGCACAGCAGCTAGAACCCAGTCGAGGAGGTACTGAAGCGTGGTAATGAGAAATGGCGCTGGCCTATTCTGATCGCGGATATATCTGTTCTCGTAGGATCTCTCGGCACGGGCTATAAATCCGACAAGCTCCTTTTCACTCCTGGGTTCATCTGTAGGGACAGAAATAGGAGTGACCAGACAGGCTTGAGCCGTACAATTCTCTACCACAGGATCTAGACATGCGCTCATAAGTACACCCGCCATGGAGCGATGACCTAGGAGAATTGTATAGAATCGTGGAGTGAGAACCGTAAGCACGATTGTTGGTGCTAAGGGCGTCTCAGCTGCGGTGGGTGTTGAGAAGTCAACATAGTTATTGTGCGAATGGGTTGGGGATTGGAGATGGATACGAAAAGCATCTGGTGCTGAGAGGAGGATTTGTTGTATGTATGCGGATAGAATACGGGAGAAGTAGCTGTTGTTTTGATTTTATGGAGAGGTTAGTTCTGAACGTGTGCTTTGAAGAGGCTCTCTGTTCTGGGGTGGCTCGCATTCATACCTTTCAGGGCTGGTAGCTCGACGGGGGATAGTATCGATGCGAGGCTCGGGGCGATACCAGATGTGTAGTTTGCGCCGATGGGCTAGGAGGATGGCCTCAAAAACGATCCGAGGGTCTGTAGCGGGGCTTAGTTGGTCACGACAGGCCGAGCAGCGATAAATTGGATAGGATAGAACGGGGAGTTTACATGTTAACAGACCTACCAAGCACCAGGGAAAGAGTAGACGTATTGCCTGGTATGCCGTGGTTGAAAATGGGTCAATTGGTCTCTTGTCTGTCCATAGCCGGGTTACCATCTTTGGACGGCTCTTAGATGAAAGGAGCGTGGCAGTGATATGAATTATTCCATTTTGCGAAGTCGGTGCTTGGCTCGGATCTCGCGCAGAGAGGGAATATTTCCCTTTTCGCGAGTTGAACGGAGAGACATGAAAGTCTTTTGGCCAGGTATACCTGAATCTGGAACTATGATACCCGGATTCTCGACTGTTGTCCGTTGCAGGTAGGAAGTATAACCGCCGTTCGTCAAACGTGTTATTAACCTCCACGATCATCGCTCGTAGTCGGGAATCATTCGAGTAGAGGAACCAGAAGGATGCCGGGCAGAACTTGTAGTTCCAGACCCTTGGAGATGTGACAAGATAGACTGTAGGGTACGAGGCTGGGTTTTCGCCCTGAAGGAGAGAAAAGAGGTCAATAGGGATGGAAAAGCGATAGCAGAGAACACACTTGCGATAGTAAGAATTCATCCAGTTTCTCGCTGATCGTGAGCTGTGTACTGTGCCGTCCAAGGTGGTCTTGACCATTGACTTGGAGCCAACCTCGTCGCCACCATGTGCTCGCATCGACCGATAGGAGCCAGTTCGACGGGCAACGTCTTATCGGGATGCCGACCATGAGAAACGGGTACAAGAAATCATGTCTCTTCGGGAACAGGCGCCTATGAGAAATCCGGCCCCTTAGTATCAAGGGTTTCTGTATGGTGAACGTATTCTGCTCCTTGGCTTGAGGGCCATTTCGGAGGGATAGGCTACATAGGCTCCGTAAAAGGACCAGGAATAGACCGGCAGTGATAAATAAAACAATGCTGCCCTGTATTGGGCGCAATCCTAAGGCCATCATAAAAGTTCACGCGTTTCAGAGTGCCCCGATAATCTTAAAGCTGAGATATGAACAGGCGTTGATCTAGCAGCTGCGTTACACAGAAACCCCCGCTGCTAGTTTGATGGAGGAGCTTGTTACTTGTCACTTTCCCTTCTCCTAATTGAACTTTCCTCTCCACAAGGATCATCCTTCTAAGACAAAGAATTTAATCATTGTCTCAGTATGTCACCAGAGAGTACGGACCAGCGACACTTGGAGGCCATTGATCATTCAACCACGGAGGCAGACTCTCCCTCTTCACCGGTTACATCACCTCCCCTGACGAGGCGACAGTGGATGCAAGTTTTGAATGCCTTTGTAGTATTCCTAAACACATGGTTGGTTGCCCCGTGGGAACAGATTGTATCCCTTCCTTGTCAGCCTCACTGAATGGCCTAACAACCTTACCAGGGGCCTTCTTCTTGCATTTGGAGTCTTCCAAACATACTGGGAACAGGTGCAGTTCCCGGACAGATCCAGCTCTGAGATATCTTGGATTTCAACCGTCAGCGGCTTCCTCCTGTTATTTAGCGGCATCATAACTGGCCCTCTGTTCGATTACGGCTATTTCCGGTCGTTGGTCGTGGCGGGCAGTCTGTTAGAGGTTTTCGGGTTAATGATGATCAGCTTTCGACGAAATACTACCAAGTCTTTCTTTCTCAGGGTATCTGCATTGGTCTGGGCGGGGGCATGCTCTACGTTCCCAGTATTACTGCTGCTGCCGCGAGCTTACAAGAGTTTCGCCGCGCCAAATTTATAGGGCTCATTGCATCCGCCACCGGCATAGGTATGTTGCCTTCCTATCGGGTTTCTGAAAATAATCTCAGATTCTAGTTGCAATGAACAGGCGGCGTGATCTACCCGATCATGTTCCGCCAACTCGTGTCCAGCGTAGGATTCCCCTGGGCAGTCCGCAGCATTGCCTTTGTAGTTTTCGCCACCTATCTCCCATCCTGGGCTGTTTTACCCTACAAGACTGCCCAGAACACTGCCATACGACAATGGTTCGATCCATCAGCCCTCGCCGAGCCTCCATTCGTCCTGGCCATTATCTCCGCCTTTTTTGCCGGCGTCGCATACTACCTCCCACTAATCTACCTCCCTTTGTTCGCCGAAACTACCATCCTAACCCTTCACAACACAGATCTACCCTTCTACCTCCTCTCTATCGTGAATGGAGCGTCTGTCCTTGGCCGTCTCCTCGCCGGCCTCCTCGCCGTGAGAATTGGATCATTCGAAACATGCACTGCAGGGCTAGCCGCCAGCGCCAGTCTGCTCTTCTGCTGGGTCGCAGTGAGTTCAAAGGTGGGTGTTATCGTCTGGTCTGTCTTCTGGGGCTTCATATCCAGCATCATTGTATCGATGCCCGGGGCCATGCTTCCGTTGCTTTGTGCGTCGTTTTCGGTGTTGGGGACGAGGACGGGGATGTACTGGGCTAGCGTTGGGCTGGGGGTCTTGGTTGGTGGGCCTATCGGGGGGGCATTGGTGGGCAATATGACAGACAAGTCAGACTGGCTGCCTCTGCAGATCTTCGCGGCTTGTTGCATGGCCCTTGGGGCGGTTTTTCTTGTTTATCCGCTTGTACATGTCCGGAGACAGAGGGTTATATAGCAGTGGCCAGTGAAGAAGTAGCGATAAATCACTCCTCAGAATTGTATTAGAGGCGGTAAGAAAGAGCTTCCTGGCCCTCAGAACAGCTAGTTCCCGTCCATGGGCCCTCAATCAAGGTTTCTATGCTTATTATTATCAATTTGAAAGCATTCACCACAACTTGATCAACTCCAGTATGACCTCGGGTTAAAGGGGATTCGATGGTAATCTAGCATGGTTTAAAGACGAAATGGTACGTATTTGACCTATTGTAAATAGCATTTAGAATGGAGAAGGTTAGCTCAAAACAAGTTTAAAGTAGAATGCGCTAAAAGAAGAGTATACACGTATTACAAGATGCTATCGAGTCGAGGTATAGCTAGCTGCCATCGGTAATCAAAATTGCATTATCACAGAAACTAAAGGAGCTTGGACAAAGATTTCAATTGTTTCCGAACCCTGTGTAAATTTTATCGGCGAAAGATATATGTATTCTCGCGAAAAGAAACTGCAGGAATCAACTGAATCACTGATCTAGGACCAGAAGCTATCAGCACGGGAATTTGTATTGGCCGTGCCTTTGTATAGCGGTGATATACATTTTTTACTGCTCATTTAGAGGCGTCTTGAATCGTGATGTTGTATATCCTTGTTGAAACTTGAAGGTCAGGGTTAGCTCTATAAGCTTTATACAGACCAATCACATGACCCTGTACTATATCTCAATCCGAAGATTCCCCACTCGTTATCAAAACGCTTATCAATTTCCATCTTTTCCACTTTGTGGCACTTATTCCATGACGTTAGCTGGTCTTCTATGAGTAGTAACAATCGTTCACCAGTTCAACCCACCAGTAGAACCCGTCTGGGGCGTCATAAAGCTTGGTGTGTAGATTTCCCACTCAACTATCCTACAGTATACGGATTTCAGGGCGTGGGACACTGTACTGATAAATCTTTAGTGACCGGTGTCGGACTCGTCATATACGATGTAAGCTACCGTGTATAGTAGCTCAAGTCACGAGGACTAACAAGATAAAGGCAAAGGAGGCTCCGGTGGTAATTCTTGCCATGGTTGCCGGCGGGCAAATAAGCCATGCACAAGCCACAAGGATGGCATGTTCCGCTTTGTTGAGTACACCTCGGTAGAGAACGATTCGGAGGATTATCAAGCCCAGCCCAGCCTTCCGGCAAGCGACATTACGTTTATCAGCGAGAACAACGCGGACTTTGGCAGTAATGGTCAATCCAACAACAGGCCAGCGGACCATAGCGACTATCAGCAGTCGTTCCAAAATTCTCCTTCACAGGTGTCCACATCTGCACCGACATCATATCCCGTCGGGTCTCAATCTGCCCTTTCGCCCTTAAAAAGCGAGTATGAGGCGTCTCTTTTCAAATACTTTATGACATCCCTCTCTCCTTGGGTAGGTATTCCCTGGCTTCATCGTAACTCTAGAGCATGGCTAACCGAACTCTCCTGCGACTTTACGTAGTTTGACTACTGCGACCCGAACCGGCATTTTTATACATACATCGCCAGCTCTGCCTCGAGTAATCCTATCCTTTTGTATGCTGTTCTAACAGTGGCTGCTAGACATCAGCGCTCGCATTCAGAGCGCGAGCGATTGATTGCGGATGAATATCAGCAATACTGTCTTGAATCATTGATATCCGCCCTTGATGACTCTGAGAAGACATTAGATGAGTCACTTTTTGCATCGGCAGTAATTCTTCGTCTCTCTGAAGAAATGACAGGTGTGTGGAACCTTGTGCTGAAATCCTGCACTTACAAAGAACATGTATTAAGTCGTCACATGCAGAGCCTTCTCCCAGGGAAATCGTAGACTCCCACACCCTATCTGCCCATATCCTTGTTCGAATTAAAGAAGGAAATATCTGCACATCAAGCTTCACAGATGCCGCCTTGATCGTGGTCTTGCGACAGGAGATCTTCGTCGCTAACTTGACACAACGACCGGTGGGGTCTTTCACCGACCACTGCAATATCGATACGTCACTGGGTCCGACTTCTGAAGCAATGTGGACGTACCGGATCATCGCCCACGCGGCCAAGATAACCGACTTTGCGTATGGGGACGTCATGTTCAGGACTAAGGATCGCTGGAACGATCTTATTCAGTACGTCCAGGACTGGGAAGACAACAGGCCGAATTCCTTTCTGCCGATTTATACCGAAGCAGAAAATCTGACGTCTAGTTGCTTCCCTAAGATCTGGTATTGTAACGACTGCCACGTCGCGGCGCGTCTGTATTTGGAACTATGCCGCATCCTCCTCTTGGCGTCCGATCCAGATGCCACAGCACTTAGAATTGGGCGATTCCGTCGTATGCAAGAGAACGATGACAAGATACGGGAGTGCGTTCGAGTCATATGTGGAGTTGCCCTCACAAATCCTGAGTTCCATACTACCCGATCTACTGCGGGCTTAGCGATCGGGTTATGCGGCGAACTATTCCATGATCCGAGGGAGACGAAGGTTCTCTTGGATCTGTTATCAGCTGCAGAATTCCATCTCGGGTGGCCTTGTTTAAAATTGAAAGAAGATTTGCGGAGGTTTTGGAGGCTACCCGTGGTTGAATCCTAACATTTGCTGTGAATAAAATGCGAGATCTCGGTGCTAATGTTCTATCGCCCTAGCTCATGTCTTTATAGATGACTGAACATGTAGGTTTCAATTAACACTAGATAAGGGATACTATGAAACTTTCCTCGAGACTTGTCTCAGTTGTTATCTCGACCAACTACGGCGCATCTCCGCTCGTTTTCTAGCTCTCCAGCCTTAATTTCTGCCCGTTCTCCCAGTGAACTAGCACATAAATGACTCTAACGGTATCGTTGTTAAAACTAGGGACAAAATCGCCAGCTACCCTCTACATACTGTTGACGATGCCGCCACTCGTCTAGTTGAGGTAGTCGATACCGCAGTCGATATTGAGGTCGGGGTTATAGATACTTGGTCCTCTGCTCTAGGCTCTCTGCGTCTTCCTTGACGGCGTAGCATTTGTTCAGGTCCAGAGTGGTCGTTTATTGTGTGCTTCTCCATCGCTATAGAATTCACAAGATGCCTTTAGGAACAACCCAGTAGAATTTGGCTCAAGCTCGGGATTAAGACATTTGACGGAGGCCTGGCCATTTTCGTTACGGACAGCCACAATGGTCGAGATGAGGAGAAGAATGCGGAGGAGGATTGTAGGTGTTTCTAAGGTGGGTGTTTAAGTAGTAAACGTAGTAAGTAAGATATCCCCTATCGATGATGTGTATATACATACAGTTGAACGCTTCTGGTCGGGCTATTTATCTCTTTCCTTGGCCTATTCGCCATGACGGGACCTGAGACTTTCGTGCTGAGTGTCTTAAGGTATTTTAGCAGTTCTCTTTATCCGTATCTCGAATACAAACCTGCTTCTTTCAAACTGTGACAGTGGTCAAATTTCTGAGACATGATATTCCTTCGGAGGGTTTGTCTGGTGAGACTGGTAGTGTCACTCGGGAGATACAAAGCGATCTTGTCTCGGATGGCCTTGTCTGAAATTAAAAAAAATGTCTGAGAAGCCTTTGAATTCTACACGTAGTTGAATCCTCAGAGCATTCTGAGATGCCTGCTTTTCTGTTTAATAGATCGCTATTGGTTATAAGCGGCTATGATGCGACACTCCCTGTTCCACGTCCTTACGCCTTGAGGAATAACACAACATCTCTTACTGATTCCAAATACAGCTCTTTCGAGAAATAATCATTTCCTTAGCACCAACAACTTTCTGTGACCACACTGACGCAATTATTATGACTGTATGCGGGGGGCTACACTACGCTTACCTATCTAGAGAGGTTCTACATTACCAGAATGCTCGAAACAGCTCAACACCCCGTTGCGGATAGTCACAACCTTGGCTATGACTTTATTAGAGCCAGTTCCATTGTATCCATTTATAGCAAGGCTAGTACTTACCCAAATCCGCGGTTTTTCTTTGGGACCTAACATTATGCCACCCGTTTCTACACCCGTCACATGTGATAAAACGTGGCATTTGATTCTGCATCTAATATTCGACTATGAATAGATTAACTAGCCTCAGCCATACAGCAGTCCATCTAGCAAAGCGCTTAGTAGTGCGATACATTATCTCGAACATACGTAGGCCAGTATTATAGCGATCATAACCAGTGCTAGACAGCTCATATTTGATTAAACCATTTGTCTTCAATAAGATCCTTCGCAGTTAACCTATCCCTTGGATCGAGTTTCATTATCTTTAAGATAAACTCCTTGTCCCGTTTTGAGATCTTATTCTCGCTATTGAGTGAAAAAGATCTTATATCCTTGGGTGGCACTTTGTATATGACCCTAATGGCCCTGGCCCCTCTAAGATCAAAAATCTATCCTAAATTTGAAAAGTTTACGGAAATTAAATTAATCTATGTATCTGTATCTTTTGAATATATAAGTAAAAGATTCAAATCCAGATATGTCGGGTCTCTTAAGCTTATTGATAACCAAGTCTAGTCTATAGAGCCAAACTTAAGACTTAAAAGGTAGCTCCTATAATTGATCCTCAATATCAACTATAGAACACGCCCGTAGTCTGTAGACTTTGTGCTGCTGCCGATGATTGGTAAAGTCTGCCTACCATTTACACCGCAGAAGCAACAGGGCGCTTGAATGGCCAAAGCAGCCACTTGTTCAGAGGAGCGCTTGTCAGGGGCATTGTTCGATCTTGAGCACACTCTTGTCAGTTTCGTGTGTCCCTATCACACTCGTTAAATACTGCATACTGTGTCTGAGCTTGGGTTTGAAGCGCTAGACTGACTGGCTTTCGCGTATCTTGTGATGATCTGTATTGTTATTGTTAAAGCCAGTGTTTTTGTATAGTAGCTCTAAGAGCATGTGTACTTCGCTATTTGCTAAGGGCTTTAGGTCTGAATGCCTTGGGTCCGGACGATTCTTTATCTGAAGCTGACGCATTGGCGCTCACGATCTGCGCCAAAAACTCTAAGCTCGTTCTTACACATTGGCTGTTCAAAAATACCTATAGCATGGCCCGTTGTCTGTTCTACTCACACTGCAGGTGTCAAAATTCTGGAGCTATTCCAATGCTTGAGTCCTGGCCTGTTAGTGTAAATAACAAGTGATTAATGTTTTCTTGTGATTCTGAGCAGATGGTAAGACTGATATTGTCGCTCTACCAAATCCAAACCTTTATATTATACTTACTAGCACTATACTTCGTGCTATTGCCTTGAAGTTGTCAAGCCACCATTTGATCTTGCCGGCTGAGCTTCTACTACGTAGTTCAATGGTGGGCGCTGTGCTTCAAATGTATCCTGTGATTCCTCGATCGTAGTCTCCATCTGTTCGCGGCTGCTTTTATTGTATTTGTTGCTTGAATTGATTCTCAACTAGAGATAGAGTTGAAACTTGACCGGCAAAAAAAGTTTCGATATCTTTTGAATTCATTATGATATCCATTCGACGTCGTTCTGCCTTGAATATTGCTCCGTATTGTCCACAGACTGCAACCGATGTAGTTTTCACTGTACCTGTAGTCTCGCACACAGATGGGTCAGGTTTCGTACCTTTGTCTCCCCCTCAAAGAATTGGTCTCCACCTTGTATACAGGGCTATTCAACAGCGTCCCGGGGATCAACGAGGTCTCCATGATACTCCTCGACGCCCTCTTTATCTTATTAGTGCACGGGCGCAGGCAGCGTGCCATGGCCCTCGTCAGTAGCTTGTTCTGGATTCACCACTGCGGTAGGGTCAAGGTCTGCCAAGAGAAAGATGATGTGGGGAATCTGAGAGAAGCAGTTTTCCTTGAAACCACTTAGACGCAAACCTTGTTTAGGAATCGGATTTATGTCTAGGCTGATTCAGGTGCACGTGCAGCCGTATGCTGCTGATCATGGTCCTCATTCTCAGTCTCATCCGTATCCTCCCAGTCCTCATCGTCTCCTGTTTCCATCGTCTCCAGCTCATCGTCCAAGTCATCAAATTCGTTACCCAGCATACTAACCAACTGCAGCAGGCCAGTTTGTGTTGGCGAGTGCCAAGCCTCTGGTGCCGAGGAGCCCACGGCTGTTGTGCTTTGGGCTGTATCGGCGGAAGACTTGTCGTTAGAAAGGTCCGGGGCTAAGCTGACGATGCGGATGGCTTTAGTCGGGAAGAGGCGGGTGTGACCTTCCTGTTCTTGTGGAGCCGCATCGCCTGGGAGGGGTTGGCGCCAACCAAGTGTCTGCAGGTCTTGATATTAACTTTCTTGTTTCCATCTTCGTATTGGCCATTGTAGTGGAACATACAGTGTAAGTGGTCATTATTGCATCGTCATACAATGCCATGAAACTAACCGGCACAGCGAGCTGGGGCGCGGAGCTAGTGAGAAGTGAATATGAAGCGCGAGCGGGACAATCGATGTCTTGAATTCTATTATCATCGTCAAGTGCCACGACATAAATCCGGTCTTCGATCTCGAACATCAGGCGGTGGTTGCGCACAGATAGCCAGCCACCCAGATCAAAGCCTGACCCATCCGACTCGCATTCAATTAGGTAGCTGTGCGCAGCGAGACGACCTGGGCCGTGCAGAGCTTTACGCCAGTCGGCACAAACGAAGACACGGCCAGCGCGTGAGAAGCCGACGAAAACGTTGCCGTGCAACATGCCCGCTCCCCACTCATCTTCACCATGCCTAACATGTCCAGGGTCACTGGGCGGTGGGAGGGGGCCTTTAGCAATCTTGAGCGGCATCAGGCTATCTTTGCGAGGTGCTCCGAGAGGAAATGTTCGATTTGGCGGAAAATGTCGCATTGCTCCCGCCAGGGCCGCGCTCGCCGAGATAGAACTAACAGGCGGTGGGCGGATATGATACTTGTCGGTACAATGCGACGGCTGCAAAGCACCCAAAAACGCACCAGACATTTTGTCGTAGGCATGATAGCCTCCCGGCCCCATGGAGTAAATCACGGCATCTTTGCTTTGGTCTAAATGGCCTATAGCGCCATGCTCAATCTCAACATGCGTGGTCAACTTGGGAGGTCTTTGCATCATGTCATACACAAAACCCTGTCCCTGGCTAGACACTACACAGAGTGTCCAGTAAGACAACTGAAAGCCTCTTGTTTGACAATCGTGATTCAAGACCGCGATACGCCGGAACTCTCCATGTGCTGCGCCTTCCAGCCCCGCCTGCCAGACCTCAACAGCATCCCCTTCACGATCAAAGACAGCCATCCCGTCCTGATACTCCAGGTGCGCGTATGGACGAACCGCATCCTCATCACTATCTAACGTGGAAGGAAGACGCCACAGAATCTGGCCCGTGTCCATATCAGTGACATTTAATCCACCCGCATGGGATGTGGAAACGAAGAACCGACGCTTGAAGTCCGGCCGAAATCGCCAGACAGGGTCGTTGCCGATTTGCACCACTGACTCCCGGCAAACCGGTTGGGACTCAGCCCAGTTACGGGCGAGCAGCGTCTGGCGCTTACAAAGATCCTTCCATGACGCTATGTCATCGAATAGTTTTGTGAAGCTGGTATTGTCCGAAAGAAATGAGAAATCACGGGCCCCTCCAGGCGGTTGGACGGT